AAGTATGGAAATATGGATACACCCCAAATACAGATTAGATATAGCAGTAGCGAAAATGATTATAGCATAAACCCAATATTTATAGTATTTATGAGCGATATGAACATTTTTGTAATTCTTGATAATAAACTAATTTAAGTTTTCAAATAGATGTCGATGCATTTTTGCTGTTTTATAAAAAAAATAACTAAGTAATATGAATAGTAAGCGAGTAGTTTTTTTACTTTGCATATACATAATTTTTAAAATATAATTCCAGAAAAAGCAAAGGTGTTCTAAATTCACCGAATACAAAAAGCTAAAATGAACGCAAACAGATGCGGGAACAAAACAGCTAGCTTTTGTACCCACTGGACATAAAAACGTTAATAAAAGACTGCATAACATGGCCGACATGCCATTTTTATTAATTATTGTTCAGAATTAAGATGCAGGTGGTCTCCTTGTATGAAAGCGGGCTATATGGTCTCGGCTGTCAGCAGATTAGCTTTCATACACTTGTGCCAGATACACACTAAATAAAACGCACGCAAATTCAAATTAAATAAGTTATTCATTTCAACAATTAAATTATATTGAAGGTAACTTTAAAATTCAAAATTTAAAAAGAAAGGTAGTTCAAAATGCGTTCAGTAGTTCTAGGAACCAAAAAAATACTTCAATCGCAAGCGGAAAACATAAAACTCAATGAGCTTACACACTGATAACACTAATAATATAAATATATGAGCAATAATTTCCCTAATTCCAAGAAGTAATAGAAAATGTTTGAGGAAATTAACAACATGTGATCATAAATCATAGTGATCTCAATAATATAAATTAAATATAAAGAAGAATTGAACGAACACTACGGTTGATCGCGACATATATAGCGTCCGTGCTGTGCTAGATAGTCAGTTATTAGTCCAATCATTTGAGCACTTAGCCTATTTTTATCTCGTGTTAGTTACAAAGCAAAATATTTAGATTAAACAAACTCTGACCGACCTTCCTGAGGCCAAATAGCCAATGTTATATGTACAAATGAAACTTTATCTTCTCGCAAACGTCATAAAGCAAACACGAATGTTATTTGTACATTTAGAAGTTCCACGGAACATGCGCACGCGCTTTGTTTTCAAAACCGTTTCCACTTAGCCGATACGGAGAAATTGATTTATTTTGTAAACCTACCAACTTGAAATAGCAATGGGAATAAAGTATTAAAAAAACTATGAATTTCAACCAAATACAGGTACAAAAAATGACTTGTCGGGCAGATTGTTGAAAACTTTCTTACTACATACATATTCCAAGATTATTTCATTAAATAGCGTAGATATCAGACATTTACTGAAGTATTAATTTTAAAAAAACGGAGATGATTAATTAGATTTTAAAAGAAAAACATTATTACGCAAAAGAATGCTTGTCTATGACATTCTTCGAAGAGTTATCTACAGTGAAGATCTGCACAACTTACAAGCCAACTCTTTGAAATGAACTAAGAAATTTTAAAATTCCTATCTGCTTTTTCCTGTGTATTTTCATGAAACTTTAATATGCTCTATGGCGCCATTCTTGAAAAGTCATTGTTTATGCATACAGAAAGATTTTCATTCTAGGATTCGAATTTATCTACTTTCCATACCGTTTGTTGTATATGGAGACAAAAATATACCTACGTAGCGCGGTACTGATATTTTCACTTTACTTAGTTCTATTTTTAGGTGACAAATCGGTGCAATACAAGTATATAAAAGAGCTATTATTCGGGCTATTCATAACATCTGAACTCGGGATACTCTCCGTGAACTTTAAAAAAATCACAATATTATGTTTATCCGACAAACCATTCGTTACTATTTAAGAAACAGGGACAGACACAGAGTTAGTACTAGAAATATGGATAAACTGGTAACGTCTGGCTTTCGCCTTCAATAAGTAAATAGGTAGATCGTTTATGAGGCAAGGTGTACGCATGTATAATAGAATTCCACGGTCGATATTAAGCTTGCCATTTAAACAATTTAAATGTAAAATTAAAAATATATTATTGAAAAAAATCTTATTACACTATCACGGAATACTTTAACTGGATGTCAATGTGTGGGACTAGTGTCTGGTTTTGTCTAAATATATTGTAAACAAATATAATTTTAAAAGAGCAACTATTGAGTTTCTTGCCAGCTCTTCTCAGCAGTACTGCAGACTGCCTTCCGAGCCAGTAGTAGATTTCATATTGACATTTAATTTAAATTTATAAATGTAAAAGTGACGATACAAAAGTGCTTGCAAAAGTCTATTTGAATAAAGCATATTTTGATTTGATTTGAATACTGTATAAATGGTTTATAATTTGTAATATGTGTTATCTCTATATAAAAAAATATCAAATATACATGGAATAAACCAGAATATATTGTACAACTAGGATTCCGTCAACATCTCAAACGGGGAAGCGGACTGTATCCTAATAAGCCCGTAAACATTTCGAACGTGCATCGTATTAAATTGCTTTTAAGGAGTTTGCCGAGATGCGTTTAATATTCCATCGACGGTCTAAGCTAGGGTCAAGTGACCCATAACTCTAATCCTACTCGAATGGAACCATACAATTTACATTTTTCTACGAAACCCTTTCTATTACACCTTCCTTTTGTGGATAACGATGCTACTTACAATTCATGTAATGCCACATCTATTGCAGCCGGTTTACTTGAAAAATGTACGTTTCACGAATGCCAATAAAGTATATAAAAATGCCGCTTAACTTTGACTCATACATAAAACTATATAGCCAGTTCCGCAACATTTCGTCCTTTCTAAAGTTCACGTCACAAGCAATTACGATCGATGAGGAAAAAAACCTTATAAATATCTCTTTCCTTTCAAACTAAAACTCAATTTTCGAAACTAAAGATAACATCAAACCTATAGCTTTTTAAGCATTTACCAGGAAATCTTTATATAGCAAAAACAAGAACTACCTACAGGTACTCGATGCTGCTGTCGATTAGTTATAAGCATCTGAAAGCACTTCTAGTAAATAAAGTGGTACTTTATCTCTTCACCTTGAGCGTGAAGACTTAAACCGGTTATAATTAGAGAGTTACCGATACATCTAAGTTAGATATCTACTAAAGCTTACTTGTTTGTAAGTTTTCATATACGTAAATAGTAATGTTATTAAAAGAAATAATACTTTGGCAATACATAAATAAAGTCGATTCTGATATATTTTTGATGAAACAGACAGACAAAACTTTCTTTTTTCAAAATTTCAAATCTTATCAATAGCATTTACTACGTATGTATATATAACGCACGTCTTACATACATCTATACATATAATATAATTGTAACTAAGACGAATCTGTACATTAAATATTTTTTGGAAAATCTTATTGAAATAGACATTATTATCAATACAGAGGCCGAATCTATAGTTTTTAGTATTTGTTTCTGTCTGTTACCGATTCACAGAAAAACCACTGGAGGGATTTTGATGAAATTTTGGTATGGAGATAGATGGTTATCCGGGTCAACATATAGGATACTTTTAACCGCGGAAAAATGTCTCATTTCTGAGAAAAAATACAAAAACTTTAATGTAAGAGTATACTAATATATAAAACCTAAGAATTTGGTTTTTGGTCATCTGAACGCGGGCGTAGCCGCGGGCAATGCGAGTATATAATATATGTTTGAAAAATAAAGGCAATTACCTAAAATAAAATTATTGAAGAATATTATTTTTTACATGCGCACATCATCAAAAGAATGGGCACTAAAAATCACATAGAAAACGAAAGTCAATGGCGAATTCAGTCTTAGAAATGTTAATGGATTTGTTTAAAAACTTTCTCTAAACCGATAAATTCAAGGAATATTTGGTTGTTCAATACAATAAGACACTTAAAGTTGCACTTAAATGGTGCTATAATAGCATGTTATTTTCGTATTATAGTAATAAGTTATAAAATTGAAAATAAAACTATTTAAACCGAAATAGCAACTAATATAAATCCATACTTAATATTATGAATGTGAAAGTGTGTTTGTTTGTTTGTCCTTCTTTCACGTCGAAACGGAGTGTAACGGATTGGCGTGATTTTTTGTGTGGAGATAGTTGGATGGAGAGACATAGGCTATTTATCGCGGGAAATTATCTGGGATGGGAAAACACGTTTTAATACAATCCAAAAAAATATTTATGATCAGAATTACTTGAAACTTGGTATTAATGTTCTTTAACAAAATTAAATAAATACGTTTTAGCATTTGTCGAAACTCATCCTATTAAGGGGGTAAAATAGGGGATAAAAGTTTGTATGAAACTACCTTTTTAGACATTTTTTGTAGTTTTAGCGCGAGCGTAGCGGCAGGTTCTGCTAGTATTTTTATAAGACAATAATCTGACAGAAATATATAATTTTTTAATGGGTATATTAATAAAATAGAGAAGGTATATTAGGTTACTGTAGGGGTTCAATAATAAGGAACACGTGCAAATTAACCCCAAAAGGGCTTTAGAAGAATAGCATAAATATGCTATAAGCCGGCTTATAAGACATTTGTTACAAAAAAATACTCCAGAGTAGTTTTCTTTTTGTTTCTTGATGTATTTCTTCCTAATACTAGTTATAAAGTCGATGACACTATCATAGTGTCAGTTTAAAATGTTCTAGATGTATATAAGTTACTATACATACCTACATATATTCAGAGTTTAGACTAATTAATTATGTAAATTGAGGAGAACGTTTTTAATTTCACATTTAACGACTTTTCAAAGGTCGGGCTACGTGACATTAAAAATATATATGGCGGCTGAATTATGAATAAATTTACTAAGAAATAGCTGTTGAAAGGCTAAAAAGAAAGAACTACTTTACATAATATATTTCTAAAACCTCTTTCATCGAATAAGAAATAGATAAGTTTGCTTATAAAGCGATAAAGCTTGAAATTGTGTGTGTGTGTGTGTGTATATAGATAAGTCAAATATAACTTACTGTTTAATAGGTTTTGGGGTTCCAAAGTCCATTGGTGGAGGTGGTGGCGGGGGTGGTGGTGGTGTGGACGGCATAACCGGGGGCGGGGGAGGGACTGGTGCCGCCGGTGGTGCATCAGGTATATCCGGAACTACATCCACTTTGACCTCCGGCAACTCTTTGAGATCCGGTAACTCTTTGATATCCGGTAATTCTGGTAATTCCGATGCCGGAATCGTATTTATTGGAATAACCGGGGACGTTACGGCCGATGGCGCGATCGACCCGTCATCGCATATCGAATATTGTACGTCCCCCGCGATACCCGGTAAATGTGGCAGGTCTAGCGGCATGTCCAACTCCGGTACCTATCAATATACACAAATGTCAAATGCTGTTCGTTCATGAGCGCACTACTTGAATGATTAGGATCGATTTGCTATGTTCTTTTTAAATGTACGAAATAGTCCCACTAAAGTTAATTGGAAAATGTCGAAAATGTTTGTATAAACTCAAAGTTCTCAAAAAGTTTTAAACTTCTACAGGACAACATCCGTCAGCTACTATTGAATATCATGATTTATATTTAGAGAATATTGGTCAAAAGTAACAAAAGTGTAACACAAATATAGTAAATTAGTATATGTGCTTATATCTCATGAAGGTCGCACGTACAAATATATTATAATTATCGAGCAAGAAATAACAATTGTCAATAACAAAAACCGAACAAATCTTATTAATATTTTATTCGTTTATATGACGTGTTGATGACGATGCGTACATAATAAGTATAATTAAGACAGTCGAGGTTCAATATTTCTCATGAAATTCATCATCATTCATTTCATTATCTAAAGCTATCTTACAAATGGGAAATCCCTGGGTAAAAAAACACATAAATATAAAACAAGGAAATGCTTACCATCCCCATGCCGGGCGCGTACATGTATTCGTCAATTTCTCTTTTTAATACGTTCTTGTTCATTATGGACGGTGGCGCGTCTTCTAATTGATTTTTCTCATCAATCGTGTTGACTTTCGGAATGTAAGCTGGCGCTTTAGTTGGAATTGTTATATATGGACTCTCGTCGGTGTTGTATATTAAAAGGTCACCAACAGATGACACTTTATCGATAACTTCTTTAAGATCGAAATCTTGCTTAGATTTCGCTATTTTTGGGTCCACAACTTTAACATGGAAGAAATGGAGTTTCTCCTAAAATAGAAAAAAAAACATAAAAACACGCGTTATTGTTTTAGCAAGCATTTCAAATAGACATTGCATATAAATAACCTGTATAGCTTTATCATTTGACTGCCTCTGAGACTTTCCACTCAGAATTACTTTCTTAGGTTCATATTGGTATTCATTCGTATCGAAAATAGATTGGTAATGTTCATGTACAATTGCAGCTGGATATTTCGCACTCGAAAACACTTTAATCGCTTTTTGCATGCCAGCAAGTTTCTCAATTTTCAATCTGGACACATCTATTCTTTCCTGTAGTTTTGTTGTCTTATCTACGTTTAGCTTGATCCTTGATGTGATTCTTGTAAACACATCGTCAACGATTCCGTTCAAATTGTCTAAGGTGTCAGCAATTTGTAATATAGTTTCTTCCACGCTCAAATCATTTGGTATTAAATTGATTTTATATATTCCTTCCATTATGGCTATTGTTTTTCGAGGTATTCAGTATCTGAAACAAATGAGGATATTATGAGTTTGCTGCTTTAACATCACAAACATTGTTCACCAGTGTATGTTAAATTTAATTAATAATGAAAAGAAATCCAATAATATCTTACCTACTAAGCTTCTTTTATATCACCTAAAATAAATTAATAAGGCACAAGAGTTATCACTAGATAACACATACAATTTAGCATGTGAAATATTAATGTCCAATAATATTTATTATACATAGTACTACTTTTAGTATTTACAATTCAGTCACTGTGAGTCTATATTGAATTTATCAGTTCTGTGTCACTATTCTATGCAATGATTCAATTCTTGGACTGCCGCGTGGGTGAGTCGGCGAGCAGCGTGTGTAAGTTATCATTGGCGGGGTCAGTGCTCCACGAGAACCGACAGTAGGCGTCGGGAGACATCGTCGGGTCTAATATGGCAGGCTCCTCGGCAAGTTGGCTAGCAGAAAGCATATTATTAAGATGCTTGTTGATGACAACATCCGCTGGGCTAACGTATCCACTTGAAGCCGGCGGCTTTAATGGCACAGGATTGCGTATGTTTGTCTTAAGACTAGGCAAAGAATCTAGCGATTGCAGTTGGATGTAACTACTGTCAGGGCAGTGTTTTGTGGGCGGTGGCAAGGTGGGCATTGTGGGCAAGCTTTCCGGTCCAATCATCTTTGGAGGTAATGGTCCTAATTTGGGGAAATTCATCATAGATCTTGCTTGAGCTTCCTCTGGAAGAACATATCCAGAAGAAGGTGTAGGATTTGTGGCTGGTGGCGACGTTGTATTCGTAGTAAATACAGGAGGCGGTAATCCAGCCATTACATAACTGGTACTAGCAGGTTGAGATCCAACTTTTACTTGTGTTGGTGCAGGGGCTGATTGCACGTAACCTGATGCAGGATTAACAACGTGTTGAACATAGCCACTTGTTGAGTTTTTCTTAAAGTTTTTATCACTAAAATATGGAGAGTTTTCTCTTGAACTTTCAGTATCTACAGTAGATGAATCTTCTTCCTGTGCTTCGTTATTTTCGTCAGCTTTTTGCGATTCTTGTTCCATATGGAAAGATGAATTAGAACCTTCATCTGACGTAGATACTTGTCTGTCTACCGGTCCCCGCGATGAATCAGACAACGCTGTACTATCTGTCTGGTCGCTGGCCGCGCAGTTTTCTTCTTTTTGTTTAACATCTGGCGATGAAACTACAGTTTTAGTATTGGGCAATAATAGCATCTCATCTGATGATGGTTTTTCGTCTTTGGTTGCAGGATTCCAACCACCAAAAGTATATTTTGAAATATCTTTTTCAGGTATTCCCAATCCATTTGGCAAAACTGGCTTAATATCTTCCATCTTTCTGTATTTTTTGTATAGTTTAATCAAAGCATACACAAAGCCAACTAATGCAAATATTGAGAAAAATATTACAATCATTGTCAGGAAGTCTTTGCTCCTGCAAGCTACAGTTGTTGGTTCACTCCATGGTCCGGGATACTCATTATAAGATTCGTTTTTAGCTCTTTTAGGTAATGTTACATTTCCATCTCCTAGCACACCATGATACAAGTCATAATCAAAGTTGACAGCTCTTACTTCATAAGTTTCTGTCGAGACAACATTTTCACAATGTGTTAATGAATGGGCTAATCCTGTTACATTTATTATTTCAGACTGCACTTCATCTTTAATTCTTCTAATTTGGTAAAGATCCACTGTTCCACCGGGAATGATAGGTGGTTCCCATTGAAGCTTATCAGGGTTGTTCTTTACGGTTGGGGCCTTAATTCTACTAGGTGCTCCAATTCCTGTTCTTACTAATATAGCACTATTATGTCCAATTGTTGAGCAGAGATTTATAGGAATATTACAAGCTTGCACCGTCAAAGAATAATTAGTATAACCTTGTAATCCGAGCAATTTTACTTCTTTCCTATCAGTATCGGTCTCAGAAACTTTCTCCACATGAATTTCCTTACCAAAGTTGTAAATGACATACTTCCCTATATTGCCATTTCTTTGAAGAGGAGGGTCCCATGAAATTACCAAAGAATCATTTCTTATATCAGTTATTTTGACATTTATAGGACTAGTTGGTGTGTCTTCTGATGTAGTTATAACAGCAGTAGCAGTAGTATTTTTTTGCCCATAAATAGTATTGAGAGCAAAACTGAACTGGTAAGTTCTAAAGGGAAGTAAATCCTTAATAGTGACAAATGTCTGTTTTGGATTAGGTATGAAAACATACTTGTTTTCTACAGATTTGTCACAGTTGCTGCTTGTTTGAACAATTGGACAATAGCTTATGTTGTAACCAGTTATAATTCCATCTTGTAGGGCACAATCCATTACCCACCTTAAAGTAGCATAGGATTTACCGGGAACATCATAATTTAAATGTACAGGAAAACCATACATAACAAATCCTTCTCTTGATATGTCACATTTGGCCCAAACCATCCCACTAGTTTTTGATCCATTATTCGCAGAAATAGCAAACTGATACCTATGTTCTCTTGGTAAATCAATTACATGTTTATTTTTGTATGGTTCAAGAATGGCAAAATCCATCCTCCCGGTGCAAATTTTTGTAGAGTTATGTTGACACCAAAAAAGTGTGTAATTATCAATATTTTTGATTCCAACCCATGAAAGCTCATATGTGCCATTTTCATAGGCTAGCTTGGTAAACGAGGAAAGTTTCAATGAATTTGTATCTTTTTCTGGTGGAATATATAGATGACTACTAGTTAGAGAAGATCCATTTATGTTAAATGACCACACAGTAACATCTAAAGCATTTAGAGTAGTATTTAAAATAACATAGCTGAGACTTTTATTTTTATCTGGGAACACTGTTTCTGTTTTATTTCCCTGTGACACAAGCACTTTGTATGTAAAATTTGCACCTGCCTCCTCATATTCCTCCAGTTGTTTCCAATAAACATAAATAACCCTTCTATTATTATATGTGGCATGATCAAATGCTCCTGCTGTTGTGTCTGGTGGTCTGCTCGGTCTTTCACTTTCTGTATAAAATACATAGTAACTAAGATCAGACCAAAATTCTCTTCTAACTGCTTTCTTTGATTTGATATATACTCTAACTTCATACTGCATATGAGCATAAGGTAGATTTGTTAAATGAAACCTATATGTTTTATTTTTTAATGGTAAATTAGATGCATCCACTCTATGAAAAACTGTTCTATTATCAATCTTAGCTATTTGATACTCAATGATATGTTCAACTCCACATTCTAAGAAATCAGCCATATTATTAGGCACTCGCCATTTTAAGACAACACTATGAGTTCCATTTTTTACTACTTTTAAATCTATGGGAGGATCGGGTTTAACAATAGCAAAGTGATCTATGGTGAAATTTTGGCTGTTGCATCCAAAAACGTTGCAAGCTCTCAAATAAAAGAACTGTTCCTCTTTTAGCTGCCTGTATCTAGGCTGACTACTTGTATTCCACCAGCAGTATCTGGTAGCTTTATTGTCAACTTTTTTAGCAACACATGGAGGACCTACCATGTTTCCATTATCAGAAAATGTTACATTGTAATTAATATTACTATAAGATCTGGGGCTTGTCCATGAACAATTCAAAACTTCAAGATTTTTTGACATGCAATTAAAATCTGTTACATCTGCAGGTGGACTCTCAACAAGTACTCGAGAAGTACAAATTTTTCCAGTTTTATTATTTTTACAGTAATATGAATTTACTTGCTTTTCAGGTTTTTTGATATACAATCTGCGTGTTGTACTATTGACTATTTCTGATTCGAGATGTTTACCAGCAAGCGTAAATTCAATGTCACTTGATGAATAGTTTTCAGCTATACAAAATATTTCTAAATCTTCACCATAAGGAACTGTAATGCCACCATTCGGATAAACAGCAACTGTAATATCTACTCCGAGACATTTCGAAAAAATGCAGGGTAAACTTATAAAACACTTTATTAGTATACACCAGATCCATGATCGAAACTGCGGCCTTTTCCAGGAACCACTACACTTCGTTCTTTTACGTGAATCTAAATCTGCCATAACTAATTCAATAGTCTTAGAGACTCCTTTCGGTTGTCACATTACGATATTATACCACTAGCCGTTGCATCGAACAATTTACGAGAAACGATAAACACATAATATCTTGTATTATTTTTTATCACAAGAGCTCAATGGCGCACTGTCCACCCGAAACGTTGACACAAGGCTGACTAAGTTAAACCACACAGCATCACTTTTATTTATCATTTACATAGTTCATCTCGCACTAATAGATTTTATGATACTAGAGTTAGCACATCGAGACTTGAAACTCCGAGAATGCATGAAAATTTAATACGCCTTGTTACTTACATAAAATAGAAAGAAAAACTTTGAAGTAGGTATTTCTGAGTAACGCCAACTTCACTCCAATGTCGACATTAATCAATAAATAGAAAATGTTACCATTTAAAATATATTATACAATCTTTGAAATATTTATATATTAGTAGGTATATAATATTATATACACATAAATTATATTTCGGAATTATTAAATAAATATAAGACATATTTAAAAAATGTATAAAATCTATTCGATTAATATATTTAGACTAGCGACTCACGCTCACTCCGCTCCTGTAACGTTTTTAGGTTTAATATAGATTTCTCAGAGATAAGATATTTTCCCACAGTAAAAAGTATCCTATATGTTGACCCGGATAAACATTAAACAGCTATGTATAATCATGCCAAATTTCATCAATATCGGTCCAGTGGTTTTCTCGTAATACCTTCCAAAACAGACAGACAAAAATTCTAAAAACTATACATTGGGCCTTTGTTTTGTTAATAGGGATTATTATAATAAGATATTCCAAAAAATATTTAATGTATAGATTCAACTCAGTTAAAGTTTTATTATATGGAATATAGAATATTAAAGCAATATCTAAGATTACTTTTAAAATTCAAGAAATTTTTCAAGCAATAATTGATGATGATAATGATGTTCTCCTGACCGATCCGATATTATAGTGCACAAGTGTACGCGCAGACCAAGTGCACTCTCTATTCCTGTCACTTTCATACTCCGGTGGGACGATTGCTCGACACGACCGGTGAGAGTTAAGGCGCAGGACCGACGGCTTTACGTGCTCTCCAAGCCACGGGGTTAAAACACCGCCAACTTCCCAACTCCGGGCTGTTACTAAGGCTTAATATATAAAAAGACTCAATAACTAAACTTGGCCCGACCCGGGACTCAAACCCAGGACCTCCGGGTGTGCTGCCATACATGCTAGCCACTACACCAACAAGGCAGTTAATTAAATTTATGTACTTTGGTATTAACGTAAATTTAATTCACACTAAACACCGAGGTCTGATAATAATTTTATACAATCTTTTTATATGGCGATGATTCTTGACATCTGACAGTGACATTTGACAATTGACAGTTACAATCATAAATGAAATGTCAATCAGTGTGCTTTTCACTTTTCGGTGTTGAGATTTACATAATTTTTTAAATGTTTTGCTATGTACAATCCATATAAATATATAATTTAAAGTAATAATGTGAATTTAATCCTACGAAATGGATGATACTAATCAGTATAATTTAGGGTTCTCTACAAGAACCGCTCTCATTAAGTTACGAGATGACATTCGAACTGTTGTTGAAGAACATAAACAGAAGAATCGGATGGGGTAAATATATCATATTTAAAAATAAAGAATAATAATAAAATAAAGATTTGGTTAAATATTTTCTCAGTCATATCTTATATTACTAATAAATTATTGTTCTTTTACATCTATACATTTTATCATTTGCGATTTCAGGTTTTCTGTTATTCACAATATTATATCATTTTCGTCAGAGAAAGTACTACTATCAGGAGTGGCCTATACTGTGACTATAATTAGTATAATATGCTTAATATTAACATATCTTATTGGTGAAACTTTATTAGCACAAACTTATTTACTTTGGGAAGCTCTTTTCTTGTTTATTTTGTTAGCAATAAATTTTATTATTGCATTACATGAAGAATACCTGTACAGAAATGAAATACCTTATAGAGTAAAAAAAGTCTTAGGTAAGTGAATTAGTGCTTACAATTAGTATAATATTGAATATAAAATAGTTAATTATTTTATATTAAAATATTTCTTTTTATTATTAGAAACATTGGATGATGCTATTGATAAATGTCTATGGAAAGAAAATCATTACCCCCACTTATGTGCTCCATTTTCTCCATGTGTAATTCTACAGTGGACTTACAGGGATGGTATATATTTTATCATGTTATTTTATCATACTTTCTTGTTTATTTTTAAACATCATTCCCTTAAATTATTATCAATTGAAATAAAGTTAATTTTTAAATTTCATGCTAATCTTAAAGTACAAAATTTACATATTACACCTTTTTTAAACTAGTAATATTTGATAAATAATGATTTTTAATAATATTTTAAGGTATTATTGTAAATCTACCATGGGCTCTTTTGGTGGAGGGTGATATAATTGTACTTAGACCAGGACAAGAAGCTCCTGGACACTGCAGAGGCTTGGAGCCAGATGATCCTGAATTGTTTTTTGGACAGATATTTTTATCTGGGCCTCAGGTAATAAATGTAAAGAACTAGTGTTTCATTATAACTTACTATCAAAGTGTACAAAATGTTTACTTTTCACTTATTATACCACTACCTGTACAACTTTAATGTGTAATGAAAATATTTTCAAAATACATACTTTTTGTCTGTGAATTCATTTGAGTGATGAGTATATTGATAAAGACGACTGAAGAAGACTATGTGTATGTAAATTTTACTCTACAAATTCAAAACAATTTTAAATTTTTATAGACAAAAGAAAACTTTACTTTGCCAAGGGTTAGAACACCACATCCTAATAAAGCTTATAAAATGAATGAAACACCTTATTTAAAAAATATCAAGCTAGCTCTAGAACAAGCAACTACAAGACCGGTCACAATGTTTGAAAAACAGAGGTATTTGGTGAGTCTTTGCTATCAATATTGCATAAATTTGTTTGAATATTTACTTTCTACTTATAAGTGATTATGACATGATAATAATTCTAACTTTTTTTATTATAATCTTTATTATTCATGTCATATACTATATAACAAGTAAATCGCTACATATTACAAGTGCACTGTTGAGCCAATATAGTGTGAAAAAGACACAAATGTACATATTCACAGACTTTGCATTTATAATGTGAACTAGTGGTAGTGACTGTAGTATAGATGGCCTATATAATATTATTATTATGGAAGTTCTAAGAACGGTTATTTTTTTCCACTTAATAAAAATATTGTCATTCTGGTTGTGGGTCTTTAATTTATAATATGTATGTGTAGTGAAGACGTAGTAGTGTAATATAGGAGACAGTTGGCATAGTATCTTACTAAGTCATTTTATACCACATAAAATTTACACTTCTAAATTATTATGATTTTCTAATAATTAATATAATCATCGTTTTTTTAATGAGGGAAAGACAGTCATCATATCAGAAGGTCATCTTTAAAAAATATTATAAAGTATTGAACATACATACCCTTTCAGTTAAAATTCCGAGAAAAATGCTACCTTAGGTCGCCTACTAATATTTCTACTTTATATAAAACATGCAATAAAATATCTGCCACTAATAAGTCTAAGAGGATTTGCGTAATATATATTGATTACTCAGCAGCAATAAAAGTCGCTTGTTCAATATAACGCATAATACGAGTGAGAGACATTAGATTTTGAGTAGGAGTCCAAACCTACCTTACAAAAAAATAATATTTGCTTATTCGTTTTATATATTACAAAATATCGTAATATTACAGAAGTTTGCCGTGTCTCGTGATATGGGGATGTTTTAAGAGAATTAAGTGTATTTTAAGTACCTTACAAAATATTATTATTAGTCTAATGCAAAGTACCATCTTATCAGCGCTGGATTTACACTAGGGGCCCTCGGGGCTATTTCCCAGGGTGGTAAAATTCCGAGGGCGGCAAAAAAAAAATCTTCGCATTATCGACAATGCTTTTTTTGGCACAAATTCAGAATTGGGGACTTGGCCCCTAGCGGAGTGGGTGGTATTTCTGGATAAGGGACGTGATAGGGAGTCGAAATGTTAAATAAAAATTGTCCGCGAACATATGAGTAAAAAGTTATTGAGACTTAAAGTTACAACATTTCCATACATTTTCATATATTTCTTTACCACCATTCGGAGTGGGTGGTATTTTTAGATAGGGGAGGTGACAGAGAGTCAAAATATATTAAAAATATTTGGAGGAAACGTACGAGTAAAAAGTTATTGAGACTTAAAGTTATAACATATCTAACACATTTCCATACATTTCTTTACCTAAATAAGTGATTACAACAGATAAACATACCTTTAACGAATAGTACGCATCCTTTTTTATGTACAATACATATTTTCACAACAATTAATGCTTTATTGTATTTAATATTTTAATAATTTCACAACACAAACAAAATGATCTTACATTTTGACAAAAGCAAAACTGACACTTTGTTTTATATTACCGCTTAAATGACAACAGATTATATTTGATTATTTTTGCTTTTTCTGTTGGTAAAATATTACTATTAATAAATAAATAAATAAAAAGAAAAATATTATTTTCACTTTATAAATACATTTATGACTTTTTATTTGATTTATGTAAAATATATTGTTTTACAATTGTACATTTAGTAAAAAAAATCATTTTTTTATCTGTGAATATTTTTAATTATTTATTTATTATTTGTCATATCTGGGTTAGGTTAGGTTAGAACATTTAAGATTATATATTTATTATTCGTCATATCTGGGTTAGGTTAGGTTAGAACATTTACCCCCTCAACGTGCGTTCACCTTGTCGTGGTGGGGGGGCTCAGTAGTGCCCGGCAACCCAACCGGGCGCGAAGCCAAGAAACGCACAGGGAGGTGGCCCACTTCGGTGGGCGGTGGGAGGTGGCCATCTTCGGAGGGCAGTGTACCATGAGGGTTGCTCCTGGTACTTCTCTGATAGCAGAGTGGACTGTGGAGCAACCCCGTGGTTCTTGTGGTCTGCTTCGGCAGACCTGCCGTCGGGGCGTCGTAGTTGAATGCGTAAGCGATCCTGCGACGCCCCATTAAGACGGGGGAAGGTCTTGTTGGGTTTTAGTGGGTAGTACTGGCTTCGCTGGTGAGTCCCACACTTCGTGCGTAAATGCATTTCCCAACGTTAAAAAAAAAAAAAAAAAGGTTAGAACATTTAAGATTATTTATTTATTATTCCTCATATCTGGGTTAGGTTAGGTTAGAACATTTAAGATTATTTATTTATTATTCCTCATATCTGGGTTAGGTTAGGTTAGAACATTTAAGATTATTTATTTATTATTCCTCATATCTGGGTTAGGTTAGGTTAGAACATTTAAGATTATTTATTTATTATTCCTCATATCTTGGTTAGGTTAGGTTAGATTGGCGGACCTGCCGCCGGGGCGCCGTAGTAGTTATGCGCAAGCGATCCTGCGGCGTCCCATTAAGGCGGAGGGGAGGGGAATGTCGGGTTTTAGTGGGTAGTACCGGCTCTTATAGCCGGTGAGCCCCACATCACCACCTGGGGGATCAGGTGGTATGCGTAAATGCATTTCCCGACATAAAAAAAAAAAAAAAAAAAAAAAAAAAAGGTTAGAACAGTTGCCACAACGCACGAGCCGAGCGAGCGAAGCGAGCGTGCCGCGGTAGCGGCCGGCGAGTGCCATAAATGACTAGAAAACTAGAAAATTCGAATTTCACGCAAAGTACAAATAAAGACAATCATCTGGAGATCATTTTGACAATTGAAAGTGACGTTTTGACTCAAGTGTCTAAATGGTAGTAATGTCAAAATAATGTATGGAAATGTTGTAACTTTAAGTCTCAATAAATTTTTACTCATACGTTCGCGGACAATTTTTATTTAACATTTCGACTTCCTATCACGTCCCTTATCCAGAAATACCACCCACTCCGCTAGGGGCCAAGTCCCCAATTCTAAATCGCAGCCCTTTTTTTATTTTACAAAAGATGATATAAAAAAAGATTAACTAGAAGTTACATTTTTGGAAAAATTAATATCATTTATAAATTAATTTTCAGCATATTTCAAGAAATTAATAATTAAAAAAAAAATTATATCGAAACTTTACCCATTTTATGCAAAATTTCGATTATTGGGCGGTACTTTTTTACTATGCCCAGGGGCGGCGCTAAGGTTGAATGCGGCACTGCATTCTATTACAGAATTTGGCGCCATTATCACATGATATGCAAACTTCTGTAATATACAACCTATTGAAATTTCTGTAGTTTATTGTCATATAAATTTATTGTTTACAGTGCACAGTAAAAATATTAGAAGGCATAGTTTTGCCATTGGTGATATCGGTGATAGTGGTGGCAAGTTTGATCCGCCACCTGTACCAGCCGCCGGGCGCCACGCACTGGACCGAGATGTACTTCCTACAGGTCATTGCGGCGATTCTGCCATTGCTACAAATTATCTTCCCCATCGCCTGGGTCACGTTGAATTGCTATGGACTTGCAAGGTAATATAAATTCGTTGTTTCTTTCATTTACACACATCTCGTAGACGCCATTTTTGTAGAAACTTAAACAATATTGCATTCGTAGCCTGAAGTTAAATCTGTTATTTTTTTTAACTTAACATATATAATATTTATATTGATACTGTAGTCGATAGTGTTTCTTATTGGATTACTATTATAAATGTAAAAGTTTTTATGTTCGTGAATGTGTGTGTGTGCGTGTGCATGTGCTTGTGCGCTTAAATGTTTCTTATTCTTTTACGCTGAAACAGCTTGACGAATTTGGATCAAATTTAGTACACAGATAGATCTGGAGTAACACAAAAGCTACTGCTGTTAGGTAGACGCACCGGAGTGACTCTCCGAAAAAGTCCGAGAGCTTTCTATTTAGAATACTAAATTCTATCCTCCATTTACGTTTATTCAATTCTATACATATAGTGTTAATGTCACTCTGTTTTTATTGTCTTCCGCCTATCTAAAACTTTGTTGAATGACGTTCTGACGGAATAATTATCAATATGATCAATATAAAAAATTCTAGAATTGAACCCGAAATAAATACGAATTAATAAAGGTTATTTAATTTTTCTTGCAACACTCTTCAACTTCTTTATGAATTTTATAAATAAAGTCGTATAACCTTTACCTAAAGTATAAATTCTACACGAAATTACAATCATTATTTGTATTCGAGATTTTATTTTCTAATTTCTTTAAGGTTTAAACTCCTCTCAGAGACTCGTCAAAAATATACGCGTCCAAAATCTTGTTCTATATCGGAAGACGCGAGTGATCCTCTGATACAGGCTCTTAGCGAGTCTAGTCTCAAACCACAAGTTTTACGTTCTTTGGGTAAAACATTCTGGAACATTCTTTTTGGAAGAGAGGATATGGTGTGTCGGACTGCTAATATCGTACATGTGTTAGGATCGTTATCGGTGAGTAAAAACTTCTTACACTATACTTCTATCTATTATCTACATATATATGTATACTAGCGACTCACCCTCGCTCCGCTCGGGTTCGTCCCTATGGTGGGCCACCCTTACCACTTAGGGGTACGAAAAATAGTTTACGTCCTATTCTTAGACCTACTGAATATACACACAACATTTCATAAGAACTGTCAAGCTGAATCGAAGGAGTTTTGCTACAAACATTGTGACACCCGAATTTTATATATTAGAGATAAAAATCGATGTGTATGCTCTCTATGGATTTCAAAACGGCTGAAGCAATTTTGACGAAATTTTCACGCACTCTTCAGATTAGCCCAACAGCTGTGAGTTGAGCTGTGAAGTTTGTTAGCGATCAGAAGCTTTAACGCGGGAAAACCGCGGGTACTGCTAGTATTTATATATATTAGGAAAATGAACTATAAATAAACACACACAGCGCCATCTAAATTGAATTGATTATTAACTAGAATATTTTTGAATTGTAATATGTGTAAACCAATCTATTATAAGCTATCTCAAATTTGGATTTTAGTAAATTTCTTTAAAGTGTTACGGCGTGAAGAAATAATAAATACACATGTTTATTCCACACCATTCTCATCTATTCCTACTACCATACTAACCTTTATTACATTTGTATAATATTGAATATGTTTCAGGCTCTATGTTGTGTGGATAAAAAAGGTATTTTGTCATGGCCCAACCCGACCGCAGAAAAAGTGTTTTTTCTCAGAAACTCCAGTCCAACGTCTCAAAACTCAAGCAAAACGAGCCTTGTGACGTCCATGGGTCATCAGAGTCAGACGAATCTAGATCAAACAGATGATGTGAAACCAAGTCCTGAACCATCTACTATCGTAGAGGTGCGTTTTAACACTTGTTTTTAATTAAATTGAACAAATGTTATGTTATTTATTTTTTCTAAACGCGCTAATGTCATTATAAATAACATAGTTATAGATTAAATGTTATATTTTCTATATATTTATGCAAAAGAGTTAGTAACGTTATTGAATATATGAGTGGAACAGGATTAAATGCAAACGTACAATATGAAGTATGTATTATACAAGCACGAGCATGATTAAATCCCCAGGTGTTAGACCTGACACACGACCAGAACGCACCGTTCCGCGTGGAGTTCGACGAGCAGCGCTGGCGCACGCATCTGGCGCGCCTCAAGCCGCTGGGGCTGGCCGCGCTGCTCAACACGTGCGCGCGCGCGCCGCGACACACGTACGCGCACTTCTGCGCGCATCTCACTTGTGAGGCGAATTATAGGTATGTTATTTCTTAAAGTTATACGTCTTTTGGGACGAATGGAAAAAAATAGTAGTAAAATTTTTACGATGCGCGCGCACACCAACAGCAGAAATCCGACATGATGAAGTTAGTTGATAACTGTTTCTTACCAACTGTTTCTTGCCATGGTAACCGCTGTTATTGTCTGACAAATGATATATAATATTATATTATTTCCTTAAATAATATTCTATAAATATATGATTGTAACATGCCTTATTTAAATATTTTTTATTAATTTATAATTCCTATTATAAACAGAGAGAGGTGACATACGGGATGAAATCTTTACCTATTTTTGTTCCTTTATGCCAAAGAAGTATAACTTCTTACGTGCGTACATAAAGTACGCACTCGTTTTTTTTATTTAAATGTTTAATTTTTTTATTTGATGTTTATTTATCTTTGTTTTTTTTTTTGAGTGTCTTAGGCTTAGGCTATTTGTTATGTCACAATAGGTTATATATATATAAATTAAAGTCACTCGCCGTGCTGTATTTTGTAATCTCAGAAACAGCTTTACGTATTTTCATATAGTTATCATCAATAACAAATGGGATGCTCTAGGAAGATTATAGGCTATAATTTATTTATATAAACTTAAGCCCTTATGATGATAAATTGTGTAATTAATTGGAAAAAAATCGTCCCTTCCAAAACTTCCGTAATAATATAAATGCAAAGAGCATCTAGTAGCACTATGTACTACTTCACGATTCTACTGATATGCGCACGCTCCCATTTTCGCTTTAAAACTATTACAGATATGTATATGGCATTAAGTCATATACATTTTTTTATTTACTTTGTAAATTAAAAAAAATATACTATGGTTAATAAAATATACAGGTTTGGCTTTATTAGAAATAATTTGTATGTACTTAATAAAAAACTACAAATTTTCAATTTAATGCAACATTTTTAACATATCATTTATTGTTTTTTTTTATGTTCATGCAAATACAATAAAAGAAAACTGTTATATATATTTTTGAAGTGAGGATCTGGTGCCAGTGACGAACAGACGCTGTCTGTGCGAGTTGGCCAAGCAGATCGGTTTCACAGACTCCGTGGCCGACTCGTACTCAGTACAGGAATGCCTAGCTTCTTTCCGACACTTGGTGAGAAATAATGAAAAGCATTGGTTTTACAGATTACAGCAAATAAATAGTTACATATTATGTAGATAGTAAATAATTCTAATTAATAGGTTATTATAGTTTATATATGTTATAGTTTGACAATTGGAATGTCCATTACATTGTAAAACTAAATATTTTTTCCGAATTATTGTATATTTTTGTGGGTTTGTAATATTTATAACTTTTTAGGCGTTTAACCATGTTTAGTGTAAAACTACTTTATAATGCGGTATGACATGTGACACTCTCATCCTGACAGTGTTAACAGCTCGAGCCGGAAAAAAAAGGCTTTGTCAACATGAGTTGTCACGCCACACCGCCGCGCCTGCTTACTCATATTGTATCTACTGGTCCATGAATGTGTTAGTCTTTATAATAAATAACAATTTATAATTTTATTTACAAAAGGATAAAAAAAACAGTTTTAGACCCGCTGAGCAAACTTCGCCAGTTTTTCTCAGGACTGCCTGAGCTCTTTTCTTTTCGAACTGCGAATTTGGCCTAAGATAATAAGTTTCTCTAGACTATGCTTGAATGATCGCATAATATGTCCAAAAAGTCTTAGGGCTCTTTTTTGACAGAAAGTGGAAAGCCGCTCCGTGATCTTAAGTTAAGGAAAGGATATAGAATAGTTTTTATCCCGGAAATCATCCTAACGAGGAGAAAATGGGGATGAATATCGGGAATAAAATAATTTGTATTTGCCATGCAGCAAGCGGATACAATAAGGCGAGAGACGCGGTTCGTGCGCTCGCTGCACCTGAACACGCGCGTGAAGGTGCCGCTCCCGCACATGTTGGCGGTCATCGTGAAGGACCAGGCCAACCAACTGCAAATGTTGACACAGGTATGCTAAATAAATGTTTTTTTTTGTGTTTTTCTTGCTGATTTTTTTTTGTTTTTATTGTATTGTGCTTGATTTTTTTTATTTGTGTTTATTAATAAATTTTTTATGATGCGATTGGATGGATTAATATTTTGTGTTTCAACTTTACTTTGTCTGTATATATCTAGCTATTAAATATACATATGTATGCTTTGAAACATGTGTATGTATATAATATAGCAGTTTTTTGGTAGAATTATTAAGGGTATTTGGTATATTTTATTTATTTATTTGAATTTATTTCAATTTAAAATCTTTTTTTAAGAAATGCAGCAAATATGTGGTATTTTAAAATTCGTTTAGTAGCTCTCCAAATTAGCGTACACATACGTTCAGACGCCGCTTTTGTATGTATATATAAAGATGTTAATACTGTACACTGTGCAACTTTCAGGGCACAGCAGACATAATCCTGGACTCGTGTGTAGACTACTGGAACGGCCGCGACCTGACGCCCATATCGCCCTCCGACCGTAAGAAGATCATCGACTTCTACCAGAGGAACTCGCTCACGGCGTATTGTACTGCTTTTGCTTACAAGTATGTGATCATGTTTGTTTTTATCTTAACGATTTTTATACAATACAAGCGGCATCACACCCGCTTCGCTCGAGTTCGTCCCTAGGTACGTTGTAACAGTATGGAATAGATAGTCTATATATTATATATGATACATGAATTCTAAATAAACGGGCTATCTAATGCAAAAATATTTTTTTAGATCGGGTTAGTAGTTCCTGACATTAACGCGTTCAAACAAACAATCAATCAATTGATCGATCAATCGATCAATCAATCGGTCCATCAGTCGATCGACCAATGGGTCGACCAATCGGTGGATCAGTCGGTCGACTAGTCGATTATACAAATAGTTAATCACTTGTATCGGTCTAATTTGAAAATTTTATGAGGAAAGTTACAAGCTATCTATGTAATTTTAAGAAAATATTAATAACTTTCAAACTTGATGAGATTTATTGGTAGACTAGTGGTGATGCATTCGCTTGGTAAACCATGCGAAGCGGGTTCGACTCACCTCTGATATTATCATGTGCGAATCATTTTCAACATGATTACAAGTTGCCTTACGGTGAAAGAAAACATCGTTATTAAACTCGCAAATGTGAGAAAATTTGGTGGGTTTTCGAAAGACATGTATGAAATCTGCCGACCCGCAGTGACCATCGTGGAGCACTATAACTTGATTCTCCAGTATTAAAGGGAGGCTCGTGCCCAGTAGTGGGACGTTAATATATGGCTTGAATACAAACTTAATGTAATATATTCCATTTTCGACCCCATGGTAATAAGTCATAACGATCAAATTAAATGTAATTTACAAAAAAAAGGCTATTAAAATAAAAACGTGTGCGTCTCGGAACGTCCGACAGAAGTGCAACTTAAACTAATTTAAGTTGAACTATTTAATATAGAAATTATTTAACTTGAGAAAAGCTTAGTTTATTACTTAAATTTTATGTATATTAATATGATAATGTAAGGAAAGGTTATTTATTAATATAATCTTTTATTGATTATAAAATATATTTTATTCTATATACATATATACGGCTAGCGCTGTGGGTTAGAGTGAGAGAGGAGAAGCCTGCCTACAGCTGCCGTATGCGTGAGAGAAAGGGAAGCCAGACAGACTGGTGCCGTAACTCGTTACGTAACGAAGCGGTTTACCCTCCCATAAGAAGTTATCACTTCAAAAGGTCTTAATAACATATAATAGAAAAGTATTAAAAGGATGTGTGTATATATTTGTGTGTGCATACAAAATGAAGACGATTGTGTCGGTCAGGCCGCTGACGCGCGGCATCGCGGCGCCGCTGGCGGCGCAGTACCTGGAGCTGCCGGCCGACAGCCGCCCGCTGTACGCGCCGCGCGCGCGTCCCTGGCACGACGCCTCCGCGCTGCACTTCCATTCTACTGGTATATATAACATAGGTTTTGTTTATTTATTTATTTAATTAGGATCACCACCATGATATACAGTAACTTAACAAAAATACACAAATGTACAAAGGAGATCTAAATACAAGTGTTATCATACTTATAGGTAACCAAGACATGCATAAACAGTTACACGGAGCATTTAAGTATTAAAAATTAACAGTACTATAAATTATATTAAAATAAATTAAGACACTATTATAATTAGTTGCTTTAAGCAACGGCTGGCAACTATTATAAATGAAAACCTAAGTTTAGTTATTTTTATATTTTAGTGCCTGGAAGTCGGTTTCTTTTTGTTTTTTTTTTTATACAAATACAATAATAATTACGGGTATTTGATACAAATTATATTTGTAATATAGTTTGTACAAAATCTATGGCAATATATTTTTCAAACGTATTGTGCCCTATTTTTCAAACAAACGACTAGGTAATTATATTTCTATAATTTATATTTTTAATAAACTTTTTCATCAATACATAAAAATATACTATTTTCAGATTCATTGCTATTTAACGAAGTAACGGACGACGACGTCAGCGATGCTGACGGATATTTTGACATGCAATGCAATCAGGTAATATTTTCATACATTATTCTTTACAATTCATTTCTCATGATCTATTACTTAAGAATACCTTAAAAGAAATTCAAGCTGGAACCTTTAGATTTCCCATTTCAACCTCTAAATCTTACAAATACCTACTCAAAACCAAAATTAATTCAAAATACATAATTTTTACTTTGTATAGATATTCTATATGTCATAAAGGAAAGTGCTTCGTTATTGTTCTAGGAATATATAAACATTGCGCTTACACTTACTTTTAGCCTGTGCAAGGTACCATCACAACTAAATATCACTTCAGTAGAATGCAATGTCTGAACTATATTTTGACCTTCACCTGATAAAAGAAAAACAAGCTGTAACTGTAAACTGACAAGCAAACAGCCACAAACGCTACTTCTATAAAAGTTACAGCATTGTACCGAATATACGCAATCCTAAACAAAAAAAAGAAAAAATAAACGACAACAAATATTACTTCAATAGATTTAACCGAATATTTGACATTTTAAATAAAACTATCCTTCTCGACGTTTTTGAAGCTCTACGCCAATCATGGTCACGAGAGAGTCTAAAGTTTTAGACGTCTTGCAAGTCATTATATACTTTTTACAGACAGTGCCTACCTCTATAATTAAACTTTAAAAAAATCCGAAAAGATAGTTTTATCTAAAACTAGCGACTCACTCTCGCTTCGCTCGGGATCGTCCCTACAAACTTCCATCCCCATTTTCATCCCATTTAAGGATGACTTCCGGGATAAAAACTATCCTATATCCTTCCCAGGGTCTCAAACTATCTTCATACTTAATTTCATCTAAATCGGTTCAGTAGATCCACAGATTACCCCCTACAACTTCACAAACTTTACTTCTTTATTAGTATAGATATTATCTTATTTAACTAACCTTTTTTACGAGCAGGTATTCATAGGCATGGTGACGATGCAGTACCAGGCGCAGAGCGACATGGTGGAGCTGATCGAGCGGCTCGAGCGCGCCTGCATCCGCTTCGTGCACTTCAGCAAGGAGAACGAGCTGCGCTCGCGCGTGTTCAGCGAGAAGGTGGGCCTCGAGTCCGGCTGGAACTGCCACATATCGCTCATGAGTGACCAGCGCAGGTATGACACGGCGGCTGTGTTGGTTTGAGGAATTTGTGTATGTCCCACGGGATTTGATGAACAAAATGTTTTATTTATTATTGCAAAAGTGACTTATCTATACATATATACATACATACATAGAATAAAATAAAATTGAAGTGTATGTTTGTAATGTCAAACATACAACTCTTTACTAAGCGCAAATGAAAGTATATAATATGGTACTTATAAAAAAAAACGTTTTTTTTCGTTGTCAGTTTGTTCCGGCTAATAATCTCTGAAATGATTGGACCGATTTTGACGAGACTTTCACTGGTGGATAGCTGATGTTATAAGGAGTTACTTTTTATTTAAAAAAAAAAAATAGGGTTCCGCACAGTAAAAATATTTAAACCCTTGAAATTTTGAACAAATCCGAGTGAGGGTAAGTCGCTATTACTAAATAATCTACTGTATTGTGCGTGAAAATCAATTAGCGGCACGTTAACTTCTTGTTTTTACCAAATATCCTATACATAACAAAGATATTTGATTATATGGGAATCGAACCCACACAGTAGATAATGTCTATTAAATCATTTTTTTTCCTTTATTATTATCCTAAGGGATATTATACCTTTTCAGATACATTTAAGTAACATTTATGAGGTTTATATAACATTTTTAATGTTTCTTCAATCAATTTGAATATTAATAATAACAGCTAAAATCTAAATACAATAACAATTTATTACCAATATATATTGACAATATGATTAATCTTTGAGAGTTTGTACGGTTAGACTATGCACTTCTTATAAAATGTATTGTTTTCTTTATAGTATTACGTATTATCCATTATGATATTATAGAAATTTACCTGTTTAAGAAATGATATTGCCAAAAAAATATAAACTAATTAGGTACATTATATATTAAATTTTTTTTTAATGTTTATACTTAATAATTCAACGGGAAAGTAAGTCATAGAGATATTTCGTTTCTGGAATATTCCATTTTATTCGAAGTAACTAATACTAAATTGAGTGACTAAATTTTTGATCTAGTTTGAAAATTGGAAGTCGCTTACAGAGAGCTTTTGGACTAACAAAAATTGGACTTACATTTAAAAGAAATTAGATTGTTTTTAACTTATGTACATCCATCATCACATGTAACACGACACAATTTTTGATATGTATATATTTTTTTGATTATTATGAATGTATTAAAAATATTTTTTCTTGGTATTATAAATGTTGTAATCTTAATTTACTCTCCCAAAATAGAACGTTTTATTATTTTACATCAGATTAATTTGAATTTTAAGTTTTGATTCTCATACAATTATAATTTTAGGTCATTTAATTTTACTTTTATTTGCCTTAAATGGCGTTGAATTTGAGGCGTTTATTCAACAGTGTTGCCTCATATCCTTAATATTTTATTGTCTCAATTTCCTGCGCATGATATTTTTCTTTCAACTAGATATTAGTTGTTACCTCCTTGCGCATAGAAAGCAGTCTTTAAATGTTACTTTTGTAAATTAAGTGTTAATTTTTAATTTATCGATGTGCGTAGTTCCTCGTTTAGATTAATCCCAAAATATCAAATTCAACTTGACTCTATTTCGTCAAAGAAGACAAATTTCTAATCCCAAAAATGCAAACAGTTAATTAAAAACAAAATTTAAGCAAATAAGGAAAATTATATTTATAATTGGCAATACTAGGAAAAAAATATTTGAAGTTGATAAAACCGTTAGTCAGTGGGATAGTATTGTCGACAGCAAGCCGAGCTCACCGCTGTCGTCACACGCTCGGGAACGCCATAACACCGCCTCGCAACTCGCTAGGCCCAATACGGATTATCTTTATAGGTGCGTCTTAATCTGTCGCGCTTTGCTACCCGCTTGTCTCGCTTCGCTTTGCTTATTTTTTTAATTTTTTATCTGTTTTATTCCTTTTTATAATGATTTGGAGAAGTTTCATAAAAAAGTTGATTATATTACAAACCTATAAAGTGTGATATGGCTACTAATGAGATATGGCTATTTTTGCAATATATGTATATAATTTCCAATTTATATTATGACACGTCCCATGACTAACGATTGTGATTGTTTCTATCCATTCCTTTCCAAATCAGACATCAGACAAAAAAAAAATGTTTTTACAAAATTAATTTTAAATTATTTTAATATACATTTTGGGAAGTGGCATAATATATTTACACGAATGGTGAAATCGCTTTGCTATTTTCAGAATTATATTTCGATTTACATTCGAACTAAATCGATTTTTACTAAATAGCTAAAAAAATTGATTTTTTACTAATTATTAAAGATCATCCCTTGTAGTAAAGGCCCGTGTCCACCGGGACGTTAAAAAAGGGTTAAATAAGAATACTAAAAAAATATATGTATATGAAAAGCAAAACGTTTTTACCCATACGTACCTTGCAATATAGCAGCTTAACGCATGAGAACTTACTGCTCTCAAATGATTTTGTCCTGCACCCAAGTATATTTAATTGGTATATTTGTTTTAACACTGAACACCACGAAGTCATTGTTCATCACTATTTATGATAAATACGTCGGGTTTATCTAACATTGTTTGGTAATGGATTTCTGTAGTGTAATGGAAACCTGATTTTTTTAATAGGACCACAAAAGAGTTGCAAATTTTTCGAACGTACATATTAAATTAGTTTTAATACGATTTAGAATATGATTTAATTATATAAATTTATTTAATATAGCTTTCTTTTATAATGCATAAAATATGAACAAATTAATTCCTAAAAAAACATTACACAAATATAAATGTCCAGTGGCAACATATCATCGTCTAAGGCTATATCAATGTCGGCGCCTGGAGCCATCAATGTGGAACACACTACAGTCAAATTTACCGACGAAATTAAGAAGGCGAGACACTCTATAACTACGCATAGCTCATTGAAGGTAAACCACTAATCTCTAGTAAATCGCATGTTGTGAAAGCCCCCATAATTTTTGGTAATAGAATTACCTAGCAAACAATATCTTTCATTTATAAATAAAAACACTTTTGAACACCATTACTCATAATTTAAATTCAGAATTCCCATAATAGCCCGGTGGATTTAGGATTTGGCATTGCAAAACTTTTTAACAGCAATTTTCCTTCGAAGTTCTTTAGAGACGGTCACTGGAAGTCTAAATTTAGATTTTTGGGGTACCAGACCCGTTGCGTCATTCGTCAGCTTAAATTTAAGGGTTGATTTTTGTTTATTGAATAAGCCGTTTATTTTCAATTTTACACAAAAATTAGTTATTACAAAGTTGTTTGAAATTAAATTTCCTACAATTTTGGTTCTTATCAATTTTTTGCTAGGGTCGATATTTTTCAATTTATACCCGAAAAAAGGGGTTGAGTTTTTAGTTTATAAAACAACTCGTTTATCTCCAATTGTACATGAAAAATTGTAATAAACAAAGTTGTTTGAAATCAAATTTCCTACCATTTTGGTCTATATAAATTTTTTTGTAGGATCGATATTTTTCGATTTATACCTGAGATTTTGCTTTTTTTTTGAGCTAATTCGACTGGGCTATAACGTATTTCAAATGATTGCTTAATTTGTCCCCTTACATGTAAAACTTAGTGAACAAGTGCCCCGTCCGCAGCCGGCGAGCCAGGCGTCCGCGGACTCGCTGCTGGCGGCGGGGGAGTCCCCGCCCGACGCGTGCCGCTCGCTCTCCTGCCTCACGGACTCCACCGACCACACCGCGCCGCTCAACTTCGACATGAGCAATCGGGTCCGTCATACACATTGATCAAAAAAGTACTAGATACATAATCGCATGCAAAAGTTATCTTGAAACTGTCACCAATTGTGTTTAGGTCACTATTCTAGTTGAAATAAATATACAACAATGTAAATTGAACATTAAATGCGATGCTTAGTTTTCACAAAAAAAGCGTGAAAAGCGCGTCCAAATGTTTGAATGAGCATTCATTAGGTGAACACATTTTTTGTCGCTGATTGTGCATCTAGTACTTTTTTAATCAATGGCTATACAACATTATTAGTTTACGCGGAAAAAGATGTCTGTACGACTTGAGGTAGAGGTCCGCAATCTATACAGTAGAGGCGCACCAAAGTATATATACTATGTTTTCAAATTACAGAGCATAATGCCGCACTTTGGCGCACGAATAACGAGAAAAAACACTTCTTAAGTGCTCGACTGTGCGAAGCGTTGCTGTAGTTGAAAAATTCGAAGTTAAGCAATATGCAGCATAACGCGCTTTAGTGCTGTAATTGGAAAACGCCCGTACTTACTGTAATGTGATAGTTGGAAACGGGTTTTGGGTTGACGAGTATAAAAGTAAATGGCCACGAGACGGTATATTTACGTTCGCCAGAAAAATTAATATTTTATAAAGTATTTAAGTGTTTTTTGTTCTACTATAAACACAATGCTAATTTTGTGCGTAAGAATATGTATGTATATTATTAATTTTGGGCACAACAGAATCTCGCCTGGAGCTTCACAGCGAGCAATGCTTTTCACATTACTCTAATACACATATGACTCTGAATTTTAATGATGTACAATAAAATATTGCCCTTATGTTCCTACTCTGTAAATGCCTTTCTCTCCCTTGCTTTTTGTTTTGTCATAACATAAGATTTTTGTCAACTTACTTTGTTTGTACAGTAGAATTAAGTCTAAGATTTGTAATGGTTTCACTTTTATTTCCAACTACAATTCGTATTATAAATATTTTGGTACATATTATGGAACATCGTATTTACTTCCACATAAAAGAACACAATATAAAGGAATTAGGTAAAAATTACTTAAACATCGAACAACAAACTTTGTACATAAATGAAGAACATACATTTATACATACCTACTGCTCAAACACTTTAAAATTTTCGTTTCAATCGGCTAATAATATAAATTATTATTATTATTATTGGTCTGATTAAAAAACCTATTTGACCAGGCGAAACTTCCTCGCGGCATCGAGAACATTCGCCCGCACATAGAACAAGTGGACAACGTGCCGCTCTTAGTGTCCCTCTTCACCGACTGCACTGCCAACTCCGTGCAACGTATGATAGAAATAATGCAGGTAAGCAATCGCTTGGAAAACCGAGTGAAGCGGGTTCGAATCCCGCGTCCGGCACCTCTGATATTTTCATGTGCGAATTACTTGCAATATGATTACCACTTGACTTACGGTAAAGGAAAACATCCTGAGGAAACCTACATGTCTGAGAGAACTTAGCAAGTTTTCGAAAGAAGAATTAAAGGGAGGCCCAGCAGTGGGACGTTAAAAATCGTTAAATATAAAGGCAGGTAAGTCTTACATATCAATATTGGCATTAGACATACATACATAGTGAAATCTCTCAACCGGTTTTTGTAGGTTATAGGAATATTGTTCAATTCAATTTTCTTGTATAACTAATCGCTTCAAAGCGTGCCAGTTGAGTGAAGATTACTTCACCAATGTCACGTAGAATGGAGAAGACACGAAGGTGGGATATTGTTGAGCAAATGCCAAAAAGTTAAAAAAAAAAAAAACAGAAATATTCAAAATATTTTTAACCGGTAACATAATCAATTTCAATTTTATCTTATGTTATACAAATATAATGTATTAAAATTTGTTTTAATTTGGCAGTAAAAATATTATTATCCAAACAAACTTTGTCACGCTTTTTACGCCATTTAAAACATAATCTCAATGATCTTAGTTGATACTTATTATCTATTAAATAATTGCAGTCATCGGTTTTTTCAGAAAATCAATGATTTGCTCCAGGTGTCAACTGATTAGTGTTAAAACATACATTAATATAACTTTATAATTTGTACTGAGATTAATAACACCTTCAACTCTTTCCAGGACTACGGTGAAGTGGTTTGCGTGATGGGCTCAGCGGCTAACTGTCAGAACATGGAGATATTTATGCAGGCTGATGCTAGGTAAAATACATACATACTATTTACTATATAGTTATTCAAAACTTTATTATATTACTATTAAGTGATTAATAATAATAGTGATTAAATAATAAATTTCCGCCTTCTCTTACTAAATTTTATAAGCAAATAATAATAGAATGGACTTTGATATTTGATACATATATTCTGGAAAGTGTTGTTTCGAATGAAGATAGGATAATAGTTTTTAAAGAGTTTATATATTAGCGCTCATCCATATAGTATTCTAATTTCATTATCTATTTCTATTGCTAAGTTTCGTAGTATTACATTCAAATTTAATACTTATTGATTCGACAATAAACGGTAGCTTATGTGTGAATCGAGACATCTCCTTTCCAGACTTCGATCAAATCCGTTGAATCGTAAGAGCTTGAACAAATAAAAAAAGTATTTGTTTTTTATATTAACAGTAAAATACAGACAAACCAACAGATTCAAATAGGTTCTGCATATTCATCGGGGATCGATGCAGAACACTAACAATTTTACAATATTTGTTCTTCCAATATTAGCATAGCAGTTGAGCCTTTGTACCCGGTTCTATGCCAAAAGATGCCTCCGTACCAAATACCGCAAGACTGCATCGGTCCCATAGATCTGGCGCGGTCACTCAACTCTGTGCCTTGTTCACTATCGGTAAGGTTCATTTTACTTTGATATAATATATGTATTAATAACATTTAAGTACCTAAGCATTATAATAATCTCCCGAATGAATGCTTTTACACGCTTACCTTAAAGCTGAAAAACAAATGGCAAAGTCAGCCGTGCACGAACTATTGCAACACTCAGGTGAGTTTGAACTTAGGCTTTGCATACTATTTGTAGAAAGTTTATATATAAAACTTTTTTACCATTTAACGTAGGTCGATATGTTATAAATTACGCTTTCTGCTTTTAGCTATAGCTGTTTTAGTGCACCGTTACACACATTTCTGATATTAGAATATGATTTATAATCTAATATATATAATTGGTTGGTAATAAAGATTGGGCAAATTCTAGACGAGCCATTGTAAACTTGTAAAATTAAACATTTAATTGTTGTGATTTTTAAACCTGTGAAACTTTTAACCGGTTACCTATACCTTACAAAAAAATACACTTTTCTGTTAGAATGTATTCAGGTTACATCACTAGTATTTATATATTAAATCAGCAATAAGTCCTAATTTGGCCAATGTTATGAGGTCGTTTTTCATATAAACATTCCCACTCTTTTTCACTCTTCATTCATTTCAGCTCTTGGGTTTCTGAGAATGAACCAATTTGACACAGTATTTTTTTTACATAAAAGTACATACAGAGACACGTTTATTGTTCATCCATCTACAACCTGATATCAATTGACTGTCTCTTAATAGTTATCCATATGGAATACGAAGCACTATGTCAAAATGAAGGCATGAATGAATTGATCACAACAAGCTATTTTTTATAGTATATTCAAATTCAAAATTAGTTTTACAGCAATAAATTTTTACACTTTTTTACTGAACATCATGAGTTTCCTACAATGTTTATTTCCGAACTACCAGTTTGGGAAAAACGCCTCAGTCCTGAGAGGAAATGGAGAAAGAACCTCAGTGGAAATAGATTTATTTAAACTTTTTTTTGAATATTATACAATACTTCTACAACTTTGAAAATATGAAACTTAGTGGGAATCGTTTTACCACTTTGTCTTACGGTGAAGGAAAACATCGTGAAAAAACCTATATGTCTGAGGGAACCTAGTAAATTTTCGAAAGACATGTGAAGTCCGCAAACCCACACTTGACCATGGTGAACTATGGCCTGATCCCCCTCGTTTTGAAGTCCCATGCCCAGCAATGGGACGTTAAAAAGTATTCAATAATGTAAAAATATATATTACCGATACACTTTAATTGTTTTATTGTACATCTGTCTACAACGTGACGGCAGATGACTCGCGACGCGGACGTGTCTCTGTTCGCGCTGATCACGATGTCGCGCCACTTCACCGCGTGTCTGTGGAACACCACGCAGTTCTGGATGTGCAGCTCCTGCTACCTATCTCTCTTACAGGTTACACTTTAATAATAATAAATATGATGGGACATTAAGACACAGGGCCATCTAGTTCCATGGTAAGCTACGAGGCTTGTATTATGGATACCAGATAATTGATACACTACTACACATATTGTATAACTTTAAATACTTACATATTATAAATATAAACACTCATGACTCGAGTACAAACATTCGTGCTCATCACACAAATGAATGCCCCCATCGGGACTCGAACCCGCAACTGCTAGAACAGCAAGTGAAATAGGGTCACTACAAACTGAGTAAAACATGTTGTCATAAACAATTTTAGCATTTTTCTTTCTTTTCCGAGTATAGTAGCCATCTAGCTGGCTCTTTAATAATGTCACCTTAGAGCTAGACTTTAATTTTAAAAATAATTTAAATTACATATAAAAATCCTTTTTTATTTATTTATGCAAATTTTTCACATTTTAATTAATTAAAACTATTCTTTCTACTATATGTACTTAAACTTAAATAGAACTTTTTTTTAAATACTGTAAAGTTAGGTAAAAAAAGCCAGGGTAACATTATTTTGGTGCATCAACTTTTTCGGTCTTAACTTTCCAAAGGGGAAGGATAGATAGATATTTTTAGGGGTCGTATTTCTGGCTTTATTTTTATTTCATACTAGCTGTGTCCCGTTGTTTCACCCAAGTTAAATTTGTTTGATTATAAATATCAGTTTTACAATATTGTAATTCTGTCCGATTTGTTGACATTTATGATTACTGCTCCGCTCCCTTGGGTAGTAGGCAGTAGCATGATGATATATAGCCTATAGCTTTCTTCAATAAACGGGCTGTCTAATGCGAAACGAATTTTTCAAATCGGTAAAAGGTACCACTAATTACCTAAGATTAGCGTGTTCAAACAAACAAACTCTGTTTCTTTATAATATTAAGTATATACTATAATGATAGCCACATATATGTATGTGCAGGTGGCGTCGGTGACGGCGCTGGGGCCGGGCGCGCTGAGCGCGGGCGGCGCGGCGTGGGCGGCGCTGGCGGCGGGCGCGCTGGCCGCGGCGCTGGCCTTCGCGCCGCCGCACGCCGCGCTCGTACTGCGCGCCGCCACGCGCCCCGCGCTCGACCTTAGCCCGAGGGTACGTGGATTTGTTTTGTTTGAACAACTTTTAGTTTGTTTGTTTAGTTTAATCGATGAGAATTGTAGAATTGTTGAGCTTAATAATTTGCGTTTTTGAATTAAAACTTCTTTAGAATCGTTGTGATTTGAAACTCGATGAAGCGGAAATGCGACACTAAAAAGAGACAAACACATATATATGTATATAAGATTAAGCCGGCGAGAGAATGAGATAGAATACGTTACACAAGAAGTAAAAAATAGTACTGAATAATATGTTATGTAATATGTGTTAAAAAATTTAAAATAACTTTTAAACTTGGTAAAAATATTATTCAAAAATACTTATAAGTATCCTACTCCCGATACTCTATATTCATCTCAATCTCTCGTAGATTACTTTTCTACAGTTTTAGTCATACGCTTTTAGATTTTCTATAGTAATTTTATAGAAGGATATTTGTTTAATTTGTAAAGATTAAAGAGAAAACTTTAGAAGTTTTTTAAAAGCATCAGATAGCAATTATGTTAACTGTCTCAAAACAAGTAGATAATACAAACATCTTTTTGATAGATTGTAAGTAATTAATATATAAGGTTACGAATCATAAAAAAAATAATCACATAAATACTTTTCGCCGCTATCTAACCTCTTTTAAAAGAAGAATACTGTTTTTTTTTGTTTATACTTATTATTTTTTTAAAGTGTCATTTATATAAAACAATAATTCCTAAAACCACCAGATGGCGCTATTCGTGTTTTGGTGCTACGCGTGCAAGTTCCTGCCTTCGGCCATATCTATCCTAGTCTTATACGGGCTTACATTAAGAGATTTCTGTGAACAAATAGCAACAGTCACAAACAAAACGTCCTGCTGGCTTGTTTACCCCGTGAATGTAGGCAACTACAGCAGTAATGAAGACCTGTCGCTGAAGAGCTGGCACGGGTGGGGAGATGACTTCTATGACGCTTTCTATCTGACTCAGCACATCGTGTTGGCCTTGATCACTTTGCATTTAAGTAAGTTTTATATATGACAAGCGATTTACCTTCGCTTCTCTCGGGTGCGTCCCTAGGTACGTTTGAATTTTTTTTTAACGGAACCCTAATTCTTTTTCTAAAAGAAAAGTAGCCAAGTTACTCCTGATAACATCAGGTATCTGCCAATGAAAGTCCCGTCAAAATCAGTCCGGCCATTTCGGAGATTAGCTGGGACAGACAGACAGACAAAAAATATAGTAGAAAAATAAAAAAAATATTGTAGAAATAAAAAGTTTAAGAAGTAAAGATTACAGAGTAGAGTAGAGGAGTATGTTTACATTTCTATTGAATTGTTTACTGATTGCATTGATTAAATATGTTGAAATATTATACTTATATCATTTATTGTCCACAGTTGTAATATCTATGTCATTCGTCAATCGACACTCCTCCATATGGCAGGGGAGGTTCTGGTCGAACAGGGTGTGGTGTGTCACAGTAGTGTTATTGTAAGTATTGCACGTGCATTGATATAGTTAAAATATACTTATGTCCTAGCTACTTAACTGAAAATATAGTATGGTAGTGGATTATTAGATAATTTAAAATAACATAATTTTAGTGACCGTTGTGTCGTGTGCACATGACTTTATATAATTCAAGCGACCTGCCCTCGCTTCGCTCTGGTTCGTCCCTAGATTGCTTCCCAATACAAACTTTCATTTCCATTTTTACCCTCTTAAGGGATGATTTCCGGGATAAAAAATATCCTTTGTCCTTTCCTAGGGTCTCAAACTATCTTCTTACCAAACTTCATCTAAATCGGTTGAGTAATTTCGGAGCCTATTCGGTACAAACAAACAGATCTTTCCTCTTTATAATACTAGTATAGACTAGCTCTAGAATAACAACAAATCTATCCCACAGCAACCGTATATTTTTCCGGGATAAAAAGTAGCCTATATGTTATTCTGATGTATAAACTATATTATTGTTAAGTTTCTTTGAAATCCATTCAGTAGTTTTTGCGGGAAAGAGTAACTAACATCCATACATCTATCTATACATCCACCAAACTTTCGCATTTATAATATTAGTAGGATGGAATACTGTTTACCCAAACAGTACTATTTTATGTACATAAATTGTATATAGTGTGATTAGAGTGAAATATTGTATCAGTTGTTCTGTCATTAAACGGGCATAATTTAATTGGCAACTTATTTTAAATCTTATTAATACCGTAAAGTACCTTAAGTCTGTAAGGAACAAAATGAGTGTTATCTTAAATGGATTACCTTAAGCTGCTATAGTGTTTCCGAAATCTATCTCCTTGTTAGCATTAGATCAATTTAAACATATGAAATTATTGCATGGCCTCCGAGTTGTGAAATAAAACTTGCCTACATTTTTTGATTATATAATTTTCGACTGGGATTATAAATAAAGTTTATATCTGCCTTTATAATTGCTACTGCTACTGGATGGATTTGGATGTTTAGGACACAGATAGACTGCATTTAAACACATCTAAGGTTACTGTTACCTAGTAACGCACCTAAGCGTAGCAAGTATAAGGCGCCAATAAGTGTATAACAATAACTAAATATACAAACAAAATCATTTAAGTTCATTATATAACCATAATAACAAATATACATATTATTGTTTCCAGAATAGTGTTCCAAAGCATTTTCAGCGTGTGCCAGCTGAGCGGCGGCGCGTGGCGGCCGCGCGCGTCTCCCGCGCTGGCCGCCGCCGCCGCCGCCTCGCTGCTGCTCGTGCTCGCCGCCAACGAGCTCATCAAGTGGCAGGAGATCAAGTCAGTATCAGTGTCGACATTTTGAGAACACTGAGACCTTAGGAAATGGGGGGGGGTCATAAGTAGCATTTACACTTTACGACAAAGTTCCACTTTTAGCTAGTGTTTTTTCTTCTTAAACGCTTAGGCCCTGTCCGCACTGCGATATATGTCTCAAAAGGCCAAACGTCTTAATATTATTACTTATTTTGGTTCCTTTAATTAGAAAACAGAAGTCGGACATAGGTACACACAATACATTACTCTCTTTTGGAGCTTCGCTGCAGTTGGATAAAAATGGACACTTTCTAGTACAAACTCTTCTAGTCGTAGCACGCGGTGTATTCACCGAAGAATATTTAAGTGTGTAATTTTAAATGTAATTAAGTAGGTTATGAAATTATTGTTGGGGTGGGTTTTGCATTAAAAAATTTTGTGAAGTTTGCAAAATTCAAAACTATTTCTATTACTACACTATCTATACATATAATAAAATTGTGAGTCCAATCTGTACATTAAATATTTTTTTGCAAATCTTTTTGAAATAGACATTATTATCGATACAGAGGCCGAATCTAGAGATTTTAGAATTTTTGTCTGTCTGTCTGTTACCGCATCACAGAAATCTACTGGACGGATTTTGATGAAATTTGGTATGGTCATAGCCGATTATACGGTCAACATATAGGATACTTTTTACCGCGGAAAAATATCTCATTTCTGAGAAAAAGGATTTAGATTGAGCTTTATAAATGTTTCGTTTTTTAAATAAAAACAAACAAATGCAATTTTTCTGCCAAAATATCGGTTGAAAACGATTTTAACGATTTAAAATAATTTTTACCCTATCGTAATTAACTTCGATATTTTGATCAAATATGCCTATTTTATAAGTGGTACTTAAAGTTATACTAACACTTGTGAAATAATTTATTGCTATAATGTAAATATGTATTAAAATTATGTATTTTCAGAGTGGACGCGCGCAATCAAAGACGAGCCCGGCTGGACTTCGGAACTAAGCTGGGGATGAACTCGCCATTTTAAAACGCTATTTTGTCTAGTCAATTACGCTTTAGTAGAATTTTATATGTAACGATGCCAACACCACGGTTGAAGTTTAGCTCTAAGGGAAATAATGTACTTTTTACATAACTACACACTATTTTGTACTTAATTTATTCAATGAATTTTTCCAGACATTCATTTTTTTAATAAATGATATTCTATAATCGGTTTCTTCATTTAATTTTAGATCCAATAAAAAAGCACATTCAAACAAATATTTTTATTTGAACTAATTTTAACTTGTGATGTATATTTAATTTTAATGTACGCCACGCCGAGACGCAGCGGTCATTACTGTAACAAAAAAGTTATAAAGCCTTGATTTTTTTTCATTTAGGCCACTCTTGAGGTTAGATTACGTACTATATTTAATCTTACGACATTAAACGATATACTTCATTTTTTTTTGTTATGAACACCAAAAATAATAATTTCCAGATGACCAACCTTCATGTTTTGCCATAAATAAAATGTTAATAACAATTTTTATTACGATCTCTACACTATTGTTAGTTACTAAACACTTGTACTTATAGGTACGTAAATAGGATCCTATCACTAGGAATCATCTGGTAAGTCCAGTATTTCTTGCACGAAGGAAGCCACATCCGTTTCTTTCTGGCTATGCTCAAGGCAGAATGGATGGGTGAGCAAAGCGTCGTAGTTAGGCCTCTGCTTGTAATCCTTCTTGAGACACTTCGTGATCATATCCTCAAATTCAGCTGAGAACTGTCCACTTGGAAGACTAGGGGGGTCATCTTTGACTACTTGTTTCAGTTGCTCAAACGGTGTGCCCCAGGTGTTGTACGGAAAATTTCCGGTCGCAAGCTCAATCATTGATATACCGAGCGACCAAACATCGCTACGAATGTCGTATTGACCAGGATTACCGCTCGGGTCAATACGTTCTGGCGCCATATATGGTTTGCAGCCAGCGTCTATTGTTTTCGCTACAGAGTCCACTAAATATCCCGAAATGCCAAAGTCACACATCTTCACCTCTCCTTTTCTATTAATCAATATATTAGAAGGTTTGACATCTCTGTGGATGACTCTTAACTTTGAGTAAAGGTAATGAAGGGCGCTTACAACTGAAAATGCTATTTTGCCAAGAATGTTTTCAGTTATGGTTTTATTGTTCTTATAAACCTTGGTGTAGAATTTGTCTAGACTCATATCCATTACTTCCATACAGATCCACACATCTCCCTCTCTAAACATGGCACCATAGAAATGTACTGTGTAAGGACATGCACTAGCCCTCATGGAAACATCGAGATCCATCAACAAGCGCTTAAGCTCCAAGGATTGGGTGTTAAAAGATGCTGTGATTCTCTGAAACAGTGGGGATTGTCGGTTAGTTTAAAGTTATCTTGTCAAAGATTTGTCACAGCTTGCTATTAAAACATAGAGCTCCAAATATGTTTCATTGCTAACTTTTAATCATTTTTTTACAGTAGCAGTATATAATGATACTAATAGGTATGGATAAAAAAATGTATTGTATTTTACTACTTTAAAAAAAACAAGCTTGTATGATAGGTAGTTGCTGTTATTACCTTGACAGCCATTATAGTATTACTGGGTTTGTGATGCATTTTTTCCACAATACCATAGGCACCACGGCCAAGGTCACAAATCTTGACCAAGTCATCAGCATGAACAGTAAATGTTTTATCATCTACTGTAATTGTAGTCTGTTTGTCTAGATTTCTTGGAGGAGTTCTGCAAAAGTACAATATAAAACAATTTATGTTGTGGTAAAAGATATTTTACCTCATGATTACTTTGGTTTGTTATGCATAAAAAATACATGCAGCAAATTTTTTATAACTCGTACATGTTTAAGTGAAAATTTTCACTTGAATCTCAGAACATTGGCACAAATTCAGAATTGGGGACTTGGCCCCTAGCGGAGTGGGTGGTATTTCTGGATAAGGGACGTGATAGGGAGTCGAAATGTTAAATAAATTTTTTAATACAACAAAAGATTCAAAAGTTATTGAGACTTAAAGTTACAACATTTCCATACATTTTCATATATTTCTTTACCACCATTCGGAGTGGGTGGTATTTTTAGATAGGGGAGGTGACAGAGAGTCAAACTATATTAAAAATATTTGGAGGAAACGTACGAGTAAAAAGTTATTGAGACTTAAAGTTATAACATATCTAACACATTTCCATACATTTCTTTACCTAAATAAGTGATTACAACAGATAAACATACCTTTAACGAATAGTACGCATCCTTTTTTATGTACATTACACATTTTCACAACAATTAATGCTTTATTGTATTTAATATTTTAATAATTTCACAACACAAACAAAATGATCTTACATTTTGACAAAAGCAAAACTGACACTTTGTTTTATATTACCGCTTAAATGACAACAGATTATATTTGATTATTTTTGCTTTTTCTGTTGGTAAAATATTACTATTAATAAATAAATAAAAAGAAAATATTATTTTCACTTTATAAATACATTTATGACTTTTTATTTGATTTATGTAAAATATATTGTTTTACAATTGTACATTTAGTAAAAAAAATCATTTTTTTATCTGTGAATATTTTTAATTATTTATTTATTATTCGTCATAACTGGGTTAGGTTAGGTTAGAACATTTAAGATTATTTATTTATTATTCCTCATATCTGGGTTAGGTTAGGTTAGAACATTTAAGATTATTTATTTATTATTCCTCATATCTGGGTTAGGTTAGGTTAGAACATTTAAGATTATTTATTAATTATTCGTCATATCTTGGTTAGGTTAGGTTAGAACAGTTGCCACAACGCACGAGCCGAGCGAGCGAAGCGAGCGTGCCGCGGTAGCGGCCGGCGAGTGCCATAAATGACTATAAAACTAGAAGATTCGAATTTCACGTAAAGTACAAATAAAGACAATCATCTGGAGATCATTTTGACAATTGAAAGTGACGTTTTGACTCCAAGTGTCTAAATGGTAGTAATGTCAAAATAATGTATGGAAATGTTATAACTTTAAGTCTCAATAACTTTTGACTCTTTTGTTGTATTAAAAAATTTATTTAACATTTCGACTCTCTATCACGTCCCTTATCCAGAAATACCACCCACTCCGCTAGGGGCCAAGTCCCCAATTCTAAATCGCCGCCAGAACATTTTAACATTTACTAGGAAACCTATGCATTACTAAATGTAAAGATAAAGTTATAATCATACAGTAATAAATATAATGAAGATCATTATTAAAATTAAAGCAATATAATTATTATTTAGTAATACATATAACACAATATCATTAAGGTTAAGTACCAAGATTCAAATAAAAAAGAAATTAATTAATATTTTGAATATGTTCTTAAAGTATTAGAATCTTGAAATTAAGACAAATGTAACATGGAAAATAAAGTCATATACTTAAGTATTCAATAAAAAAATTAAAAATATTTTAGAAGGTCACAAACAACTAATTGGTAACCTATTAACGCACACAAAAATGTAATATTAGTATTGAGAAAAAATTACTTATAACTTCAAATATATTAAATAAAGACATGAATATGTATCGTGTTTGTTTGAAATATTTAGTAGTCATTTAATTAACACATAACAAATGGAATTAAATTTTAATAACTTACACAGTGACCTGTTCTTCCTGCGGTTTGAAACTAAAACCTGGTGGTGGTGGTTTTCTTCTTCCAGACATTTTATACACAGGATCGTTGCGAAGGTCTAATCAAAATATTTCCAAGCTTAATCTCAATAATTAGTCCCACGGCTCTCGTGTGGAGTGACAACAGTTATGATTTATTTTTCACATAACATGTTGGCTAAGTACACACAGGATATTTAGCTATCCAAAATGATTTCAATTGCTTTAAAAATTCAATTTATTCTTACATTTACCACTAATTATAAGATTTTGGAATATTCACTATTTCAGTATTCGTATGACATTAATTTAAAAATGTTGCAATCTAAACAAGTAGGACAAAATACTATAATCTTATTAAATGTAGCAACATTTTAACACAGCATAATATTGTCAATGACGAGTGACGACAAATAAAAAAGAATATGGTCAAAGTTTACGTCATAATAATAAAATTTTATTCCTAATATATTATTTAACCTATTTTATTAAAATAACGATAATCGATTTTAACAAAATCTCCACAAAGTTAGTACCTAAAATGGTAGCGACTAAGGAATTTAGTGCGTGAAGATACAACAATGTTACTTTTTTTTTAGATGCCCAACCACTTACTGAAATGCCTTATTTATACATATAATAAAATTGTAACTAAGCGGAATCTGTACATTAAATATTTTATGGAAAATCTTATTGAAATAAACATTAATGTCGATATAGAGGCCGAATTTATAGTTTTTAGATTTTTTGTCTGTCTGTTACCGCATCACAGAAAAACCACTAGAGGGATTTTGATGAAATTTGGTATGGTGATAGCTGGTTATCCGGGTCAACATATAAGATACTTTTTACAGCGGGAAAATATCTCATTTTTGAGAAAAAATACAAAAACTGCAATGTAAGAGTATACTAATATATAAAACCTAAGAATTTGGTTTTTGGTCACCTGAACGCGGGCGGAGCCGCGGGTAATGCTAGTATGTTATATATGTTGTAGAAAAAAAGCAAATATTTTAATAACAATTTATTTAGTAGAAAATTTAATTGCCTTAACCGCTTTTTTGGCTATTTTGATGGCTTCCATTTTTATTTTATGTTGTTTTTCTTTTTCAGCCAATCCCACTACAACATCGTGTTGTAAAGCGTTTTTAACTGTCGATTTTGCAAAGAGTTTACTCAAAACATAATCATCATCATTAAGTTTTTCTTCTTTCTCTTTATATTTCTTTTTCGTTTTAATTTTTTTCACTTTCAATAAGTTTTCTATTTCACAATCTGAAGATTCGTGTCTTCTTTTTCTTGATTTTTTATTTTTCACATCAGTTTCTGGTTCAGCGAAGTTAGATTCATCCTTTGAATCATAGTTTAGTGTTTCTGTACTATTTTCTTCTTTAATATTCTGAGTATTATCTAAAATTTGAGGATTTGTTTCATTTTCAGAACTTAATACATCTTTAATTAATTTTTCTTCATAATCTTTTTTTGTGTGTCTATTAATGATATCTAATTCAGAAATAATATTTTCGAAGGGTATATTAGTAACTTTGTCGTCAACTATATTTACTGCTGGTTCTTCATTAATTTTAGGTGGATTAAGTATTAATTCCATTTTCTTCTTATATTTTTCACGTGGGTCATTTCCAAGCTCACTAGTTAAGCTTTCACTATCTTTTTTTATTTTGTTACTTATTTCTTTAGCTTTTCTTTTCATTGCTTCTAGCTTTTTGTTTATTGTTTTATTTTTATTATTATTTGACTTATTAGGTAAATTTACTTTAGTATGTTTGAACAAGGCAGTTGTTTCAGTATCTCCTTCTAAATTTAGATCTTCAAGGTTGAATAAGGTTTGTAAATTGCTTGTAGTAAGAACATTTTTCTGGTTAGGATCTACAAATATTTTATTACTTAGGAAATTTTTAAATATTTGTCTCTGGTATATTTTTTCTTCAATTGTTCCAGCAGACAACAATCTATACACTGTCACATTTCTTTCTTGACCAATTCTCCAAGCTCTTTCTTTAGCCTGGTTGTCAGTAGCTGGATTCCAATCAGGATCATATATGATAACTCTATCTGCCCCAGTTAAATTAACACCAAGCCCTCCTACTCTGGTTGTAGCTAGAAAAACTAAATATTTTGGGTTTTCATTAAAAGTTTTAATTAAATTTTGTCTTTGAGCAACACTTACACTACCATCCATTTTTAAATATTGGAAATTATGATTTTGTAAATGCTGTTCTAAAATGCAAAGCATTGCTCTGGACTGTGAAAAAATTAAGCTCCTGTGGCCTTGTTTCATCCATATTTTAAGTAAAGAATGAACTACAGACATTTTTCCAGATCGCTTAAAATTGCCAAATAATTCTTCATCTATTTCTTCATATTCTTCGTGTGCTTCATAGAGATATAAATCAGGATGATTACATATTTTTCTAAGTGTTGTTAATGCAACCAAAATTCTAGCTCGCAATGGATCACGAAATTTTGAATCTTTGTCAAGGATACTACGAACAGTATTACTCATCAGATACCCCATATATAAATCTCTTTGCTCTCTAGTAAGTGCACAGAAGAGAACTTGCTCATTTTTTTCTGGTAATTTAATATGTTCCTGGACTTCACTTTTTGTCCTTCTCAAAATATAAGGAGTAATAATTTTTTTAAGAGCTTTAGCAATCTCTAATGCTGTAGCTTCTTGATGTTGAGTAGCATTTGCATATCCCCCTTGTGTAATAGGAACAGCAAAATGATCCATAAATGCATTGTAAGTGCCTAACAATCCTGGTCTCATAAAATCAAACAACGACCATAATTCTTGTAGACTATTCTGCATTGGAGATCCTGTTATAAGAATTTTATGAGGTGTATCAAATTGTTTTACAAGTTTGCTAACTTGAGTTTCAGGATTTCTTATTTTATGTCCCTCATCTAATATAATGTAATGCCACTTTTTAGTTAGTAAATCTTTGATATATTTAACAGCTCCAGCATATGTAATCAAAAGTATTCCATGAGATGAGTAGAGTTCTCTAATAAGTTTATGATGTTTGCCACCATGAGATCCAGAATGATGAAGAACAGCAACTCTTAAATTTGGATACCAGTAATGAAAATGAGAAACCCACTGATAAATAACAGTAGCTGGAGCTAAAATAATTGAGGGACCAAGTCCTCCCCAAGATCCATAATCACTTTTAGATAATCCAGCTAAAAAAGCAATAATTTGAACAGTTTTCCCTAAGCCCATTTCATCCCCTAATAGTCCCCCAGATTTGATTTGGTGAAGTTCCCACAGCCATTTAACTCCAATCCTTTGGTATGGATACAAACGCTTCCAAATATAATTTGGAATACAAAGGCCGTTTTGCAATTCATGATTTTCTTTAGACTCTTTATAACCATCTAAAATATATTGTATATCTGCAGAATAATGTAATCCATCATATGCCCCTGCTAAAGCTGTTTTCATACTATTTCTCCAGATATCTATTCTTTCATTATAAAGTTTTGTGCTGCCATCATCTACAATTTTTTTTACATTTTGCTTTGACCGAGATGTTGAGGCTACATTTGAAATATAAATATCATCTTCTTCGTCACTTGATGGTAAGTACTCCTCATCGTCATCTGTTTTTTTTATTGAAGATCTATTAAGTGGGCTTTTTAAAATTTTACTACTACATTGATCTTGTAAATTGCCATGATCTTTTCTGTTTTGTTTTCTTGAAATTTGATCAGCTACTTCCTTGCTTTTTTTTGAAACTGAATTGTCAATAGTTTTTCTTGATTGCTGCTTTTGTTTGGCAATAGCTAATTGAGTTTCTAAATATTTATTTATCATAACATCTACCATAGTGGAATATGTAAGTAAATGCTATTTAGTTTTGCATAACATATATAACAAGTACATAAGTATAATCACAAATTCTTATCTAATAAATCTAAATAAATTTCAAAACTCAAAAATAAAAATGATCAACGATTTGACTGATGAGACTTGAGACCATGGATGACAAATAAAACGACTCCTTGAAGGCTTCAAGTTTCAAATAATAATCGATTTTTGTATTAATCGAAAACTTTTTTCTTATAATCGATATTTAATAATCGATTCTCTAAATATTAAAAATCGATTATATTACTTACTCTCTCTCTTTTTACGTAACAAAGATAAGATATGAGTTGTTGTAACTGCACATTTTAATCAAATTTTGCAAACAGTGCTATCTGTGTGATAAATGAAAAAACGCGTGGTCGCTAAACGTAAAAAAGGAATTTCACTTGTCAGTAGAAAAGTGAAAAGCGCCACTTGTGTATAAACATTAAAAATCGATTATTTTTAAGTTAATCGATTTTTTACAAATCAATTTATTTTGAAGAGAAAAATCGATTATTTAGCCTATCTTATTTATACCTATTAATTAGGGATGGATAAAAAAATATCAACTTACTACTTTTTTTATAAATAATGATTATCATATTGACCTTATATGATTTGTTGAGGTTTCTATAATGTATACCAATATAATTTGTTAAAAGCTTTGTTTAGTATTCATTTACAAAACCATCTTACAATCTTACTATGTTTCTTTAACTGTATTTATTCTTATTATGTACTTTAATAGCCCTTACCACGGCCTTTTGTTGCAAGTTGCAACGTTGTTTTCATTGTAGAATGTATAGTTGTACCGGCTTTAGAAACAGCGGTCATTCGCAAATTACTTTTAAAATCACGAGCTATTGAAAACAAATCAATATTGTGAAATATCGTTCCAAAAATCATTGTCAACTTCAATGGGAATTAACGATTTTGCTTTTTTAAAATCGATTTTAAAAATTTCAACTTAAAGTGCATCCTTATTTGTCAAATGTCAATGTCAACGCCCAACGGTATGAAAAATGTTTTGAAGTGTTCGCACGTGTGGAACCAAAAACCATTTACCATTAATTCCTATGATTTAACTTATTGAGTTAATTTCTGTCTGACATTTATTGTTTACTATAATAAAACCTTTAAAAATTTCAATTAATGAAATAATTACTATATCATTTTTGATAACCTATTCTAAAAGTTCTACCATGCAGAAAATTAAAAGAAAAAGCGGAGAGAGCGAGTCTTCACCTTCCAAGAAGAAAAAAGTACAATTTGAAACTGTTAAACAAAATGAAATTAATAACAAAAATAAAGATGAACAAAAAATTCCAAAAAAAAAATTTGATAAAAATGCTTCTAAAAATTTTAAAAAAATTAACAAAACTGGATTTAAAGGTAAACCTAATGATTCTAAGAATAAATTTTCAAAAAATAAAGAAACCGGTAAAAAGCCAAAATGGTCAGAAATGAAAAAGGAAAAAAAGAATCTTCGAACTGAACGTCGCAAAGCAAAGGCATCTGCTGAAATATTTGAAATTTCTCATAAAGCAAAGCTGCTTGCAGCACAAATTCAAAGGTACATTATAATTTCTAAATCATTTATTTTATCAAAGTATAACTAGATTACCTAGATGGCATTAAATATATAAACTTTTAATATTTCTCACATAAGACTTTTTACTAGGTTTCTCTGTGATATGGTAACAGACAGACATAAATTCTAAAAACTATACATTAGGCCTCTGTATCAATAATAATGTTTATTTGAATAAAATTTTCGAAAAAAATATCTAACATACAGATTCGGTTTAATTACAATTTTATTATATGTATAATTTAAAAGTTTATGGACCAACTCTTTATTAAATATTTTTTTAGTTTCTATTAATACAGCTTTAATATCCTTAACCCAATGCATATTGTACAATCTTCAGTAGTTAAACTGAAAGAAAATAAAATTCATGCAATTTAGAATTAAGTTAATAAATATTTCTATACATATAAAACTATAGAGGTTGAATGTCTGTACAAAAAAAAAAGCTAAAAACCGAGTCAGGGGGATGTAAGAAAAGAAATAGAACAAATCCAGATTTTTTCAAATTTTTTGTTTCTCTGTCTGTTTGTATGGGCTATTCTCCCAAACTGTGATTTAAATGAAATTTTGCATGCTGGTACCTTATATCCCCGGTCAACATTTAAGATATTTTTCATCCCAGAAAATTAAAGAGTTCCCGTGGGATAGTTAAAAAACTATAGTAACTTATACAGCTTAGTAAACAAAAACTACTGATTAGATTTTAATGAAACTTTACAATAATACAGTTCATACATCAGAATAACAAATAGGCTACTTTTTATCTTGGAATGTATGGTTCCCCTGGGATAGATTTGTATTTGTTTGTCTCTGTCTCCATCTAGTATGTGTAGTTTTATAAATAATTTTTTTTTAGGAAGACTGTGAAACCAGATTTTAGATTAAGTGCCTGTAAAGAATTACATATCTTAATCAAGGGCCAATACAAGGCAATAGCTCTTACACATGATTTGAGTAGAGTTATACAAGTTTTACTTAAACACAGTCCAGAAGATGTTAGAAATGAGATAACAGAAGAATTGTTGGAGATTATGGTACCAATGATGCAGTCTAAATACGCTCATCACTCTGTAAAACGTATTCTTAAGTATGGCACAGATTACATCCGACATGAAGTTATTAAGAAGCTATTTGGTCACATAGTATCATTAGCTTCTCATACAATAAGTGCACCTGTTCTTGACTACGCTTATGGAGAGTTTGCTACAAAAAAAGAAAAGATGCATATGCAACAGGAGTTTTACGGAGATATGTATAAAAATGTATGTACCTTTTTTTATGTCGTATAAGGGCTTTTATTGCTCAATTGGTTATTTTGCTGTAGTAGTGGGCAAACTGTAACAATTACTATATTAAATCATGTGTTAAACAATATACTGGTAATTACAAAATTATAACTGTTTATTTTGACAAAAGACAGAGGAATGAATTGAATGGTCAAAAAATGACAAGTTATAGATAGAAAGCAGGAAGCATATGATATTATCCTTGAATGGTCAGTGCTATGCAGAAAATAGATACCATGTATTCATAGTATGTCCTATGAGCAGTCATTTTTTCATGTATCACATGCCTGTATTCCTGAAACAAGTTCTAAAATATTTAGTTTATTTCAGTCTAAAGATGACAAAGTGAAGACACTAAATGATGCATATAAAGATAGTCCTGAAATGAAATCAGCTATTTTGCAGTCTTGTAAAGCTAACATCCAACGCATTCTGGATAAAAATTTGCATGACGGAGAGTAAGTGTTACATCATTTATTATTCATAATTTAATTTATCATAACCAATCCAGTTAAGACTGTAATGAGTGCATTTTTATTTCAGACTGCTCCATTCAGTGCTATATGATTATATACGGGAATGCAGCCCAGAGGACAGAGCTGAACTCATCTCAACTTTGAGTCCACTCATAGTGCCTCTCAGTAATTCCTTACCAGGAGTCAATGCTGCCAGCTTGTGTGTTTGGCAAGGCACTAACAAAGATAAAAAGGTAAAAAATTAATGGTTATAAAGATAAACTACAATTCATTAATTTTTTGAAGTATATACTTCTTTTGGCACGTTTGGAAAAAAATTAAAATTTTTACGATGCGCGCGCACTCCGACAGCCAAAAAGCGACATGATGAAGTTTGAAGCTGCATTCCTTTTACAGACAGTTGTGACATACGGGACGAAATCTTTAGCTATTTTTGTTCTGTTACGCCAAAGAAGTATAACTAATAACTTCTTACGTGCGTACATAAGTACATACACACACATGTTTTTTTTTAAATCATTAAGTGATTATGTATTTCTATATATCTTAATAAAGTTCATCATATCTGCAAAGTGAGATTGTTAAACATAAAATATTATCCTTTTCAGACTATTTTAAAAGTAGTAAAGGAACATGTGGTACCCTTAAGTAAACACAAGACAGGATACCGTTTACTAATAGCAATTTTTGACTCTGTTGACGACACGGTTTTAGTGAAGAAAACTATTGTTTCGACACTGGCTGCTAATCTGAAAGACATAGCCACTGATCATTGGGGTAACATGGTGAGGAGTGTAATAACTTTTAAAATAGCTTAAAATGAAATATTGTCACTTAGTTTATTACTTAATGAGACTGTAAAAAATAATTGCCTATGGAAATTATGTATTTGTAATAACTCTATTTTTATAAGATCTGTAATTTTTTACTTAAACTAGCTGTATAGTCAAATAGATTCTTCTTTCTTCTACTATTCTATATATTTTTTATAGACTTTACATTGGTTGGTCAAACCAAAAGACCCCGCAGCGTTCCATCCCAGTTTTATAAAATTCTTAGAAGAAGGTTTCAAGAGTGGTACATCTAAAAAGGATACAGATATTCGTGTATCTGAACTCCGAGAAGCTATACTTCCATTACTGAAGGAATCCATGGAGTCAGAGCCCGAATTCTGGCTAAGCAACAAAACAACTATGTTGTTACTTGTCGCTGTGTTATCTATTGGTAATTTTTAATTCAATATATCTAATTCTTATAAATTGAAATGAAGTTACTGTCTGTGATTTCAAAATACTAATAGTATATTTATGATATTGAGGTCCTGATAACTGTAAAAGTTTTTTTTTTATTCAGAATGCCTGAACCGATTTTGATCAGGCTTAGGATTTCAGGTTGTTGAGAATTCAGGCAAGAATAACATAGGCATATTAAAATACCAAAGCTAGAAAATAAGGGTCTCTTTAATCATTCCAAAGGTCTTCATTAAAAAAAGAATAATAATTTAATAGATTTTTACCATATTTGAAAGGATGTTGTATCTAGGCTAATTTTTATCCTGAGAAAAAAGGCAAGAAGAGTTTTCATAGTCGAGAGAGGACTAGTCAATATTTTGTAAGCATTTTTAAGCTATTGCATAGCTTCTATCGCGGGCCTTGAGCGTGGGGACCGAATCTAGAAATTCCGTAACGAAAAAAACCTGACCGGCACAGCGGTGATACTTTTTAGTTTTTCCATCTATCGATAAATACCAGAACTTTTAATGACTTTTTGAAATATCACGCTTGTCTCTTTAGTTCAGCAACCCGCCTTTAGGTGGCATTGGTTGTATTGGAAAACTACCGTAATCAGCTGTTTGTGAGAAAGTATATAGGTGTATAGGTATTTATCATCTATGTACAACAGTCAATATCTGTACTCGTATAATTTGTGTACAGTAAAAGTGTTTTAAATATGAATAAACAAAGTACATTTATTAATGAAGAAAGTCAAGGAAATAAAATACTGCATTAATAAAATGCTATGCAATAGCTTTACCGCGGCAGTCTCCGAGTGCCACATTTAATTTTTTTAATGAAGATCTAATATTTTACTAATCTTAAGCAATTTTTCTTTGAACAGAAACTTCAAAATCTATATTAGATTCACTAGCAAAAGTGATATGCCAGTCTGATTGGACGGTCAAAGTGAACGACAAAGAGTTGTTGGCAGTTGAAGATGCAGGTATTCATATGTGTTTAAAGAAGTTAGCTGTTTTAGACCAAACCGCAACAAACAGCTTAGGTGAAGCAATCTGTGAGCATTTAGAGGATGAAACTGTAAGTATAATTAATTTGTCTTAAGCTGAAAATCGAGTAATAAAAATAAAGTGGGTGTGTGTGCATTTCCCATACAGTAGAAATGAAACTTCAGAAAAGTAACCTACGAGAGAATGAGACAAATATAGAGTATCAGCAATAGGATGATTAATATGTATAAGTTGTATTTTTTTTATATTATTTTTAGTGTGTTTAAGTTATATATTTTATTTGACATAAATATACAATAACAATGGTCACCATGGCAATGTATTCTATCTCATTCTCTTGCCAGCTTAATCCTTGATATTTATGTTTGTCTCTTTCTCGTGCCGCATTTCCGTTTTATCGAGTTTCAAATTCTACGATTCTAAAGAAGTTTCACTTCAAAAATATTTATATTTTACGAGCGACTTACTCTCGCTATGCTCGGGAGCGTCTCTCAATCGTCTCAGAATCGCGATATCTTACGAATGGTAACTCTTAGGGAAAAAATTATAAGGACCATTTTTGTAGAGAATTTTAAGATCTACAACTTTGGTTTGAGGTTTTTTTTGATAAAACTTACCGTTTCTGAGAAAAATCCAAAAAACCTCAAATTTTGACCTTTGACCCCGAATAACTTTTGTAGCACACATAGTATCGATGGGGATTTTTAAAACTTCATATTTTGTAATGGTAAACCCCAGCTCTCTACCAATATTTGGCTTTCCGGGAATTTTTGTTATTTGACCACTATTTTTATGTCTAAATTGACCAGCCTAAATTAGTCTGGAATAACACATAGGTTACTGTTTATACCGGAAAAGTATATGGTTCCCATGGGATATATTTGTTTTTGTCTAAGTTAACCCTATTTTTTTTTACCTACTCAATAGAATAAATAATGTAATTATTTAAATAGTAATTGTAATTTTATTATTTCAGTTAAAAGTCTGGTTGCCCACAAACAGGGGTTGCTTCTTTGTTTTGAAACTAATTGAAAACAATGAGAAAATTGCTAATAAACTTATAAAGAAAGTCAAAAGCCATTCTAATATACTGAAGCAACAATCATCTCAAGGAGCTAAACTTCTATTGGAGAGTATTAAGAAAAAATAAAATATCAATGTTGTTATTTATTGTTTTATTCTGTTAATTAATAATTTACATCATAATTAAATATAAACATTAAGAATTTTTTTGAAAAGTCAAGTACATAAAATATTTTTTAAATATGCACAAAGTAATTGTATCTCAGATCAGTTCATAATTCTGAAATAAAAATAGTTTAAAAGGATTAATCAAAATAATGGATAATATACTGTATACTTATTTATGCTTTTGCCAGTTTGTTTATTGAATAATCATGCAAAAAATGTGTTTTTTTTTTATCTTTTATGTTATGCTTAAATATATATATATATATATTTTACCTTACCACAATCGCTTAAAATTAATTTTTGTACAAGAAAATAATACAATTTTAATAAAAAGATTGTTAAAATCAACAACTCCCGAGAACCCAGGACGAGTTGACATACATATTTATACATGTAGAAAAATATCACGTCACTAGTATCACAATTTTTAAACCCACATCTTACCAATGGGCTTGTTACCAACACTATCAACTAAGGATAAAGTCTTATGTAATAACTCTTTTTCAATATCTTCCATTGACCTGAAAACGTATATATTATATTTTATTAACTAAAGCAACAAATTAAAAATTATTAAAAAGGAGATATGTAAAAGTATGTTACCTGCTAGCATCTAAAATATCCCAACTATCATCTTTAAGTTTCATGTACATATCAGCAACTTTCTTTTGAAACTCGGGCACTTCATATCTAAAACAAAATATTAAATTATTATTATTACTGAATGAATAAGGTTTGGTGTTTGGTTTTTTTTGACATTAAGGGCCAAGGGTATTATCCGCGTAATAATCGCGTATCATCCACGTGTCATATCCGTATGGTTCTCGTTTTCTCAGTCGTAGTTCACCTGTGTTTTTGCGTGAGGCAGCCGCATCAGGAAGAGCGAGTGAATATTTTTGTTAAGAAAATTATTTCCTATACCTATAGGATGGCTATTAAAAAATGGTCCGGCAGAGAATTAACATTGATAGTGACTCTTTTAGACGAGGAAGAAAGAGAAAAGAATAACATTAGTCGATCAAGTCGTCACTGGGTTCACGCCGCTGTAAAAAAATAAATAATTTAAAAGAAAATATTATCACTTTAAGACAAGCGGCAACACGTTCATACCGGGGTTAGGACGGTCATCATATGCGGTTATAACCCGTATACTCAACGTCGCGTGCCAGGCACGGACGGTGCCGGTCAGTGACGGAACGGTCTAGTAGACCGAGTCTCATACTTTTCAATACAAAGAATATTTTTTTGCCTGACACGGTCCCAGTACGGTCATAGTATGAGGCGGTGTCGGTAGTGGGCAGCCTCCTTTCATTTAATTAAATAGTGCCTATGTAATTGTTTAAATTTATTCTGTTTTTATTTCCAAGTTTGTATGTGTCAAAATTAGGAAAAAAAATTAACCTTGATTGTTAAAAGTGAATAATTTACTCTAACTCGAATTATGATAGGCAAGTAGTCAAATACCAATACCTAGACAAGGATTGCTAAGTTCATATCTGTTTGACAATTATCGGATAATTATCTTGATAATTAATTATCAATAGACATATTTATCTTGATAATTTCATTCCCTGATTAGAACTAAAGTTGATTATGTAGCTTCGGCCATGCTACTACACTATCTATATGCAAAAAATACATTCATGAAAGAAGTACATTATATTAGTAAGGAGTTATACTCATTACCTCTCATTTCCAAAACCATTCCTTAATTGAACTTTCTCTAGGGACATATTTAGGAAAAATACTTTATCTGGTTTCGGCAACCCCACATCTGGTGACATGCACCACTTCAAATCTAGCCCTGAAAAATAATTATGAAATCAATATTTTAATTAAACATTAAAAAAATAGAACAATATGTATATATTTAGTATTTCTATTATTATAGATTTTTCAAAATAATTTCTTTTTATTTCTACAAAATGTAAATAAACAAAACAATACTTCTTAAATGTAAAAAGAATAAATTTTAAAACTCAGCAGTTTCCATGTTGTGTAGTTGCATGTGTTATCTCAGATAATGTACCCTTTAATCCAAAAGTTTAATGAGTGCCTGTTGAGTTAGTTGAGGCTCTTTATTTAGCTTTTTTAGAGCATTGACAAATATTTTTTTAAATATTGGAATAGTGTTTTAGAGAATTGACATTTTACATAGCAGTGATAATGAGCATGATCCAAAAATTTTAATTTTTCTTCTCTCATATATTTAAATAGGTACTGAACTTTATCTAATATTTATAATTATTCACTATTTATTTATTTATGTACCATAAAATATATTATAGAAAATAAAATAACAAAATGTTGACAAAGGATAACTTATAATATAGCAGACTAAAACAAATTTATTATGTATTTTTACCTTTAGCTGCAGAAAATGCTACTCCAGAAAAACAATATCTATCCACAATAACAGATATACCATTATCTAACATTTTTAAAATGCCATCAACTTTTTCCCATCGGTTTGCAGAAAATAAGAGATGTATAGTTTCATTGGGTAAGTCTTTCTGAAATTTATTCAAGAAAATTAGCTAACATTGATTATGATGATTTCCAAACAAGAAATAAACAAGCACGACATTATTACATTGCAACAGATAATAATAAAGTAGCTATCATTAATGAATTGGTAGAGAAAGGAAGTTAATTTACTTAATACATCATTAATATACTGTTCTATTTAAATTTTTTTATTAAACATCATGCAAGAATTCAGTTTAATACCATCCATCAATCCATATTATAATAACAATAATAATAAAAATCTTTATTGGGCACGTTTTAAAGATTACAATTTACAAATATTACTCTTTCATGCCGGAACGGCTGAACTGATCTGGATGAAATTTGGCACAGAGTCTGGAATAACATGTTACTTTTTATCCTGGAAAATCTATGGTTCTAGTGGGATTTGTTTTTTCTTTCACTAGGGACAAACCTGAAGTGATGCGAGGGTGAGATACAAGCAATAATGGCCAGAACTATTATTTTGAATTAGAGCTGAACTATTTCTTTGTAATATGTATGGAGATCTGTATGGTAGTTATCTATGCTTCATACAGAAACTAATCATGGAAACTAAATTCACATCAAAAATGAAAGCTGCAATATAACGCTACTTTTCTATACACTAATAAATCAATCTAGTCTTAAATAAATAATAAATTATATAATAGAACGAATGACTGACCTTTGATATTAAATAACTGTTGATAACTTTACCTATTTCAGTTTTCCTGTCTGGAAAATTAGTGTATTCAGCTAATACTTGCTTATTTTTTAAGCTTTCCACTGAAAACAGTAGATATATTGTAAACAAGATTGAGTTTTCATCATCATACAGGTATATTCATTACATTTTTTAATATTAATTTCATTAAAATTTAAGTATCTTTAAAGACTATGAACATATAGTAGTATATAAATTTCTAACATTACATTTAAATTTTAAGATCATACCGCTTAATGAATTCAAATATATGGATATAAAATATTAACCTAAAAATACTTACCAAGTTTTTTGCATTGCGTTGTTTTACCAGTTCTATCTACGCCTTCGATTACAATAAGTGCCCCCCTTTTAAATCCCATTATTAGATTCCTGTACTTCTTTTTACCTATAAATATTTGTATAGGTACTAAATATTAACAATAAATAAAACTTCATAAATTTATTTCGTTATATGATCTGAAGTATGATTAAGTTAGATAGGAATAATAAATAAAGTAGTTCTAAAGGTTTTTTTGATAAATATTAAAGTTTTAAATAAAGAATACAACAACAAATATGTTCAATGTTGAGCCAATTGCCAAAATTTACCGCCAAAAACCTATTTATCAAATATCATGTGTCACTTGCCAACATGAAAAAAATAAAAATTTGTGGACGATGTGAACAGACTGTTTACACTTTACATCGTCCACAAGTTTTTATTTTAATATTTACTAGCATTGCCCGCGGCTCCGCCCGCGTTCAGATGACCAAAAACTAAATTCTTAGGTGTTACATATTAGTATACTCTTACATTGCAGTTTTTGTATTTTTCCTCAGAAATAAGATATTTTCCCGCGGTAAAAAGTATCCTAGGATCGCGCGCTACATCGCCCGGTTTATATAGCTTGAGCAGGCGGTCGAGCGATGCGGGGCAGAGGGGATGGACTCGCCGTAGGCATCTCAATGCTCGCCAAGCATTAAAAATGTTTCGCTACTAATTACTTCTAACAACGATATCTCAAAAACTATTCATCTGATTGATTTAGTGTAAAGAGCAATTTTAATCTGCATTAAATGACTAAGCTAACTAAAATATTCATTTGGATAAGGATTAATACCGAACTAAAGAAAATAACTTTGAAAATAACGTAATGTTTTTAATTAAAAATGTTAACATAAAAGTGGTTATTGTAAGTCAACCGTAAGAGATAGAGATATGCTATCGCGGACTTTTTTGTAGCATTTTTATAGATTTTGAATTCTCTAGTACATTACTTAACTGTATCTTTGCTAGTTTACGCGGCGTTCGCGTGGAAAGTTCCCATTTGGCGAGATTTTTTGCGACCTCTTCAACATTTGTCGCCGTATTTCAGCTAATTTACATAAAAGCATAATAAATTATATACCTAAACCTTCCTCAAGAATTACTCTTTCTATTGTTGAAAACCGTATAAAAATCCGTTCAGTAGTTTTCGAGTTTATCGCGTACAGACAGACAGGAGGACAGACAGGAGGACAGAAAGACGCGGCCGGGGGACTTATTTTTATAATAAGTATTTTATAATAAGTATAGATTTAGCACAAAATTTTATTTAATACAAGTATTTTGAATTTTACACAACATAGATTATTTAGTTATCATTACTGACAGAATAAGAAATGTTAACTACATAAATAAAATTAAAAGCTTTGCATGATTCATCTATCATAAAAAATCTGTACCTGACTATAAATAGGAGTGAAATGAAAAAAATCTAGGTACGCAGGCAGATAAGCAGGCAATGGACTATAAATGGACTATAAATCTTCAATTTTTGTATTTTCAGCAAACTTTTCCACAATTAAAGTGTTAATATGATTGATCGTTTATAACATTTCATGTAAGAACTAGCATATATAGATTGTAGAATTGGATCAGTAGAACTTTTAGAGAAATTCTTTTCATCCTAAAAATTCTTTTACATTTAGGATGGTACAGTACCATCAGCGTACGTTGCCTAAAGGTTCGAAATTAAGCAGTAAAATGTAAGATAATTAATAATTTAGTGAATTTTTCACTTTTATTCAATTCAATTTTATTGTTCATTAATAATTCACACTTAAAGCCATTGGCTTTGAGTATGTACTTTATATTAAGTAAAACGAAACGCTAGTGTCAACGTTAAATGTCATAAATCGCGGAAAATTTGACGTTACACCGGAAGTCAGCTTTAACAAAAGTACTCTGTCGAGTATTGGTTCACTGCGCGGTTCTTTGTTTTCATTTTTTTAAATATATATAATTTGAATAATATAATTAAACTTAACTATGAAAAGAGGTTATAAAGTGACAGACGTGAATAGAGCGAAAAAAATAGGGGTGGCTGCTGAAAATTTGGAAGAACTTATAGAAAAATCATGTAAAAAGTTAGGAGTAAGTAAAAATTTTTACATATAGACGAATTTTATGACGAAAAATGTCTCCAAACATATCTTATTTGTTCGATAAAACAGGTTTAATTCATAAATTTACAATATTTCTTGATTAATGATAATTTTAGTTATAGGTCAAGGCTACTTTCCCTTGACCTGATTTATTAGCCGTGACCTAAATACGTTGTCGGTTTTTAGTTCAATGTCAGCTGCGTAAAGTGTCGGCTTTATGTGGCAGAAGATGGAACTCAGGTGGATGACGACGATTATCTCAAAACATTACCTCCACAAACGCTTTTCATTTTATTACAAGAAAAAGAAAAAATGGTAACTGGTATGTTTTTTTTATTGGAAAAGGCAATACAAAATATAAATGAATACAAAAATTATTTTACCATTTGCATCAATGGTTTAAACAAAAATTTTATATTTTACAGAACAAAATTATGTATAATAAATGGTACATTTTTTTTTAATTTATACTCTTGAAAGAAAGTACCTATGTACATAATAACAATATTTTTTTTATAGACTTTGACTTCTACTATTCTATAATTCGCTCAAGTAAACAAGATTACATTGACACTGGAAAGGCTGCCAAAGAGTTTCTTAATGTAAACTTTAAAGAAAAATTTAAAGTATTCCAAAAATACATAGCAGCTGCAAATGATGCTAAAACAATGCTAAGTGAAAGAAGCCAAGATCCTGGATGGTTTGAAGGTAACTATAACTACTAATTATTATATTACAAATTTGCTGATTCAACTATTTGTCTAAATAGTCTCAATCTAAGGATAAAGTAGAGAATGAAGTGAGACAGAAAAATATTTTTTTTAATTAAAATTTGGGGCTTACAAATAATGATAATTATAAGCTATCTTACAGTTATTATTACCAATTACCATGGCTAAAAATAAATTCAAGCATTATAATTAAAATTTGCAAAATAATTACAACATTAAACAATATATAATTACTTCACAAATAATGCAATATTAGGGTAAATTATACTTTTACAAAATCTCAGTGTCTTCTGTAGTAGGCAACTATAAAATTATAAGAAGTCTAATTGTAACTTATTATAGTATGTAGCACTATGTTAGTAGTCACCTGTTGACATCCTTCTTGTGTATTTATATATTCCATATATTATTTGATATTCCAAGGGAACCATACATTTTTCTGGGATAAAAAGTAATCTACCTGCTTCTTATTCCAGAATATAATGTATATCTGCACAATATTTCACCCAGATCCGTTTACCCGTTCTGGTGTGATTGAGTAACAAACATCCATCAAACTTTCTCATTTATAATATTTACTAGCAACTTACATTCACTCCGCTTCACTTGGGTTCGTCTCTAGGTACGATTAAACAGTAAAAATTCCACTGCTGGGTTTGGGCTTCCCTTCACTACTAGGGGGGCAGATTGGCAGCTTCACATGTTTTTTGAAAACTAGCTACTGCTAGGTTCGCTTGGACATGCAGATTTCCACACAATGTTTTCTTTCACCATAAGACAAGTTGGTAATCATGTCGGAAATAATTCGCACGTGAAAATATCAGAGGTGCGAGACCCGGGATTAGAACCCGCTTCACTCGATTTCCCAAGGAGCGCGTTACCAACGGGCCTTAAAGACTTATTCAGTTAATTTTATTTAACAGGACTTGAACCATCTGAAAAAAACAAGGAACAATCCATGTCGAAACGAGTAAAGGAGCGTATGAGAGGTTATTATTACAAGACCAAAAGCGCGTTACAGTCGTCAGAAGTGTACATACATTCAAAAAGCGGACGTGGTAAGAAACTCATCGATCAGTTCCTATTAGACTTACGAAAACTCCTCGAATCTAATAAATATAATGAGGGTTACTTTAACAGAAGTGATAAAAATGTAAGAATATGTAATGAGCATGGTCTTTTCCAATGCGGTGGACTGTGGAATAGCGATAAATGTACCTACGATGGTGAACACGTAATAAACCCTTATAGAAGTCGTGAAGAACGTATTATATTCCAAACATGGAACTTAGATCATAAAATTGAGCTATCTCGGTCGGTCGTGCCGACAATCTTAAAAGCTATTGAAAAACTTACCTACGGACATGTGCAATGTGTAACGTGTAAAAAAATATCTAATCAGGGTTTTATTGAATCAGATAGATATTATTTACAGATTTTTACACTCGATAATTTAAAATTAGTGCACATTGTTTGTCATTACAAAGGGAAGCATGATGCTCAGTCAGACGTGTATATAGTGTGTCCGAAATGTGTCGGAGTTCAAAGTATTGACCATATGTAAACTTTACATTCGCTACTATTTTGTATGCTTGTACAGCCTGTTTTGCTATATTATCTATAATATACTATTTTATTGTGCCAAATCATAAAGATGTTTGTTTCTGGTTCGTCAAATCTTCTTCTTAATTATTCTAATTTCAACTATTTTTGAACTCTCTTTCATTATAATGTTTAAATGGTGCCAAATTAGAAACTTAATCAAAAATAATCACATTATCATGACCAACTTTCGTCTCCCTGTTATCCTTATCCTGGAAGAGATTTCTTTAAAAGATAAGTCAACCTTTGTTCACTACTATTTTTTTATATTTTATATTGATTTAAATCATAAAATTTTGCAATAATTGAGATATTTTGAACCAGAATTGAACATTCAATATATTTTTTCACAATTACTATCTATACATACTATCATACAAAAGTTGATATGTTTACTGCATATTTTTTTACTCGTAAACTTTTTCTACATCCAACACTGCCTACCTATATTTGCTTGTGATATTTATTTTTTGAAATATGCATTTATTTTTTATTTATGATGTGATTTTTTGTTAATCTCAATAATGCATTAAACATTTAGTTTAAATACTTGCAGTTTCTTAATTGCCAAGTAAATAATTTTATTTACAAACACTTTTAAGACCTAATTCATGAACTTTTACCATATCAAAGAAAAAAAAAGATACTGGTTAATCTATAAAATAGTACCTAAACTAATAATATACATTGACATGTACGATCTAATATTATTTAAAAAAATGATTTTCAGTTTTAACAAATTGGCTGCCAAATATAAGTATTATTGGTAAATATATTTAGTAGTTCAAATCATTTATTTATACTAAAGTTCTATTTAATATCTTACCAAAAAGAGGATATTTTTATAAAGTAACAAACAAACATACATACATTATTGTAGAATTTAAATACCTAAATTTTAGGTACCTACCTACATTAAGAATTGGTGTAAAAAATATATGCATCCAAGATGCATCTTTAAAAGGGTTTGCAGTCTTTAATATATCAGAAATGATTTTAAATTGTTAATATTAAGTAAAAAATAAATTTTTCTATTCCTTAATTGATCTCCTCTACCCTTAGTTAAATATAAGTATATAATGTTAGTTGTTATCCTTGTAGTTGGTGTTAAAATATATTTTTTTACTTAATATCTATATAAAAGAAATTTATTCCAATCTTATTCATACATATATAGGTGTCCCAGAAAGTAGTGTCAAGCGAAAGACCAGAAATATAGCACCCCTTGGTGTACTCGACTCACACCCATGTATATTACGCGATTAAGTTTTCACGTTCAGTTTTTAAGTTATGATTATTTTTCTGAATTTTTGAGAATTTTCAAACTGAACAACGTAAGAAAGTACTAAAAAAAAAGTAGAAAACATTTTTGACATTTTTATTTTTGCATCTGAATCTTTATGATTTATATAAAATAATTAGCTTCGTTACTTTGATGGAAATTATGAAAATGTTTGTGTAAAGTGAAAAATTTACGTTCGGTGAATTATGACTTTAATTTTCAAGTTTTAATTAAAAATTTAAACTGGTGACTTCATGGTTATTAAGTAGATCTGAAAAGTTTTCCAGACTCTCAACTTTCATAATCATCAAAAAAAAGTACTTAATAAGCTACTTTGGCTAAACTCGGTCTTCAAAGATAGTGAGATGGAAAATACTTAAAATTATCCATCTGATTATAAAAAAATTTTTTGGCCATTTTATCATTCCCAAGGTTAATTCGTTTGTTAACAAACCAAAAATGACTGCAGGAAAGGTAAGATTTAAAAATTTGGAGATTTTTTAATGTTCCCATATTTAAGGGTGTTCTATCTCTGGACTTCCGCTTGACACTACTTTCTGGGACATCCTGTATAAAAATGGTTGTGTAATTATGTTCCAAGTTTGTGCTATTTAGTGATATGTATCAGTGGTCAAGACTAATAAAGGTGTATGTATTCTATGGTTATCTCGTATTTACTATATGTTATGGGATTATAGGCAGTGGTAGCCCAGTGGTAACGCGCTCGCTTGGGAATTCTAGTGAAGCTGGTTCAAATCCCGGGTCTCGTACCTTTGATATTTTCATGTGCGAATCATTTCCAACATGATTACCACTTTCCTTACTGTGAAGGAAAACATTGTGAGGAAACCTGCACGTCTGAGAGAACCTAGCAAGTTTTCGAAAGACATGTGAAGTCCGCCAATCCGCACTTGGCCAGCATGATAGACTATGGCCTGACCCCCTCGTATTGAAGGGAGGCCCGTGCCCGGCAGTGGGACGTTAAAGAAAGGGACGAATACATGGGTGATTTTAGCATAACAGTATCTAAAAAAAAAAAAATCTTTAAATAAATTATATCGTTGAGAAAGTTATAAAACATTGTTGTATAATAATTTTTGAGGAGTTACAATTTTACCTCCTTATTTATTTCTAGCTACAACAATTTTTTTCTAGTATGAATTAATGTAAGTTGGGTTTTTGAGAAAATTGACCACTAATACAAATTGTCCCCCTATACAATATGATTAACATAAAATCAACTAAATGGAATAAAAATACTTATTTTAGTTTTGTTATACAATTAAAAATGTGTGTAATAGATAATTTTATATGTGAATTATTTTTGTTATATTTTATGGAAGGCATAAACACACCTCATTGTATACAGGGTTATAGATAGCCATAGACAATTGCAATTATAAATTTTATTTACTGACTGAATTTTAAACAATGACTTACAATTTATGGGCTTATAAATTATCTGAAGTAAAACAGTGAAAAATGGGTATCATGACTAAACAGTCCTAAATTTTGTATCAATAAATCTATAATTATTATTTATTGAAATCAAATAGATGTTAATTTAAATGACCATGAATGAAAATCATGTTAAATAAATGAAAAATTTTACTGTCCACATAAAATACTATTTCACTCATACTGTTTTTTTTACGTAACTCATTCCTGAAAGTAATTGGAAACGTCTATATTTTAATAATGAACAATGTCAGTTTATGACATACATAGGTAAATACTACATATGTAAAGAAATACTCAAACTTTAAAGGCAAATAACTAATAGCTAGAAAATTGATTCCACACAATGTATCTTTTACAGTTAAAAATTATTGTCGGTAAGAAATATTATATTTTTAAATAAATAAATTGTGATAGGAAAAATCTATAAAGCACTGTAGGACCTTTAACTATCCTATGACTAAACTAAATGTATCCTAATAAAAATTCAGTAGATTAAAATAGAAAAAAAAATGTGATTGTAAAGATAATGTGGTTAGTGTGAATAATATATTAGAAAAAAAATCACGCGGTTGAAGTAAAACTTCTTTGGCGCTGTGGCATATACCGCAGTGAGGGCTGCCGTGCTTGAATTCGCCGCGAGAGGCGTTGGTGTAAAGAAAGGTCTCTAGAACTGTCAAATGACACTGTTTATAGTTTGGGAACTTTTCATCGCGGAATTTCACCAATTATTTATGATTATTGTAAATGAATATAATGTATTATGCTTCACTTCTACGAAAAAGGCAATATTTTATCTATTTGTTTATTATATACTTTTTAACGACAGCGGTAGGACCTTACTCACCAGTGGCGTCACCTGGTGTCACCAGAAACGATAGCCCTCATTAAATTAAAACAAATCAAAATATAAATATAATATTTTTTATAAAATTATTAGTAATAAATAAAAAAATATAAGTAATAATTATTAATAATAAATATATATTTTTATAAACAATAATTATTATAAAAATATAAATGCATACGAATATTTATATTTTTTTTAATTATTAACAATAAAATTAATTCATCCGAGCACATTAACTTACCCCTCACGCCTAAAGAAGTTTTACTTAAAAAATATATTCAAAAATGTTTTTGTTTAAATGTTAATAATATCAGAATATTAACTTAGTAGATACAAATATAATATAATCAGAGCTATTTTATGACAATCATATTTAAAGTAGCAAATAAGTGTTTAATAGCAATACTAGATATTATATAGTAACTAGGTTTATATTATTGTGATACTTAAATGTAATGTATATATAAGCGACTTACCTTCGTTTCTTGGGTACGTTATATGCCTAACGGCTAACAGTAGCCCATTTGTTACTCCAGGTTGTACACTATCTTTGTGCTAAACTTCATTTAAAACCGTCCAGCAGTTTCAATGTAAAGGTAAATATCAGCGCTGGATTTACACTAGGGGCACTTGGGCACGGTAATGTTATGCATGACTTGGGGCTAGTGCCCAGGGCGGCAAAATTCGGAGGGCAGGAAAAAAATTTTTTCGCGTTATCGATAATGTTTTTTTTATTTTACAAATAAAGAAAAATAAGAAAAGATTAACTAGTAGGTACGTTTTTCGAAAAATTGATTACATTTATAAATTACTTATTTTTTTGTATTTTTCAAAAAAATAATAATAAAAAAATTTAAACTTTATCCAAACTTTACCCATTTTATGCAAAATTTCGATAATTGGGCGGCATTTTTACTATGCCCAGGGGCGGCGCTAAGGTTGAATCCGGCACTGGTAAATATTACATTAACGGTTAACATACGGTTGGACAATACGATTTTCACTCTAATATTATGAATGCGAAAGATTGTAGTGTATGTGTGTTACTTCATATCGCTGTAACAGCTTAACGAATTTAAGTCAAATTCCGATGAAAATCGCTTGAATTGTACATTAACAATACACATAGGTACTTTATATCTACCACTTGAACACAGCTGTTTGCTAAAAAGCCAAACCAAAAAAAAAGTTCTTCTCCTCTATGTCCTGTGACAGTTTTTTCCACTTCCAATCTTTTATTCCTTCTCAAATCTCAAGAAAGATTAATGAGTTTAAAAGTACAATACAACTAGTGGATAATGTTCCTAAGAGTCCATGCTTTGGTATCGTACAATTAATAGCGCATTATGGAGTACATAGCAGTTTTAATATCACAGTCAATTTCATTTATAAGTATACGATACTCAACTTTAATATAAAAAAATACCTGGATTTTAAATATCACAATAATATTAACGATGCGATTAATAATTGTCAATGTAGACGCTTCCAGTATAGCTTTAGTGGATGTGTGTAGTGTGTAGTTGCGAAAACTGATATATACATATTGTTAAGGTTTTGAATTTTAATGAACTCTTTATGATTATTGAAGTTTCTTTTTTTTATAGTAGAGGAGTCCAAGAGGAGATTTTGGGATTTACTCAAACTCGGCAGATGAACAAAAAGGATACCTTGTACTCTATTGAGTACCTCCACCATATATATTAAAAAGTCCTCTGTAGGTCGAGCTTGTTGGGTAGCCTAAACTTTATGGATGATTTTTGTTTCTTCGGCTTGTAGAAATCGACAGATTGTAATTGCACATTTTTAGCATGTAATTAGCCTTACCTTAATCTAACACGTTCAAGTATTAAAATATTTTTTAAATATTTTAATTGGCTGCCCTAGACTTATATATAGTGGAGGTACTCAACAGAGTGCAAGGTATCCGCCCCTTATATTAATCTGCCGCGCTTGAGTAAATCCCAAGATCCCGTCTTCAGGGTTCCCCTACTATTGGACTTGTTTTAAAAATCTTTGCAAATTATTTTAATGTTAATAATATTTTTTTTTTCATATTTGCTTTTTATATATTTTTTTTTCATATTTGTTTTAATTCTTAAGAATTTCAACTTTATAATATTTAAATGTGAAATTATAAAATAAGCATTTATTGCCAAATTATTTAACATGTTAATGTTACTTAGACTGTTTGTAGTTTGTAGACAGTTATTGATTATTGTATACTGTATTAATATTATTACCTTCTCCATCTTAAGGAAAAAATAAAATAAATTATTTTAATTATATAAAATGTATAATGCATATCCGTTTTTTATTTTTAAACTTTCCCTCAACAACAACTTGACAACTTTTGTGAAGTTAGGCCCTATGTTCGACATTTAGGGCTAAATGTGACGTATTACAACGAAGAGGTACTTTTGTATTTTGGTGCCTGGCAACCCATTAAACAAAGTGGATATGCCTTCTAATTTTTTTGAATTTTGGTTCCACCATTCCTCTTTTATTAAATGACATGGTATTGAATCTTCTTATCATAGACTAGAGAATATCTATAAAATTCTCCTGTAACTGTTTGTAACAAAACTACTCTGAAACACATACCCCTAAGTGATAAGGGTGGTACACCACAAAAAACAAAAATTTTTGGACAAATTTTTTATGATTCACCATTAAAGATAATTACAAACCTAAATTTTCACTAGGGACGAACCCTAGCGAGGGTGAATCGCTAGTATTGTTTAAAACTACTAACGACTTATCCTCTCTTTGCTCAGGTATGTTTTAATTTTTATTGAGCGAAATCTTAATTCTTTTTCTAAAATAAAAGTTGCTCCTTAAAACATCAGCTATCTCCTAGTGAGCGTCGCTAAAATCAGTCCAGCCATTTCTGAGATTAGCCATAACAAACGGACAAAAATTAAAAAATATATGTTTTCGTTATAAGTATTGTATATAATTTTATAAGCATTTAGTGAAAACCTGTTATTTTGACATTACAAACAGAGATTTCAAATTTATTTATCTGTAAAGATTATTGTGTAGTAAAGAATGATTTCAGCTTGTTCTAAGGGAAGTTATATTTAAAAAAAAGAAATTTAATTTTTAATAACTTGAACTTTATTGTAATAATAATTTTTAACCCTCCTCCCTTTTGGAAATCGGTTTAAAATTAAATTCACTTACAATAGAATATAACTACCTCCTTTTCCTACCAGGAGTCTTTTTGTTTGGATTTCTTTGTCCACCACCAGCCTTAGGTTTTTTGTTTGTGAATTTTGTAGGGTTGCCTTTACCTTTAGATTTACCATTTCCCTTGAGTTTAGCTGGCTTCATCGTTTTCTTCTCTTCTGATCTCCTGTAAAAAAATAATAAGAAATTACTACAATAGTTAATTTCAAAACAATCTTATTTTTGCTTATCAAACATTATTCCAGTTAATGAGTTCCGTATATACATATTTCTAAATATATAAAGTACAAAGTCAACTTACTGTACTTGCTCTGCATGAATATGTTTTGAGACAGCCCTCTCCATATCAATCTTAGGTCTCTTATTTAAAATTCTGTCAATCATGTTCAGATTATTTTCTTTTTCAGCTTGTGGAGTTGGTACTGGAGCCTTACGTTTTCTCTCTTTGCCAGGAATCAACTCATGGATACCTTTACCTCTAGCTTCTTTTTCTTTAGGTAGTTTATCTTGGAATTTACCAAGAGAAGCTGTTGACGCTTTAGCGACTGTGGCTGCTGTGGATAACTGAAATTTGTTTAAATTAGTAAAAAATGATTTCAATTTTTTATTTCAATAGATGTATATAATATAATACTATATTAATACAATATATGTATTCATATAATACAAAATCAGGTTACCTGAGTAGCAGATGCTTTGTCGGAAGTTACAGGAAGTCCTACTCTAGGAATTTTCACTTTTCTTGCTCTGGCTATATTTTTAAGCCTTTGCAGTTCATTCTTTGCAACCTTCTCAGATTTTTCACCAGCTTTCTTTTCATACATATCTGTCATAGGATCAACATGCTGAGGAACTTCTATTAGCCAGTCTTTTTCTTTTTCTGCAGCTGCTTTCTTAAAACTATATTAAAAACAAAATGTTTAGATTGGTAATACACTGTTTTTGATAAATTGTTACTTTTATAAATAATTTTTATTATGAGGCTTTTAAGATTTAATTTTAATTCTAAAAAAGATTTCATTTATACTTCTTACCCATAAAGTGGTACCCATTTTTGTAACTGTTCATCCCATTGAAGTTTGTCCTTCTTTTTCTTAGTTATACCCTTAGATTTTGCAAACTCTTGCCATTTAGTTAATGGTTTTGGTTTAGGAACAGGTTTAGATCGGGGTAAAACGGTAGTGGGTTGTGGCAACTTAACAACTATAGCTTCGTCTATACGTTCTGTAGGTAATTCCCAAATTTTGTTTAGGAGTAATTGCGTATTATCACGAGCCAGAGATTGTAAGTATGTATCTCTTTGACCATCTGATCTAAAAGAACAATCAATATTAATTATAATTCGTACACCTACTTTTCTAAATTCTTATTTTCTTATATAATAATAAAAATGTTATATTAAAAGGATGTCTTACTTCAAAGATTTAACATCCAAGTCATTTGTGTCTGACGCCAGCAAAGTGCCAATATCAAACTCCAATTCCAAATGTTTTTCAACTGTGATAGGCTTATATTTTTCTGTTTTCTTCTGCTCTCTTTCTAATATTTCGTTTACAATATCCATTGTTAAATTAATTTTAATTTATCAAATATTTCTTCTAACCTTACTAGTTGAGATTTGACGTTTTTATATTTTCAAATCAACACGTGCGACAGCTGCTTCAAATATATAAATCCGATATATAATCAGGGACTTAATTATCTTAACAAAGAGACACAATTCTCGTGAATTTAGTTGTTGTTATTATAATCATGAATTACTAAAAATCTCACATGTTTTAAGAAATTCTGAAATGTGAAATGTCAACTCAGGTTTACCAATGACCATTCACGTCAGATTCTTATTAAAAATTATTTACTTAAGATTAAATCTAAATATTCCTTATAGCCACTATACAAAAAATTGAATTAAGTTTTAATATAATGAGCTACATATAATGTATTAACAAAAATTACATAACATATAAATTTATATTTAATATAAAATTCTCATTTATGCAATATTATTTTATATTTATCTGTGGACTCGTGTCTCAATTCTCATTATGATTTATTATCTGTGTTTTAACTTTTACCCATAACTCATAAGTCATGGATGACAAATAAAACCCATAGGCCGTAACCCTATTTATTTATTTTTACAAATATATTAAACGTTAAAACGGTAGCTCCGCTACAGTAGTTATAAGTAAAGATACAGCTGAAACATTCTAATTATTGTGTTAATAAATTGAATTTATATACTTTAAAGTTTAAAACAATATATATTGAAAGACTTGTTTGTAAATAAATATTGTACAAGACTTTAAAAATAATATTATGACTGGAGAAAACGAAAAGAGCCACTGTTTTAAAGTAGAAAATAAATTTATCGTGAAAAGTGGCTGTAAAAAACGTATGTGGAGGTCTCTTAAACAAATATTAGCTACTGAGAGAACTTTACCATGGCCAAGTGATGCTGTTCTTTGTAAGTAGTCTCAGACACAATTAAAACTAAATTTATCAATGATATATGAGAAAAGGCTGGAAGGAACAATCTTAAAACGATTTTCTTTTTATTAATAGTAATAATTGAACAACCTCTATTTAATTTTTTATAACATTCCACAGATTATTCTATAAATGCACCTCCAACATTTAAACCCACAAAAAAATATTCAGATATTTCTGGTCTGCCTGCGCCATATGTTGATCGTCATTCTAAACTATATTACAGTAATTCAGAAGAATTTGCGACAGTAAGAAGTTTGCCTATGGATATTACAGCTGGATATCTCCAGTTAAGAGGTGCTAATACAATTGTAGGATAATCATTTACAATGATTTTTATTGAGTTAACAGTTAGATAATCCTTAATATTTTTTATTTAAATACACTTACGTTTAATATGATTGAATAATTTATAAGAGTATGAGTTTTTTTATATTATACTTATCTGATATTTTATGAATTTCAATTATTTAGCTTTGCATTTAAACTAAGTAAAAGTTAAGATAAGGAATTTCCACATGTTTGTTTTCACTTACATCCTAGTTATATTTTATATAAATTTATAAGAATGTGACTTTTGTTAATTAAAGAAAGCATTAAGTAAATAAAACATTTGTATATAAACATTAAATTTATTTATTTCTTATAATTTAATAGGTAAATTAACAACAAGAAGACCATTTTTAGCACTTCCTTCTTTAAACCATCTTCCAGCCTTATGTTCCTGGCCTATAGCTGCATATAATTGCCTGCCATCACTTGTGAATTGTATACAATTAACAAAACCATATATTTCTATACTGAATAAAGGCACAATATTTTTATATGCATCACTAACTTTCCATAATCTTATGTGATTATCATAGGAACCTGATGCAAACACATCAGAATTTAAAAGTGTAGCAAGACTTGTAATCCATCGAGGAACCTCATTATCTGAACCATGAGCCTCAGATATAGTACATAAAGGTTTCTTCTTTAAAACACTCCATAAACAAATAGAACCATTGTCACTCCCAGACACAAAATGTTCTTCATCTAATAACTTAACAACATCAAGGCTTCCAACAGGTCCGTTAAAAATCAATTGTGATTCTTCAACTATCTTCCATATTCTAATTGAGGTATCCCTACCTCCTGAAGTAATTGCTCTTTCTCTAGCTAATGCATCAATTGATGTAATGGGTGATTGATGACCGAACAATGTTTCTACATATGCCATTTCATCTAATGACCATATTTTAACAGATCTGTCCTTACTTGCAGAATATAAATCATGTGTATTTTTTCTAAACACTAGTCCTATAACTGTATCCTTATGACCTTTAAAGGTGTGAACATGTTTGAAAGTATGAGGATCCCATATTTGAATATCAGGTGATACATCTGAAGTAGCTAAATACTTTGAGTCTGTAGATACAGCAACAGAACTAACACTCTTTTTAATATATTTGGAATGAGTTTTAAATGTTAAGCAACCAAGTTTTCTTTTTTCTCTAATACCCCATTTTATTACAGTGCCTGTTTTACAACCGGTAAAAGCAAATTCACCATCACTGGTTATACATACACATGTTAATGGGAGGCGGTGTTCTTTTGCTCGTATTAATCTGACATCATTTTCATTTGGTACTTTATAATTATCAGCAACTTCTACTTTTAATTTACCCTTCTGTTCTAAATAATCCTTCTGTAGCCGTTTTTCCACAGCATCATCCAATTCTTTAAGCTCCGCTCGTTTTGCCTCTTCTTTTTCTATTTCTTCGAGATATTTTTTGGCTAATCGTAATTTTTTCTGTTCCGCTGTTTCATGATCACTCTCAGAATCCTCAGCATCAGAAAATTTTTTGATATCTAAGTCGCTACCGGAAGATTCTTCACCATTTTCGAGGTTAGGTGCATTTTGCCTTTTTGATTTCTTCTTGATTATTTTTTCACCTTTTCTTTTATGAACTTGTCTTGACTTACCTTTTAAAAAGAAAGAAGTAGACATCTTCGGTAAGTTTATTTTTAAAAATATGTATTCTTGATCAACATTAGATATAACGAACACGTTGACTTGACGGATAAAATTGAATGTTTCAGATTTGACACTATGGATGACAAATAATAAAATTTGACAGTTGACACTAAGCAGTAATATTTATAATGACATTAACGATTTTTAACTAAAAAATTGAATTAAAAAATACGTTGATTTTTCAATTAAAGAAAGAAATATATTATTTTACTAGCGACTCACCCTCGCTCTGCTCGGGTTCGTCTCTACTTACGTTTTAACGTTTAGTATAGATTTCTCAGAGATTTTTCCGCAGTAAAAATTATCCTTTATGTTGACCCGGAAAACCAGCTATCATCATACTAAATTTAACCAAAATCCCTCCGGTGGTTTTCCCTGATGCGGTCACAGACAGACAGAAAAAAATCTAAAAACTATAGATTCGGCCTCTGTATCGGTAATAATGTCTATTTCAATAAGATTTTCCAAAAAATATTTAAAGTACAGATTCGGCTTAGTTACAATTTTATTATATGTATACATTTTACTGTAAGTTATTTGTAAAACCATCTTTTGTAATTTCCTGTCTATGAATAAATTTTATTATAACACATTTTTCCGCGGCAAAAAGTAGCTTATTTCAGATAGTTGGAACAGTTAGTATGGAGTTTTTTTACGTTTTATACATTTACGCATTATCATGCATACATACTGGTAGTTATGTGGGACTCAACAGCCAGAATAGCCAGTACCGCCCACTAAAATCCAACGGAACTTCTCCCGTCTTCCCGTCCGAGGCAGACCACAACAATCATGGGGTTGCTCCCATTGTCCTCTCTGCTATCAAAGGAGTACCAGGAACTATCTGCATGGTACTCTGAAGTGGGTAACCTCTTAATGTAGTTCTTAGATTTCTTGCCATGCCTGACACTAATGATGGCAGGGGAGCCCAAGATATTTTTGCAGTTACTCAAGTCGCGGCAGATTAACTTATGGGAGAATACCTTTCACTCTGTTGAGTACCTCCACCATAATATAAGTCCTCTATATAAGGGCGTGCATCCAGGGCAGCCGTAAAATAAAATATTTTGATAAGGTAGAAATACTTGAAAGCGTCAGATGAAGGTATGGTGGGCTAATTCAAATTTAAAGTGTGCAATTTAATAATTTGCCCATTTGCACAAGCTCAAGAGGCGAAAATCGATTGTAAAGTTTGTTAATCTGCCGCGCTTGAGTAACTGCAAAAATCCCCTCTAGGGCTCACCAACTATGAGCAGTTTAGTTTTCATCAATCAAGTCTATGACTAAGCAAATATTTACAAACTTGTAGTTAAAGCCAACAAATTATCAAGGAAAGAGTTTTCAATGAGATCCGGGTACAGGCTCATACACGTACATGCTCAAAAAGTATAAATAAAAGATATAGATGCCAAAACTCATGATTGGCCTCCTTGGGTCCTGGACCATTTGTTCGGCCAAAACATAATTCGGCAAATTCTTTTTTGAAATCAAATAGTAATACCTAAAACTTTTTAACTATTTTTTTTGGATTATCTACTATAGCGTCAATTAAGGTATTAAAACTATATTTTTAATCATATATTTTCTTAAAATATATTGAAATAAATAGCAACACATGTAATTCAATTATTAAAGGAAGAGGAGATAAAAAAGAACAAAAATATTATTTTTACTTTATTAAAAGAGTTGAAACTTGTTTGTCAACGAGTTCCTGGTGGCGCAGACTTCGTTCTTGATGCATGTAAATATTTAGAGAAAAGGTTCCTTATGCAAAAATTTCTAATATCTACTATTACAAGAATAAAACTAATTTCTTAGCATAATAAACCTTTTCACTATAATATCTGGCAAAATCTGTTAAAGAGCTTAAAATAAAATAAAGAGCTTGCGTTAATGAATTAAAGGCAGGGAGGGAGAAATCCTGCACTGTTAGAGTAACCTAGACGCACGTATCTGCAAATCACAGCAATCAGCACAGGAAACTGCCACAGCAAACAGGCCAGCGAGCAGCACCGGCCTGCCAAACAAATTCACGTGTTAATCCACTATGCGATACTTGTTCTTGATGAGTTTGTTTTCTTTATTAAGTACGTTTATGAACGCGAAAATAAGAGATTGTTTACAATCAATGAGTTATTAAGTCATTTAAATTACAGAATAAACAAATCTTCTGGGCCTACTTAATGCGTGTCTTTTGTCAATAAATATAAAAGATTACTCATAACTTATGCTCAGCAACAACAGCAATTCAGCAGTTGTCAGCAAACCGCAATACCCCCCTCCCCGCAAACTGCCTCGCTCCCCGCGCACTCCACGCCCTGAGCATACCAACAGTTACATTAATATTACAGCAATGACTACAACTAAAACAAGTTCAAATTAAACTTTTTAATACATAAGGACAGTTTGTTTTAAACTTTGAAGACATTACACATAACTATAAATAGTTTGTTCTGAATATCCTACTTTATTGTACTTAACAAAAATACGAAAACCAAATAAAAAAACATAGACATGACTTTAGCTATTTACCATGCCTTGTAGTTGTCCTAAAATGCCCAACTTAACCCAATTTGGTGAACATGATCTTCCAATTTTATTTACTTTAACCTGAAATTACATCTAATGACCGTTGGTCACATCTAAGAGTAATTAATTATAAGCTAAATACAATTTATTCAATCTCATCTTGATTTGAAGCTATTAACAAAATACATTTTATATGAAATGAAACAATACTGTTATGTTAGCAAAATCAATATGCCAGTGTAAGTGAACATTTTTGAACATATACATTTAGAACCCATTAATTTAGAGTAAATAAGATGGTTAAGCATTTTGAAATGTAAATTATTGCTTATTCACAATGTTGTACATGAAAACAGAAAAATTATTAAAATACAATTATTATTACAATAAATTGAAAACTTAAAACTACTTGTTGCATGTCTGCCACTATGTCAATCATAGTTACGTCTATAGTTCTTAATTTAGGGGTGGTCTAGTACCTGGGCCTAGGGCTGCAGCTCTGAGTGAAGGAGCACAGCACTTCAGCTCACAGTGGTACTCTCAACCTATATAACAAAAAAACATTAATTAATACACAAACATGTCAAAAATATCTAAAAGTAATATTTGATAAACCTTACTTTATTGGAAAGAATTAGTATCAAGACATACAATGCAATTGAATCACAACACATAGGCTTATAATGTAAATATAAAAGGTCTCAACTTGTCAGGTATAACGGCAGAATAGAGAAAGAATATGAACTATAAGTTCATAAAATTTACGAGTCACTAACAATTACTGATATCGATAAAAACAAGTACCTAAAGTAAAATCAACATAAAAGGTATGAAGTATTAATATTATTAATTAAAAAACCTTACCCCAAGACTTCAATGTCTGGAACGGGAACGGCTGCGGCTGCGACTACGAGTGCGGCCGCGTGAGCTCTTCGAGTCCGAGCGTGATCGTGAGCGCGAACGAGAGCGTGAGCGGCTACGGGTGTATGATCGCTTTCTAGAGCGGGACCTGGATCGACGACGTGAACGAGACCGTGAACGCGAGTGGCTAAAAGAAATACCATCACACACTAATTTTAATGGTGCCCGCGAAATAAAAATGCGAACTAGTGGATTATCTCTCCTCTCTTTTTCTGTAAAGTATTGATTATCTTAAGACTAAATGACAATAATGTGTGATTGCATCCAATAACTTATTAATACTTGGCTGTTGAAGATTAATTATATTAATAACATAGTATTTAATATTACATATAATAATATCCAATAAACAGCTTAATTTGAAACTTTGGTTAATTTATGACATTCCTTGTAGTCTGTGTATTAGTCAACATGTTGCATACCTGCGGCGACGATCATATCGACTTCTGTACGGTGACGATGGGCGTCCATAACGTGCCATTTGTACACGGAGTTCCCTTCCATCTAACATACGTCCGTCCAGAGAGTCTAAAGCCTCTTCAGCATCTCGTCTATCGTAAAATCTGAAACCGACCAAGCCATGATGGCGGCATAACCTAACGGAAGCCAATTTGTAGCATCACCAAATAGAGGACATGTAAAAATTTTCCTAAATACACACCTGACAAATGCAAATCCTCTGCTCTCTCGTGTATATCTGTCTCGAGGAATATATATATCGCCAACATCACCACACCTTTCAAAAACCCGACGCAAATCTTCTGGCGTAGTGCGATATGTTAAATTGTCCACTTTTAATGAAACCATGCCGTCAATTCGCGGCGGTGGTCTTCCGTAACTCATTTTGATGAGTTAAAATATTCCAATTTTTTACCAAAAAAATCACTGTTATAATTAGCACGACCACAAATCAAAATGGCGTCACACTAAATTTTGCCGAAGCCGTTTTACAGTAGAATGCTAAATGATAAAGAATCGGAAAAGGAAATCATAAACCTCTACATCACCGGATATGGAAATGAACGAAGACGCTTTGGTTGGTAGCCTTGAACAGTACAGATTATACAAGCCGACTATAAATTAAGAGTGAATGAAAATAGGTGTGTGTAACCTTCAGGCGCGGTTAAAGTAAAACTTTTTTGGCAAATATTGCAATTAAATTAAAACAAATCAATAATTAAATAAGGCATATTGGGCATATTACAATAATATATTTATAGAATATCATAAAGGGAAAGAATATAATGTAATTAATTTTGTCAGAGAATAACAACAGTTATCATGGCAAAAATGAGTCATAATAGATTTTATTTATTTTATGCACATTCATCCCACAGTAACAAATATTCATTTTTATAAGTAATAATTATTATAAAAAAATAAATATAATATTTAAAATAATTGTAAGGTTTAGTGTTTCTTTATAAAGTTTAAAAGTTATTTTACATTTTATTGAACGTATTACATAATATACTATTCAGTATTATTTTTCACTTCCTGTGTAATATATTCTATCTCATTCTCTCGCCAGCTTATCCCTATATATTTATGTGTTGGTTTCTTTCTCGTGTTGCATTTCCGTTTCCTCGAGTTTTCAACCACGATTCTAAAGAAAATTTTACTTCAATAAAAAGAGCAAAAATTGTTTAAAAAATATAGCCGAGAAGTAATTCTTAGTCTCTTTTCTTTCATTTTGTTTTCCTTAGGCATACATCATACAACTTTACTATTCTTATTCCCTGTATATTATAATACTCTTCGTTCTTATGCCTAGTACAGAAGCGTTCGACCATTCACTGTATTTCGATTTTCGACTGCTGAGTGCTGGCAAAAAATCTCCTCAACGACTTTTGTTGATGTTCGATGCATTTCTTAAACTTCCATTTAAAAATCATTTGTTACCAATAATTTCTTTTTTCATTCATTAACAGCTTAATTTATAATCTACACTTTAAAAAAGCTTTCGCTGCCTTGGAAACGAATTAATTGTACATACGTGTTGTGTTAAATAATCTCACCTAGGATATATTAAACTTAATGTAGCTTTTGACTATCGCAACTAAATTTAGTGTCATATAATCGACAAAATGACTGAAATTAAACAAATACGAAATAAGAAATTATTACCGGATTTGCGAAAGGAAGGAGAATTGTTAAAAGAAATTGTTTTATCGACCAAAGAAAAGCACGGTGTTCCAACAGGCTCCAGGCTTTTTTCTCACCACACTCTCGCTAGTGTTAGAAAATTAAGTTTTTATCATCCTTTCTTGTAAGTTATATGTCAGTTAATATATTCAACTTTTCCGTGTTAATTTATTTATAAGTACGTACTTCAAACTTAATATAATTTTTGGGGTATAAGTTTTTAAAGTATCATAAATGTTTACAGTTTACCACACGACAGTTTAGACTTAGTCTTAGCAGCGACTTATAATCACTCAATTGAGCGTTTCGCTGATAAGGAGGATTTATATTTGCAGCCAGAAACCATCGGTTGCAATACTTGGCGTCGTCTTAGGAACACATACGATAAGCTACCTCCCGTTAAGATACCTTTGGTATGAAACAGAAAATTAATCGATTTGTTTTAAATTTCTATCTAGCGATTTACTCGTATGTTGTATTTTTTGATCCACCTTCCATCCTAATGTCTATTAGAAACCTTCAAGCATGTAAATACGATGATTAGTACTCATATCTAATAATAATCACCTAAATTTTATCGCATTCGGTTGAATGGTTTAGTATTAATCAATGCATACACTTGTCATATACATAAGTGACAAGCTGACAAACAGACATACTTTTTATATATTGTTTCTTTAGTTTTCATTCTATATTATAATATTCAGTTTATAAAATTAGTTTAGAGCATACCTATTTACCTAAAAGGATTTATATAATGTAAAAAAATATATTTTAATCGATATTATAATACCTATACGGTCAAGGATAGTAGATATATGTACGTACTGTTCGTTATTTGATAAGAGATTATCTGTTACAAAATGGATATGTGTGATTCTTACTGTATTTTTATTATATTAGATTCATGTATTATTTAATATATTATATTCATGTATTTTGTATTTATAGGGTCATCCAATGAAACGTGGTGGTATAACTGAGAGGAAGTCACCTTTCAGCGTGAAGCTCATGAACTCGGGCGTACACTCGTCACAGACTAATCCAGGCTACAGCAGGCAACCTGCTGGTGGAGCTATATTCTTTTACTAAAACAATTATAAGTACAGATAGCAAATAAGAATTTTTATACGAAATTTCCACAATTTATTTAAAATAAAAATTTCAACATCATAAAATTATTATTTACGTTAAGTATCTCATGAATAATCTTTTCTTCTACGAGGTAGAAATATATATTTTTTATTTGACGGAAGCGACACTTATATTTTAGTAAATTAAATAAGTAAATAATATGATTCAAAATGTCTTGCTTTGTTTTATTGTAGTGAGAGATTTTTAATTGACATGAAAGAATCATGACTGGTGCGAAACAGCACGCCGGAGGTATAAAGACGTGAAAATTTGCATTTATTTGCGTATAAATCGCGTCATCTAAAAAGGACGCTGGCTGTCAAGCTGCGCAGAAGCGATTTATCGGTCAAATTGGTGGTAAGAAGCGGGGCGCGGGGTGTCGGCGCTCTATTGGTTCGTCAGTTCGAAATACCATCGCGCACAGAAAAGAGAAAAATTGTTTTTGACGTATATTCTTTTACAGAGAAAGTCTAATAATAATGCAGTTAATAATAAAAAAATGTATTAATCGTATTAATTTAATTTTTTGTAAGTAGATAAACATTCTGCACTGAATCAAACATATTTTAATAATGAATAGAATTCTATTTAATGATATTCTATGTAATATATTTTTCAATGTCCCTACCAATAACTAATATATGAAGCCGCGAGCGAAATGCTTTGAAAAATAAAATAATAGGCTTAGTACTTTTGTGCGCGAGTACACCCATGCGCAAACATACCCTCTCCACTTTCTTCCAGCGTTCTTTTTAGATGACGCGAGTTATCCTAGCGATTCACTCTCGCTCCGCTTGGGTTTGTTCCTAGTTACTTTTTAACGTTTAGTATAGATTTTTCAGAGATAACCTGCTATCATGACCGGATAACCATCTATAATGATATCTCATCAAAATGTATCCAGTGGTTTTCTCGTGATGCGGTCACAGACAGACAGACAGATAGACAGACAAAAAATCTATAATCTATAGCTTCGGCCTGTCTATCGATAATAATGACTATTACAATAAGATTTTCCATAAAATATTTAATGTACAGATTCTACCCAGAATTTTATTATATGTATAGGTTACGATCTGGCGCAACGTTTAGCTACTGCATCGCAAAAGCAGAGAATATGAGCAAGATGTTCCTATAATTACAATATTAATCTTATTAGGTAGGTACTGTCGTAAATAGTAATGGTTCTATGTATAATTCTCCTTCTCATATTCCTTGTTATACCTACAACAAAAACACAACTTTAGCCGTTTCTATATTTTAAAAATAGGTAGCATATATACCTATCTTAAAATGTTGACTTGAAAATCTTATAAGTACAGTAATCAAAGTGGCTAGCTATAATTTTAGCTTAGAATGATATAATTTAAAAAAAAAACAGCAGTCCATATTTGGCAGAAAAGAAAAAATATTTTCTGAATATCTAAAAATTTGTCAAAAATTATACCTATAAATTAATGATATATGATTATTATTTTCGGACTTGTTTGAAGATTTAATTCATTTACAGCATATTGTAATTTTGAATGGATTTCTTGGATTCAATAGGTAATTCAAACATTTAGTGTATTATCTCTAAAATAAAAATTACTAAATGGACAATGGTAGGTAATACTAATAAGTGTACCTAAAATTTTTTAGATTTCGATTCGTCTCACAAGAAATGCGACCGTGTGCGTTCCTGGTATTTATACGAGCAGTATAAGACGTTAGAAAAAAATCAATTAGATGCCGCATATAGGTTAAAGAATAAAACTTACCAGGAAAGGATCTTGAAACAAGAGTTGAGTGAACGCCGAGCCCGACGGAGATTAAGCGACCAACTTGGAGACTGCCAATTTGAATCTGAATTGGAAAGAAAAATTCACAGCGCTCATTCTACAGCCCCTCTAAGTGTCAGCGATGATCTTTTCGAAAGTGTCCACGAACTTCATGAGGAATATGATTTAGACCCAGTATATCACACTCATGATTCGAAAAGTAGTAAGAATTACGATGATATTAAAAGCTCGGATAGATATGATTCCAGTTTTGAAGAAAGTCTAAACAGTCTTGTTGAAAATGTTACAGTTGACGGCTATTTAAGTAATGATATTAAAGGAGAATTAGAGTTCGTTAAAAAGAATATTGCCGATAATATCAACTTACAGCTCGAAACAGTAAAAGAAAATATCGAATGTTTGGAAAAGTACACAAAAATAGACGTGGATAAAATAACGGATGATGATAGTTTTTCTGAACATTATAAGGCTAAAGATAACATTTTATCTCAGAAGAAATTTAATACAAACAAACAAAATTGCGTCCTACTAATGTGGTCCAACTTAGTGGCTTTCGCATATAATATTATAAAATTAAATCACGGTGTGTTTGAAGTCATTTCCTAAATACTTATTTATTATCAATATAGAAAGAAATCTGACTTATTGAGTCTGTTTCAGATAATTGCTGTTACGACTGCAGCTCACAATTTCTTATTGGAATACTGGCATGCGATGTTCTTCGACGAGGTATTTGTAATATGTGTAAGTATTAACTAATTCTATGTAAGATTTTAAATTTAGGACAAAAGAAAAGTATTACTTTGACTTTGATAACTTAGGTATGCGTGAAATCCGGATGATAATACAATTATTTAGATTCGATGATGGAGATTAGAAGCTCCTGGTACTAAAATGTTAGGATTTTGGGCTGATTTGATTCCTTTAACGTTCTGATCAGTTACAAAAGGATGTTTTCTTATTATTATTATTTCCAAAATGATATTTGGAGTTATAAAATGAAACATGAAACATGGGTAGGTAGCTCTCTAAAAGCATATGAGAAATTTTAAGTTTACAAAAGTGTTTCATCATTTAACGCAATTTTGTCTATATCTCTTTACATATTGTCGAAATAACACTTGCGAATGTAAAGCTTTGCATATAAAGCTTAAAAGTACGGAGTTATTTTAAATCCTTATTGTGCTTCAACATTCGAGATACTTATTCACCTAATGAAAAACATTCAAATAGCTGTTAAATCGATTGTTCGACCGGCATTGAGCCGTTGATTTATTTGCTGTCTGAAGTCTGATCATTCAATTATCTTGTTTTATTTATTAGCACAGATTACTTCACCATTGTCACGTAGGAAATGAAATATATAGAGATGCACATAGTGTTTTGTTTGTTCACTTATAGCCGTAAATGAGCTACAATGGACCATAACTGGTCGACGTAGCTAGGGCCGACCTCGGCACCACACCCAAAAATAAATCATAATAATACCGTAAAATATAATGAAAATTGGAAAAAAAAAACATTTAAGAAAGCAATTACTTTCTTCTCCAATTAAAGTAATTTCATTTTAGGTTATATTTTGCAGCCTTATGTTTCACCAATAAAGTATGCTTCTAGCGATTCAGATATTTCATTGGATAGCTGGAACGCCGTAAAAACATTAAAACCTATAAATAGCTCAAAGGTATCTTTCTGTTTAATATTCTTTAATCTACCTTAAAAATAGTAATAATATATTAACATTTAAGCCAAATCAAGTCTTTAGACTGATGATTTAAGATACAGATGATCTACCAGTGGAAAATGGTAGCACGTTTTTTTTTTATATTAGTGGGTATTTTAATTTTTTTTACAGTAGGTACCTAGATGATTTGGCTTAACTTAATTTACAGAAATAAAAATAAACACGCCTACGTAAAATACCAACTAAAAAAATAAAGACAAGTATTCGTAGAAACGTAGTATTAGGTAATACGAATGCATAATATGGTCCATATGATATGGAGTTCCTTATTTGCGAATCTTGTTACATCATGTCTCTCGACTTTCATTCAAGTTGCATTATCAAAATGAATCTAACGACGTATATAATATCAAAATCGGTTCAGCCGCTTAAGGGTGACCCCCTCCCCCTTCCCCACAAAGTAAGTAACCCTATTTTGAGCTTCGGCGCAGTCATGACAAAATAACATTAAGCTAAGTAGTAAGTTAAGAACCTTAGGTACGAAATGTAAGGTTCCTCATGTTTGTAAACTAAATACAAACGTATGTAAAGCCACAACTAGAGGCGATAGTAATTTAAAAGTATATTTTTTTAATTAAAACTAATAAATGCACCTGTTACAGTTTAACAAATGTAAAAAAAATAAATCTCACAAACAAATGCGATCATTGGGCAGAAAATATCATTCGGAGAGCAAATGGCTTAATCACTCTAAACATTCGTCTGGCAATAATTGTATGTGCAAATTCGAATATCGAGGATTCAGCGAACCCTGGTGTAGTACAAATAGATTTTGTGAAGATATGAATTATTATAAATCCATTAAATGGCCGGAAACCTTTGCAAAATGTAATCTTTCGGAAGTAAATCGACGTAAATGTCGCTGTATTAAACGTGTTGTGAATCCTATAAAACAACTTGCTCGTTATATCGACAATGTATTGCAAGATATAACTGAATAAAATATATACTTGAAAATCATTTTTATTTCTTTTTTTTAACGAAATATAAGTACCTATCTACTGATCACTAAGCATAATAAACTGGACAAATATAGCTCTAGAAGGTTAACCTTGTGTTACAGATGTGCAATCATCGTCTTTGTCGGCGTCTTAGGCAAGACTTTCATTGCTAAAATACACCTCCAAGGTCTTGAGCCATTCACATCCAGTAGTTTCCCATCCCGGTGACTTTTACCATCTTGTGGTGCGCCACTCCATAATATATTTTTACCGGCTCCCTTTTCTTATGTTCGTGTAAAATGAGACCACAGATGTTCTGGTTCGAATCCCAGCCCAGTCGGGTACAAAGTTTTTACTTTTGTTTTTTTGTCTAAAAAATACGTTATAACAAAAAAAGAACTTTGAGCGAAGCTCGCTCGCCCAGCCACTCTTAATATAATCTGTATACTGTAGTAACTAATTTCTATCTACTATTCCATTTGTTGGTTTTCAGCTAAATAATGAGGTAATAAAAACACCATTTAACAAATATGTAACACTTTATTACACATCGCTTCCACAACATGACATATTGAGTGTTGCTGTGATGTATACCTTATTTCAAATTATCAGAAGAATAACCTCTCTTCTCTTACATATTATATTTGAAATATAGGTAACTATATAAAAAAAAGTAAAATAAGGCTATTGGTTCAGAGAACGATTGAGATGAACAATTTTTGCTATTACATTATCTAGATGTGCTGTTTTTATATTTTACAGTACCTAAATAATATTTTAATTATAATCAAGTAATGCACCATGTTTAATGAAACTTACGTTTTTTTTATTACTCTTCAACTGTTATCGAATTATGGCTAAATAAACAGACATATACACAAAAAACTCTAAACTAACTGTTGATTTAGTTTTATTACATATCAAACTTCCTTCAAACCAAACAAAAAATATACAATGTAAAAATTTGACTCCGTAATAATTTTATAATAAAGACATAGAATTGAACCCCGAACCGAAAATAAAGAAATATCCCAAATTTTCCATAAAGTGCCAAGCATTCTCATTAAGCTATGTCCCTACATGTTTATTATAAAACGATTAATATTCACTTTTATTCTAAACTAACGTCGATTTGTGCTGAACACATGAATTTATTGGAAGTAGTACGATGTAGAACATTTATTAATAAAGCAATCTCGGACTAAAGAATTATATAGACGGAGTCCACCAAAATAAATATCAAAGTCAAAAATAGTAGCGTGATTTACTGTTTATGCTGCTATTCTCGATTATGCCAAGCAGATAGTTTATTTTCTATCTAAAGAATATGGGAAATGTTATATTTGTATCGGTCAAATTAATATACAATTATTGAGATTAAAATATTAATAATAAAAATAATACTATATTCTTTTGTGTTTTTATTTATTAACATTTATTTAGTAATCTCAGTCAACCTTCCCAATATTATTTGTATAATATTTTAAAACGTATTGTTTGGCTTAATCTTTAGTTATATGACACTGCCCATATTATTCCTTAGTCTGAGAGCAAAGTATATAAAAACTCTTAAAAATATTCTCATTTATCCAAAATGAAAGCCCACATACAACACATGTCAAACAACATGCGATATGTATTCTACTTTTACTATTTAAAAGCTATTTAAAAAAGCAGAATATCCTGTATATTTTCATAAGTGTAGTTATCAAATACTCCTATATTGCCACAAACTCATTTGATCCGGTGGCCAAAACTGGAACTAAGTGTCGCCATTTTGAAATGTCATTTTGTTGTCAAGTGTTGTCTTGGAATCAAGCCTCTAATATATTCAAATTATTATCTACTAGCGGCTCGCCTCTAGAAAAACATAAAACAAATCTATCCCACGGAAACCATGCATTTTTCTGGGATAAAAAGTAGCCTATAGGTTATTCTGATGTATGAGCTATATTATTGTAGTTTCATTAAAATCCACTCGGTAGAGTTTGCGTGAAAGTGTAACAAACATCCATACATCCTGATGTTGTTAATGTTGTATAACAATGACTAAAACAGCAAAGCAGATAAACATATCGGTTACTCCTTGTACTTGGGCCGTCATTATTATTAACCTAAAAACTTTCAAAATTTTATTTAGCGCCAATACCAAATTCAACAACAGCGACTCCATTACTCGCCGTACAGTTAAGGTCAGATAAGTTTGTGGGACTGTATTAATGTGATTTTGATTAAATATCAATATAATTAACGCGTATCTATATATGATTTTATGTATATTTTATTATAATATGAAAAAGATATATAAAAATTGACGCTACATCTTACAAGTGATCTTAAAGCATGTTTTAGGAAATAGGGTTTTTAAGTTCACGTTTTAATTAATAATAATAGTTTAAGACAAATATATGAAGATATTCAAACCTGTATTGGATTTTTAGCTTATTTTTTTAAATGTTTTCTGAATCTGAGCAATTATAAAAGATAATAATAATAAAAAAAATCATTAAAACATTCGTCATTATTAACACCAAGATCACTCGTAAGTTTTAATATAAAAATTGACACAGATGAGTGCAATTAGAATAAAGTGGCATAAATTATTATTAACATTTCTAAGCACCTTATTTTAGATATAAGTATTTTTATTATGATGCATTATCACATCCTTCTTATTGTATCTTACAAATAAATCATGTTTTTTTTAAATATATTTCATTATATAACTATGCTATTGTAGAAGTGTAGAAAGAAACTAAACAAACCAACAATTGGATTTTATTTTTTTAACTCAAAATCGTTATTTAATTATTATAATTACACCATGAACATTAATTCAATGTATGAACAAAATCGAACCAAGTCGATCGAATCATAACGGTTTAATAATAATAAAGTTCTTGGCAATGTCCATTACTACATTTCTGTTCATACTTTTATATACATATATCTAAATTGTAAAATGTAATTTTTTTTTTTATTACTTTTTTTTTAATATTTTAATGGCAGTGGACATGAAACAGTGCAGACAGAGATATCGAAGCTTATATTTTAATGAAATTATAACAATAATTGTATCGTATATCAATACCTATCTATAGGAAACATCAAATAAGTGTATAATGTATGTATATTGTATATGTTATGCAAATGAATATAAAGTGAGAGTGTAGCACTCATCTGGTCTAAATTGAGCTAATCGTTTTAGTTTTCGGGAGGGTTGTCGAAGTAATCGATCTTGGGCTCCTCCTTGCGAGCGCTGCGCGCCGCCCACGCGTTCGTCGACGTCAATGTCGCCCAGCCGCTGGTTCTATGAAAAATTCCATATTTATTTCAATTTCTTTGTTTAAACAAACATACTATTTGAAAAATTAAAGTTAAGAATTATTTTTATAGTGCACAATTACTAGAATTAGGTTATTTATTTAGAAATTTGTTTATCAACAAATAAATCAAATATAAAAAGGAAAACATATAAAATATATTTATTTTGATGACGTCGAACAGATTTAATTTTTTTACTTTCATGCATATCGACACATAAAATAGGCTTAGCGACAATCTACTTTGTCATCCACGTTTTTTTAAATATTTTAAAATAAATATAGCATAGGCTGTGACAATATCACACTATCCCCAAAAAATAAAAAACTGAAAACGGACATACTGTATTGGCAATCTCCTTTGCTACAATCCACAAAAAAAAACATCAAACATAGAACCTTAACCTCCCCTTAGCAAGTACTCACTTCTGAGCGGCGGCGGCGGCGGGCGCGGCGGGCGGCGCGGCGGGCGGCGGCGCGCGCAGCACGGGCCCCGGCACGCGGCGCTTGCCCGCCTCGCGCTCCAGCACCTCCAGCACGCTCATCGCCGGCAGCCACGACTGGCGTGTGCAGATATATTGTTAGGTTATCATAATTTCTTAGGTTTACACGAATATTTAATATTTTAAATAAAACTGTCTTTTTCGATGTTGTTGTGGATTTATTTTGAATTTTTGTTCGCGACGTTTCGATCATTGATATTATGATCACAGGAGAGACTAAGGCTAAAGCTATCGAAACGTCGCGAACTAAAAATCAAAATAAACCCGCAAGTAAATCCGAGAACATAGTGTTATTATGTTTTTGTTTGTTGTAAATGGTTAATTACATATTGTTGGCCAAAAATGCTTATTGGACGAAAAAAGCTTCCACAACGCTTTATGCCTAATTCTACTTAATCTCTGTTAGCCCTAAATAAAAATACTCTCGAAAGCTATGAACGTGCCCGTTTTAAACATAAGCTATGAAACGTAAATATGAAGCTGTTGCAGTAGCTACGATACGAATTACGTATTGTAACCTTTTGAAGTAGGCACAACATGTTATGGACGACTTTTTCTTTTAAGACTTTTAAGTCTAAAAAGTATACTACCAATAAAAACAATTGAAATATAAAACTTTTAAAATTTTTAAAGTAAATAAATGATAATTTAGACATAATTTTCCACATCTAATATTAGATTTTCTAATTGCATATACATATGTTGTTAATAATAACTCAAAAAAAACTATTCCGATCATAAATAATGAGTTATGCACAAGTTCAATATTACTTAAATATTATATAACGATTATTATATATCTAATGATATATAATAATTAATATCAATAAAACAATAATCATTAAAATAACTACATAACATGTCCAAAGACGTACCTTTTCCTTATCAGCAGTAGCCACAACGTTCCTATTGGGCTCCGCGTCGTACGCCACACTCTCGCAGCCGAAGTGCTCGCACAGCTCGTGTATGAACTGCCTCTTTTGTCTATTCATTGATGGGAAGGAATGCGCTCGAGTTTTTTGTTTCGACTGGAATCGAATAGGCATGCTTAAATAGTATTCGCAGGCATTTGAAGCTTTCAAAATGAGGTAAATTCATATGAAAGAATTAGCGTTGAATGTTTTTAACGACATTATTTTAGGTACTATGGTTGATTCCCCATATAAACTTTCATCCTTATTTTCACCCCCATAATGGATGATTTCCGGAATAAAAAATATCCTATGTCTTTTCCAGGGTCTCAAACTATCTTCTTACCAAATTTCATCTAAATCGGTGCAGTAGTTTATGAGTTTATCCATTACAAACATAAAAAAATACAAATCTTTCCTCTTTATAATAGTACTATAGAAGTATAGATAAGTATTTTGACGAGGACTTTTATTACTTTATTTTAGGTATAATTATTTATATTACGAGGACTGTTCAAGTACAAGCCGAATTTCAGTATATAAGATCTCTGTCCCCTAGTATAAGCAAAAATAAGAAAATTGTGCACTCCCAAAAGCTATTATACAAGATTTTTTTGGAAAACTTTAACAATAAATATCCATCAAAATCTACATATTTCTTATTTCTCAATTTTTTTTTAATTCACTTATGTTTAAAGCATAATTTAGCACTCTCCACTACACCCCTCCACCCTACTATAAATATGTCACATAAAAACGTCCCCGGTGGATACTCAAGCCTTTCTTATTGCTTACAATTAAATTACAGCTTTGTCAACATATTTGAAAAGCTCGGGTAACGTCGAGAAACGTCGGATAATATCGAGTTAGGTCGATAAGTCAGTGGTAGCCCAGTGGTAACGCGCTCGCTTGGAAAACCTTGTGAAGCGAATCAAATCCCGGGTCTCGCATCTCTGATATTTTCATGTGTGAATCATATCCAACAGGACTACCGATTACCTTACGGTGAAGGAAAACATCGTGAGGAAACCTGCATGTCTGATAGAACCTAGCAAGTTTTCAAAAGACATAGGAAGTCCGCCAACCCGCACTTGCCCATCGCGGTGGGTTATGGCCTGATCTCCCTTGTATTGAAGGGAGGCCCGCGCCCAGCAGTGGGACAGTTCCACACAGACAGACAGTTAAGTCGGGCAAGGTCGTGTACCTTCTTAGCGAGCTGCACGAGGTCGGTGAGGCGGTCGTGCACGTGCTGCGCGAAGGCGGGCTCGCGCGCGGCGGTGGCGCGCACGTGCTCGCTGTAGCGCGGCGCCAGCTTGGCGGACACGTCCGGGTTGCGGATCTGCAGCGCCAGCGCCAGGCGACGCGACCGCGCCTCTACGAGGCACTCCTCGTCGCACTCCAGTCTGTGGGATGAGGGCGACTTGGCTTACTTTGTATTTATTTATCTTAAACGTAAGTGATTGTTGCCTATACTTGCAATTATATACTACTTGCAATACATATTATAATACTTGCAACACATGCGCAAATTTGTATGTGTATTAGGGTGGAGCGAAAAAAATATATTTAAAATTTTGATTATCTTACGTTTTCAACATGTTTCCTGGACGCTGCGGGTCGGACAAGTCGACAGTACCACCTTCTTGCATCTTCGAAGCTGCCAACGTGCTCATCATTCTGTTAAATCGATAAAATATAATGTCAATAGCATAATAAAAGTCAATACAAGCTGTAACGTCTCTAGAAAGTATTTAAATTAAAGTTAAGATTAAAAACATCAACTATTTTAATCTATACTAAAATTATAAAGAGGTAAAGTTTGCGAGTTTGGAAATTGTGAGTTAGTGACGTTGTAGGGGGTAATTTCTATATTATAATTTTATCTACTGAACCGATTTAGATGAAATTTGGCAAGAAGATAGTTTGAGATCCTGGAAAGGACATAGGATACTTTTTTTCCGGAAATAATCCCTTGGGATGAAAGTTTGTATGGGGAATCAACCTAGGGACGAACTCGAGCGAAGCGAGGGTGAATCGCTAGTGCATAATAAATTAAATTAAACCTATATTTCTAGGAAAGTTTAGTCGGTGTTTATTATATATAAAAAAAATGCGCCCACACACAAACGCCTACACAACCTCACAAACTAAATATGTGCCAATCGTTCAATTTAAAAGATCTAGATCAATACTGATCTGATCAGAAAATGACCCGGTACATTATTCTTACGACCCGTTTAATCGATCGATTGATGACGTGCTCGACGCACCGTGCGTAAGGCAGATCAATCTAGTGATATGCGTACTAGTTCAATCAACCAGTCGACGATGCGACAACGGTTCAACGGTTCACGTATTTCATATGAACTAGTTCAATTTCAGTTGTGAATTCGATCGAATGAACGAGAACGAATCATGGTGATACACACACACACACACATGCGCATACTAACTTAGCATAGTCCCTGGCGTTGTCGCAGCAGGCGCGCTCGGCGGTGCGGCGCGCGCACGGGCACGTGGCGAGCACGGCGCGGCGGCAGGGCGCGGGCGCGGGGCAGGCGCCGCCGCCCGCGTGGCACGGCGCCGCGCACGGGTGCCCGCACATCGGACGCTTCTCCGTGCACGGCTGCGTGCATCTGAGGGGTTAAATACGTAATATAATATCTATACATATAATAAAATTCTACATAAGCCGAATCTGTACATTAAATATTTTTCGGAAAATCTTATTGAAATAGACTTTATTATCGATACAGAGGCCGAATATATAGTTTTTAGAATTTTTGTCTTTCTGTCTGTTACCGCATCACGAGAAAACTACTGGACAGATTTTGATAAAATTTAGTATAGTGATAGCTGGTTATCCGGGTCAACATATAGGATACTTTCTACCGCGGGAATATGTCTCATTTCTGAGAAAAAATACAAAAGTCACCTGAACGCGGGCGGAGCCGCGGTCAATGCTAGTTAGTTATATGTTATAGAGAAGTTGCATGTTTTTTAATTTAATTTTTTTTACAGCTTACTGAAAATTGTTAAGAAAAATAAAAAAAAAATACAATTGTATTTTCATGTAATTTTATAATTGTTTTTTTTTAATGTAAATTCAAACGCCAGTGACGTCATTATATCGCTTTAGTAACTCCACACATGGTGAAATGATAAAACACGTGTTTACGATGTCAAAATCAAAAAAGTTATCATTGCATAATACGGGTTTTTTTTTTATTAATAAGTACTAAAAAATTGGATTTTTTAATAAAAAAAATATTAAAATATATTTTAAATGTATTATTCTTTCATCTGTATATAAATTTGTGGCAAAAAAATAATATTATAATGCGACTTCTCTATAATAGCCTTCAGCTTTGCCTGCGTCGTTCGGTTAAGTATAATTGCTTCATTCGTTTGAATCGTAGCGTGATGTTGAACTAACCTATAACCTTCCTCAAGAATTGAGCAAAAGTAAAAATGATTGTTAAAAATCGACTGGTAGTTCCAGAGATCAGCGCACAAAAATAAACAAACAAACTCTTCAACTTTATTATATTAGTATAGATCTACAACTTACTCTCTCTACGCGGTTTTGGTTTATTTTGCAGTTATTTTTTATTTTTGATTCCCGATTTTTCGAATGCTTTACAGCAAACATTGCCAACTAGCCAATTAAAAAAATAATAAAGAGTACTAACTTGCCAGTATCACAAGGGCCCTTGTGACAGGTCTTGATGCAGGTGTGCTTCCCGCACGGCAGCGGCTTGCCGCAGGGCAGCCCGCACGAGAACTCCTCTTGCGAGCACGGGATCGTTTTACGTTCCTGATGATAGATAACACATTTGTATTATAATAAAAAAAAACTTTGTTAGTATTTGTTTTTTTACATTGTAAAGGTTTAATAAAGATTTTTGTATATTTGGTAGGTATGAGAATTATAGGTCGTAAAATATTTTTTACCCTCCTTCCCCCACCTCCCATTTTTTAAGTGCGATTTTAGTATTTTTGTATGAAAATTATTATATAATTAATACATTTTTTTTGTACATAAAACGCGGGCGTACCCGCCGATTCGGCTAGTATAGTTTGAATGCCGAATAAAACGCTACAAATACGATAGGTTTAAAAGTGCCGTAATCACCTCATGATCCCCATAGCATCGTTTGGTGGTGAGCACGAGGCAGGGCGGGCAGTCGCCGGGGTGGCAGGCGTGGTGCGGCGGGTGCGCGCAGGCGCGGCGGCGGCTGCACGGCGCGGCGCACGGCGGCGGCTTGGTGCCGCAGCGCACCGGCGGCAGCACCACCTCGCGCCCGCATTCGCACCGGAGCTCCGAGAAGCCTGACGGATATATCCATGTTTGGTTATTATCTACATGATATGTATATTAAGATATTAGCGACTTACATAGGTTAGATACGCGGATTTTGTTACAATTTCGTGGCTTTTATTTTTTTGCTCGGATTTCTAGTATTTCTTAAAATAAAAGTAGCCTAAATGAGCCTAAAACTATACAAACAAATAAAATTGAAGTGTCTGTTTGCACTGTGATAATAAAAGCTTTTTACTAAATGCGAAAGTAAATGCAAAAAAAAATACATTTATATGTTTGTCTATTTGTTCCAGCTAATCTCCGAAACTGCTGGACTGATTTCGATGGGATTTTCATTTGTAGATAGCTGATGTTATAAGGAATAACTTAGGCTACTTTTATTTAAAAAAAAAACGGTTCCGCTCAAAAAAAAACACTCAAGCGAAGTGAGGGTAAGTCGCTAGCTAGAAATAAGTTACAAAATGTCAGGCGTGTAGTGTGTATGTGTGTTAGCCTCCCCGATACCTATATATTGCACGACCTGCTATTATTTAAGGATTATTAAAACGAACCATGGAGCCAAACAGTTTCTCATTTTGTTCCCACATAACAGGCGATACTCACTGACGCGGGGGCAGGGCGCGCAGTGGCCGGTGTGGCAGAACTCCTCGCAGCGGTGCAGCTGGCAGGGCAGCGAGCGCGCGCACACCACGGCGCAGCGGTGCGCCGCCGCCGCGCAGCACGCCGTGCGGCAGCGGTGCCGCCCGCACGACAGCTTCTGTTTCGTTATGACATACATTACACAAATACTATACTAGTGTGGATGTCCCATTCTATATAAAGAAAATAGACAGCGCTGGAATGTGCAGCCGTACATATTAGCCACTAGAGCGATGGACTCACCTTATTACACTTCCTCTGACACAGTATATTATTGTACATCTGCGGCAGGTCTGCACACGGCACCTCGCGGCTAGAGTGCCCGCAGCGGCACTGCAGCAGCGTGGTGTCGGGGCACACGCGACAACTACCTGTTAATAAAAAAAAATTAATTAGGATCACCAACATATTAATTGACTTTCTACAATCGATATAGTTAAAAGTTGACTCAGAATATATCAATATATTCTGAGTTATATAAATAAATAAATAACAAATAATAATAAATATGTTGGGACAATAACACACAGCACCATCTCGTTCCATGTTAAGCTACGGAGGCTTGTCTTATGGATATCAGATAGTTGATACACTACACGTATATAACTTTAAATAAATACATATATACAAACACCCATGACTGGAGTACAAATGTTCGTGCTCATCACACAAATGAATGCTCCCAGCGGGACTCGAACCCGCGACCGCTGGCACAGCAAGTAGGGTCACCTCAATCTGAACCAAACGTGTCGTCCTCTCTATGAGTTATATGGACTGTAGAAAGTCAATTCATACTCCAATAAGTATAAAATAGAAAATAATAAATAAATAAATAATATCTTTTGTACCTTAAAACTTATTCTAATAAAGTTGCATACTTTATTAGAATAAGTTTTAAGGTACAAAAGACATGATATCTTTCTGTGAGTATTGTTTTTTTACCGTATTTAGCTTACAGTAATATTAGTGTTCATGCATACATATTATGTATGTTAATATATTTAGTAGTGATTAAGTTAAAAAAAAATAATTCTTTAAATTGTTTTGTAAGAATTTCTATTACCTATTAGTATTTCTAACAAAAACCTACAATAACTTATACTACGAAAAAGAACTCTAAAAAAATGTAAATGTAAGGTGGACTCGTTTTCCGCACTTATGGCTGATTTCACCAACGTCACCTAAGTTTAAGGGATCCCCTAAGAATAGTTAGGGGACTGTTAGGGGACAGTTTCTGTTTCACCGACAGTTAGGGGTCACCTAAATATTAAAAAGCCCCCTAAATTTAGGTGCTCGAAATATGGCATTAGACTCCTTAAAGATCAGAACGAACTCTATATGTGCATTAAAAAAATATTTACCTTCATGACAGTTTTCTTTACAGAAATGTTTATCTCCTGGACGCCCACACGGCAGAAGCTTGGCGCAGATGTTGCCGCACAACGGTATTGGATCCGTACAAGATTTACGTTGGTCCTTATGAATTCTATAGGCAAAAATAGAAATTAAATCAAAAATCAAAATATTAAGTAGTCGTTTAATATGATTAAAAGTTTTGCTAATATTATTTTATTGGATGTTTTATAAATATTAGATGAGCTAAAAGTAGAGAAAAATGTTAAAGCTTATTATAATATCCAAAGTAGAATTTACAAACCGAACATTAAAATAAAATCACCCCTATAAAACCACTTTGTATATTTGTAAAGCTTAATTAAGTCTTAAGTTAACTGAAGTCTTATGAAGGTGTCTAGATAGGGCAATTGTGTGATGGGGGCAGACACGAGTGAGCCGTTCCTGATTGCCATGTCTATTTTTATATGTCAGTTGGGCAATGGATGGATGGATATTATTGCAACTTGCCACGAGATGGCACTATTAGTGTTTTAACGTTGATACCATTCACCTGAATATTGGTATTTTTGACCACTTTTATATTTGCAATCATTTCTATTGAAATCAATGAACGGTCACTTACTTATGAATTATATTGTCGCAGTAGTATATCACTTAGTGTTGTCACAATGACAGGTGGCACATGCTCTAGGGTTCTGACAAGGATAGGTATGTGGGCACAATGTATAGACGCTTTTTTGTAAGCTCTATTAGTATTATCTAGCGATGCCATAAGGATTTGTAGTCTTTAGACGACTGTATGGATAAGTTGACTGTGCCAGTATGTAACCTTAGTGTTGCCACAGCGATATTCTCTAGATGCTTTCATTGACGACTGTATGGACTAGTAGACTGGGGTATACTTAGGGTTGCCACAAGGATAGGTGGGTACATTGTCCAGACGCATTCATTAAGACTACTGTATCGATAAGTAGATTGTGGTAATATTACCCAGGGTTGTCATAAGTTGTCAATTAGGTGACTGTATGGATAAGTAAACGGTGGTAATATTACCTAGGGTTGTCACAAGGACACGTTGTCGGAATACTTTCGTAAGCCGACTGTATGTATTAGTATAGTAGACTGTGTGTATTACGTAGGGTTGCCACAAACGTAACGTTACGTCTTCGTTAAACAATTGTATCGATTAGTGGATTGTGGTAGTATATTACCTAGTGTTCCCACAAGGACAGGTGGGCACGTTGTCCGGGCGCAGCGGGCAGGGCGGGCAGGGCGGCGCGTGGCACGGCGCGCGGCACACGTGCGCGCCGCACGCCAGCACGCGCGCGCACGCCGCGCCGCACGCCCACGCGCGCGCCTCGCTCGTGCCCGCCGTGCACGCCACCGTGCGCGCCGTGGCGGCGGGGCAGTGGCATACTACGAGTGTTATAACCGTCATTAGAATCGTTATTATTAACTATTTTAAATGTTAATGTTTGTATGTTTAATTGTTATGGTTCTACATTTGTATGGCTGGAATTAGGATAAAATTTGGTACACAGACTGTGTTACTAATAGGCTACTGTTACGCACTTAGGGTCTCACTAAAGGGTAATAAATCAAATGAGCATAAATTCAAAAGCTTTACTAATGTCCATTGAAGAGACATCTAGTGTATTAAACTGTACATGTTGTATTGCCTTCAGGATTTCACATGAATACAAAATGTTTATTTAATACAGTAATAAAATTAACTTGTAAGATTCAATTATATGATCAACTAGAAACTTATCCTCATACTCATATTACCCTTGCAGTATATTTGTGTACTAAATGTTATTCAAATTTATCCAAGCGTTTCAGCGTGAACAACACACACATTTTTGCATATATAAATTTGAATTTTTTATAAAATTATAGACTAAATAAAAACTTATTAAAAAAAATACATTTTTAAAATGTTCACAAAAAGATCTTCCTCAGTAAATATAATTTCATTTAAATTTTATATTTATGGTTGTTTTCAAAGTTTCTTATTCCAATAATTTTATTTATATTTTCTATAATATATATAAAACATATACGCTGACAATATCTCCAACATATAAACATAGATTTAATCACTTATTGGTATAAATGTGCAGATAAAATATAATGAAAAACAACTTACTTTGAGTAACAGTCTCTGTACAAGGGTCGCAGGGTCCTTCATGACAGTTCTTAGTACAGGAATGCACGCCACATTCGAGCTGGCGGCTGCACTGTCGGCCACACACTTGGGGCAGCTTGCTGCTGCAGAGAACTGAGCGGGTCTCGACACCACATCCGCATTGTCTGTGAAATGTCATGAATAAAATGTCAATATTACTTTAGTATTTTTATTAAATACTGGCGAATGGTATAGTAACGTATAAAAGACTAGCGACTCACCCTCACTTCGCTCGGGTTCATCCCTAGCTTGATTCCCCATACAAACTTTTATCCCCATTTCCACCCCCTTAGGGGATGATGTCCGGGATAAAAAGTATCCTTTCCCAGTGTCTCAAACTATCTTCTTACCAAATTTCATCTAAATTGGTTCAGTAGATTCAGAGATTACCCCCTACAACGTCACAAACTCATAAACTTTCCCTCTTTATAATATTAGTATAGACAAGCATCCAAAGAAAAAATCTTTTTTGCGCCAGAACCCTTTGCAGGCGTATACAGGTTAACCCCACAAGAGTTTCATCACAATCTTATCAATGGTTTAGGAACACATAAAGGACAAACATACGAACGAACATTCATTTTTATTAAATAGAAGATATAAGGACTGTGTTTATATGATGGTCATTAAATATATTTTTTTTATTAAGGCTTATTTTATATATTTACATGTCTACTACATGTGTATGTGTAACATTATCTTACAGTACCTAAATCTACTTTCATTCACTTTTCTAAAAGTATACAAAACTAGCGACTCAGCCTCGTTTCGTTCGGGTTAGTCCCTAGGTTGCTTGTCCATAAAAAAATTCAGCCCCTTAAGGGATAATTTCTGGGATAAAAACTACCCTATGGCCTTGCCAGAGTCTCAGTTTGAGACCTTCTTACCAAATTTCATCTAAATTGATTCAATAGTTTCAGAGCCTATTCGATACAAACAAACAAACAAATTATTCCTCTTTATAATATTAAAATAGATTACATTGAAACATTTAAAAATATTTCACAACCATATAATTCATTAAATTATAAATTTGGCGAAAACTATATTGATTTGCAAATCTTACTTGCTAATTGTAGCTTGACATGGTGGACAAGGTCCAGGGTGACAAAGCAATGTGCATGGATGAGGACAGTTCCTTGGTCTTTTACACGATTTGCCGCAAGTGTGGGCACCGCTGGAACCTCGTTGGTACTCCGGGTTGCGCACCGCCCCACACATACATCTGTATTCGGTTGGTATATCTTGATTTGTGTTCTGACATGCTGGACACCGCCATTTGCTTTCTGCATATTACAATTAATTATACATGGTAAATAATAGCAAGTATTTTTTTAATTAAAATGTATTTATTAATAATTGGTTTATAACAAAATGATTGGTACCATAAAATATTAAAAAAAACCAAGATTGAAACTTGAACTGCTGCTTTATAAGATATCACTTAAAGTATTTAAAGTTTGTAATTAATTACTTTGGAATTGATAGTATATATAGGCTGAATATGTGATATTATATATGTATATAAAGAAAAGATTCAGAAGATGAAGCAGGCATATTATTAGCACAACTTTATTAAAGTAGGAATTGAAAAACATCTACCACATTAAGAAAATTGTATTAAAGTTTTAGGTAATAATATGTACCAATGAATTATTTAATCAGTTTTATTCAAAATGTTCGCACTTACCAACCATGCTGCTCATAGCCCATTTTCTAATGCAGCGGAGATGGAATACATGGTAGCAATTTCCACAGTACCACACTGGGTCTATCTGCTTTACCCTTTCACAGCACACAAGGCATTCAAGTGTCCCTTTATCTAGCTGTTCACTGAGACGTTCACGCTGTGTCATCTCTATGTTTGCTAAAATTATATTATAACAAATGGTTTACTAAATATTATGGGCCTGAATTTTTATTTTTTTTTAATAGTATTTAATATATAGTTATAGCTTTTCTTGACAATAACAGACATATTTAATAAAGTTGTATAATAGTTTAAGGATTTAGGGTACCTTGGTACATATTAACAGTTAGTATAGATATCACAGAGATAACATATTTTCCCGCAGTAAAAAGTATCCTATTTGTTGACCCGGATAACCAACTACCATTATACCAAATTTTATCAAAATCTGTCTAGGGGTTTTCTAGTGATGCCGGACAGACAAACATTCTAAAACTATAGATTCAACCTCTGTATCAATTACAATGACTATTTCAATAGGATTTTTCAAAAAATATTCAATATACAGACTCAACTTAGAAATTTATTATATGTATAGACAAGTAGATACATATGTATTTATTATATAGAATCTTACCTCCTGTACTAACAACTGATTTATTCCTTGCTTTCATTGGACTTGGTACATTATCCTTTACTTTTTCCTCTCTAGGTTGCACATATGAGCTAGCATACTGCTCATCTTCAACAAAGTTGCGTTCTGCAGCTCTTAGCCTTTGACTACCAGCCCATTTACGACTTTTTCCTGATCCCTCTCTTCCATTCCTTACATCTTGACTTTCTTTAGGCATTGCGCTATTGTAAAAAGTGCGCCCTACATCAGACTCTTTATTTTTAGCCTTTGAATGTTTTGATTGGCCCCCTTCATAGTTATTAGTATCATGTGCAAAACTTGAATCATCCTGATAACTTCTACTATCTTGGTTATATGTATTCAGATCATTATTACGATTTGATCTATGGTTGTTAGTAAATTCTTGATGATCTTGGTTCCGATAATTTGCATCATGATTATTTTCAGGTAATCTGTTTTTAGACTTTCTGTTACGAGAATTTAATTCATTGGGACGGCTTATAGAATCTTTGTTTTTTGAACTGTTACTAACAGGTTCAGTCTGACTATTATGATACTCTTGATTACGATTTCTTGATTCATTTTTCATATTCCTATTATTAGAATCCTGATTTTTAGAGGTTTTATGGAATGAGTTACTAGTCTCTGCAGAAGTTGAACTGTTGCCCTGATGAGAACTCTGAGGCCTTTCCCTCCAATTAGTTGAACTAGATGGTTTAGAGTAATTATTAGTTGATTCACTTACTGCTATACTTGATGAACTTGGTTCTTGAGCTAATTCACTATTAGAATTACTAACTGGTTTTTCCTTTGAGTTTTTAGGAACAAATTCAGTAGCTGTTGGTGTTAACTTTGATTTAAAAACCATTTCATTTGTATAATTATTCTGGTCTGAGATCACTGGGTTATATTGATTTTGCATGTTTGGTTGATAAGATTCTTCATTATTAGAATAACTGGCAGTGTTTGATCCATACATATATTCTGTTTGAGAGTTATGTGCTGTAGATCCATTTTGATAATTAGGTATATTATTATATTGAGTGTTAGGGTAATTCTGATATTGCATATTATTGTAGCTAGCAGGATTTGTTTGAGGAACATTTGAAATGTGCATTTGAGACAAAAACTCATCAAAACTAACATATTGATTGCTAGGGTCATATTGTCTATTAGGATAGTAAGCTTGATTTATATATTGATTATTGTAATCACCATTCCAATTATTAGGTGCCTGATATTGGTTGTTATAATTATAAGAGCTATTCCACTGAGACATTATGACAGCCAAAATTTCTCAAATATTGTGAAATATGTAATGTATGGTTCAAATGGAGCAGACAACTTAGGATGAATAGCACTTATAGTTTTATATGTATTAGATTGTTTTTGGCCTGAGGCCGAGACCTAAGGTCTCGCTGAATTAATTCTCAGCAATCTGAAAGTACAAAGTATTAAATGAAATACGTTAATAAATAGGGATACATTTGAAATAGATTTCACATGTGGTACATAGCAATATCTCTTAATTAAAATAGACTTACCAGTTATGAATTTTATAATCCCTTAATTTTATATAAATAACAATAAAAAAACCAAAAAATAAACTAAAAGAATTTAGCAACTCAAAAATATAATTTTACAGGGGCGATGTGTCAAGATGAATAGGGGATTCTATTGAATGGGGAGGGAGAAGTCAACGTTGACAATTCTTGACATAAGGCTGTCTATGATATTTGCACTATCAACATATATTGTAAAGTTGGCGTTAATAAATATATAATAAGTGTTTTATTGGAAAAATATATTGGTAAAAAATAATCCAATTATTGAGGTTATAAAATAAAAATAATTGCTTAATTATTAATTTATTCTAATGCCTAAAATATTATACTTTACAGCGTGGCAATAAAAAAATCTTTAGTAGTTACTAATGTTCATTAAAGGGTTCATAATAAAGACAATCCGATTTTGTTCGATATCAAATCGAATTCTTCCAAATTCAATAACTTATATTGATTAGGTTATGGTAGTGGTTGACGAAGGTGGCCAAGTGGATGCAATTTATCCTGACTTCTCAAAGACTTTTGACAAAGTAAATCATTCAATTCTGATTATGCATCTCAAATCTTTTGGTGTCACTGGTTCTTTATTGAATGGTGCAATTCTTATCTGCGTTTAAGAATACCTCTGTAGTTATTGATGGACATCAATCTACTACATTTTACGCACACTCAGGAGTGCCTCAAGGGTCTATTCTGGGTCCTATCTTTTTCAATATATTTATTAATCATAGAGCCTTAATTTTTAAATATTCAATAGTTTTTATTTATGCGAATGATTTAAACCTAATACGTAGAATCCAAACGCATGTTGATGTTACACTTCTACAGAAAGATCTTGATCAGCTAAGTGATTGGTGCAATGCCCATAAAATGCATTTGAAAGCAAAATGTCACCAAAGTGAGTGAACTGAATATGGTAACATTTTTTTTGCTTTGAAATGCATTTTATGGGTTTAAGAATCCAAATTTTAAATTGAAATTTACTGCCAACATTTAGTACACAACTAAAGCTGCTCTCAAATTCCTAGCATTTGTTCTTAAGAATTCAACAGAATTTAATAATGTCTCGACAATCATAACGCTATTCAATTGTTTCGTTAGAAGTAAATTAGATTATTTTAGTCTATTCTGGACTCCACAATACAATATACAATACAGGATTGAGCCGATACAAAAAAAAGATTAAATATTTAGTATATCGTTTTGGAGTTCCACGAATGTGCTCAGGATATGAGAACAAGTTAAAGCATTTTCAATTGCTGTCACTACATTTATGTCGTAATGTACTTGTTAAGTTATTCTTCTACAAGTTATTGAATAACCTAGTGGATTGTCCACAGCTACTTTCCTCAATAAACTTTAATGAACCTTTAAGAATTACGAGAAAACGATGTCCTTTATGTCATACTAAAAACATAAAACCAATTTAGAAAAAAAATGCACGAGTGAAAAGATTATCTAGAGCTTACAATGACATGTGCTTAAAAAGTAATGATTTAGATATCTTGCATGACAGCCTATCAAGAGTTTTAAAACAAAAATCATACAGTTTTATAATATGTAATTGAAAATATTATGTATTTTCGTAAAAATATAAAAGAATTGCCCAAGAATTGTGTCATGCATAACATTATTACTAGCAAACACAAACTTGTAATGCCTGTGACTCGTCTACTCAGAGTCAGTAATTCTTTTTATGGACAATGTATACGCTTATACAAAAGGATCCTAGAAAATGTCCAAAAAGCTTCTATCGCCAAATTCAAAAGAATAGTTAAAGAACGTTTATGTGTGCTAAAGGCTATTTAATGATTTTATACTTAGAAGATGGCACGCCTTGGGAATGAAGTGATCGTCTTTAGGCTATTTCAATTATATAGAAATATTGTAATTTATAATTTAACTTTATAAAAAAGATAATGAAATAATATTAGTCCCGCTGAGTTTCTTTCGCCAGTTCTTCTCAGCTGAGGCTACTTCTTTAATCTTTCCGAACTGGTAGTAGACTCATGATGTTCAGTAACAAAATGTAATAATTTCATGCTGAATAAAATATTTTGAATTTGTATAATTGAACATAATTTAATGAATCTATGTAACTTTTATCATTCAATTATTATAAATTTGCACTATTTTTAATTTGGACGTGACAACTGTTATTATTATTTTTATTAATTGTTTAAAAAATATTTATATTATTTGCATCTATGTGACATTTTAATTGAAAATTTTTATTTTTATATGATTTTTTTCTTTGTTAATAATTTGTGTTTATAGTTTTATCATGTGTACTTGTGGATCACTTAAATCTTCTTCTTCTTATAGTGCCTCTCCAACTAGTGAAGGTTGGCTATCAGCTTTTTACTGTCTTCTTTATTTATAGCTCTGCGAAATAACTCAGCGGCGCTGGCTATTCCGGTCCACTCTCGGATGTTTCGTAACCACGATTTCTTTCTTCTGCCAACCTTCCTCTTTCCAGCGACCTTTCCCATCATGATGAGCTGCAACAGACTGTATCGCTGATGTCGAAGAACATGGCCCAAGTAGGAGATCTTCCTTTGCTTTACGGTGAGCATGAGTGCGCGTTTCTGGCCAATCCGTTCCAGTACTTTGACGTTGGTGACCTTCTGAGTCCAGCTTATGGATAGCATGCGTCTATACGTCCACATTTCGAAAGCCTCTATACGCTTTCGAAGGTCTTCTTTTATGGTCCAAGCCTCACATCCGTACAATATAATGGGCCAGATGTAACAGTGGAGCAAACGAGTTCGTAACTTGATGTTAATGTTACGGTTACAGAGTACTTTTCTCATTGTGTTAAAAGCACTACGGGTGATTTCGATACGCGTCTTTATTTCTAAGTCGCTATTTCATTCCTCGTTTAGCCATGTCCCCAGGTATTTGTATTTCCGAACTCTTTCTAGATTTTGGCCTGACACCGTTATGCTCGTCGTGGTATCCAACGTATTGGAAATGACCATAAACTTTGTTTTATTTATGTTCATTTTAAGACCAGCCTCACTACTACATCCCTCTAACCTTTCGACTATTTGTTGAAGATCAGCTGCTGTAGACGCTATTAGGACTGTATCATCGGCGTAATGTAAGTTGTTGATATTGCGTCCATTTATTTTAACGCCGCAGTCCAGGTCATGCAGAGCCTTGGATATTATGTCCTCTGAGTATAGGTTGAAAAGAAGAGGTGATAGTATGCATCCCTGTCTTACTCCTTTTTGAATGACAATAGCATCGGTTTCCTCTCCGTCCACTCTCACAGTGGCATGTTGATTCCAATACAGGGTTTTTATGATTGTGATTTCTTTATCGTCGAGGCCAATGTCCTTTAATATCTCGAGAAGACGATCATGCAGTACTCGATCAAATGCCTTTTCATAATCGACGAAGCAAAGGAAGACATCCTGTTGCATTTCTCTGCATTTTTGGACCAAAACCTGTATGGCAAACAACGCCTCTCTTGTTCCCACTCCGGATCTAAAACCAAACTGACTGTCACCAAGTTGTTCGTCACATTTTACCCTAATGCGTTCGTGAATAATTGAGAGTAATAGCTTCAGTACTTGGCTCATTAAGCTGATTGTCCTGAACTCCTCACATTTTTTCGCATTGCGCTTCTTGGGGAGCGTAATGAAGACAGATTTTAACCAGTCATCCGGAATCTGACCTGTATCGTACACCAGGTTTAGAAACTTTGTTAAGGCACCCATGTTTTCTTCATCCACCAGTTTAAGCACCTCTATGTTGACGCTATCTGGACCTGCTGCTTTTCCTGTCTTTCATGCATAATACATAATGCTTTCCTAACTTCATCTTTTAGAATTGGAAGTCCCTCTTGTGCATTATTATTGGCAATCAAGCTTCTTGAGTTGTCTGAAAAGATGTTCTTAATATACTGCTCCCATATGCGTTTCTTCTCTTCAAGGTCCAAAACCGGGAGATTGTTTGCGTCTACTAATTGATGCGTAGGGTATTTTCTTCCTACCATGGCTCTGATCTCTTTGTGCAGATTAAATGCATCATGTTTGTTATGGAGTACTTCCAGATGATCACATTTCTTGCGATACCAGGAGTTGCGGGCATAGCGCACTTCTCTTCTAATTTCTCTGTCTATGGTTTTGTATAACTTGTCGTCATTTTTGTGAAGTCTCCTTTTCTCCATTAGCTGGTATATTTTTTCAGTCATCCATGGCTCCTTTGCGACCCATTTATCTGGTTTCAGAATATTTGCATTGATTTTGTGTACTTTGGTTTTTAGTTTGTACCATTGCTGTTCAGCATTCTCATGGGATTGCTTAGCCTCCGCAGCCCATTCATTGATCTCTCGCACTACCTCGGATCTGCAATTCTTGTCACTTATCTTCCGTATATTGACTACATTGATCCGTCGTTTACGTATCTTCTTTAAGACAAGTAGGATTTCTGCAACCACCGGTTTATGGTCCGATCTTATGTCAGCTCCTGGGTACGTTTTAGCACTCTTCACACAGTTTCTGAATCGACTATTGATCATAATGTAGTCGATTTGATTTAGAACAATCTGGTCCGGCTTATGACGAGGCGAAGTCCATGTGTACAATCTTCTAGGTGGTAATTGAAAGTATGTGTTCATAATGACAAGGTCTTGATCTTGACAGAACTGAACCAGCCTGTCTCCTCTGTCGTTTCTTTCACCCAGTCCATGCTTTCCCACCGTACCTTTCACCTCTCTTCGACCGACCTTGGCGTTCATGTCTCCTAATATGATGTTAATATCATGCTTCTTGGTGGCTTTTATTAATAATTCCGCCTGCCTGTAAAATTCTTCGACATCCTCATCTGAACCTTCCGTAGTGGGGGCGTAAAGTTGGATAATATTTAAATTCCTGGGTTTTGACTGAATTTGAATCATCATTGCACGATTTGATTCAGGCACGAATGTGACGTGTGTGCCTAGCGATTTTGTGTTTACAATGACTGCTACACCGTACATGTTCGACGATTCTTCTGACCCAGAATAAAACATGGTATGGTTACCATCCACTCGATGTACGCCTTGATGTTTCCATCGAACGTCGCTCAATCCAAGGATGTCAATGTGTAGTCGATCCATTTCCTTACACACATTATATATCTTTTCTGGGCTGTTAAGACTACGAACATTCCATGTTCCTATTTTAAATGGTCGCCCGGAGATTCTTCGCACCCCTGTCCCATCGAAGGGACGCCGGGAACTCGGGGCCGTGGTTATATTAGACTTTTCCATGCTGATTTACTAGGGAATCTTAATGCAGTGGTTTCCCCTTGCCTTCTGCATCAGACATTTTAGAGGTTATTTACTCCTCTAGGCTGCTGTAGCCTCTTCTAACCAATATCTCAGTTAGGTGAGTAGTTATACCGCTACTAATTCGGTCGTCAGAGCCTCGTCTGTTATCTAGCAGGGAGTACCACGGTACATATTGTGCCGCCGCCGAATGCAGGCGCGTGCAGGTGAGGTTGACATTTGGGCCGGTAATGATGTTAGTTCCGATCTCCCCTTACTCCCCACTCTCTCCCTCACTTAAATACCTTAATAATAATTATCATGCTGTATTTACCTATAACTAAAAGCGCAATTAACATTTTAAGTGTATTGCATAGATGATTCCCCATACAAACTTTCATCCTCATTTTCACCCCCTTAAGGGCTGATTTCGAGGATAAAAAGTATCCTATGTCCTTGTCAGGGTCCCAAACTATCTTCGTACCAAATTTCAATCGGTAATTCGGTTTTGTAGATCCAGAGATTACCCCCTACAACGTCACAAACTCACTATCTCACAAACTTTACCTCTTTATAATATTAGTAATTAGTATAGATATTATGTGATAAACCATTTTTTTTTTGGTAATTCATGAAATAAATAAATAAGTAAGTAGGTGAGTGTTTAGTTACTGAGTGAGTGAGTGAGTAAGTTAGTAGGTTAGTGAGTGAGCGAGTTATTGAGTGAGCGAGTTAGTGGTGAGTGAAAATACAAAAACTACAATGTAAGTGTATACTGATATATAAAACCTAAGAATTTGGTTTTTGGTCATCTGAACGCGGGCGGAGCCGCGGGCAATGCTAGTAGTCTATATAATCGTTTACCGAAAGCGGTTTGGAGAGTTATCCTTCGCTAGGACAAGTAATTTATTTTTTATTATAATGTCTTAATATCATCCCTTTACATAATGTTTACTACCCTTGTTTCTTAGCGTGTTTTCTTACATTTCTGAAATATCCCCAATAGCAAACCACTATCATTTTAATGCTTGAATTAATGAACAGGTTATTTGGGTTTGATTAGATAACAAGGGTTAGTAGCTCCCTTCAAAATATGAATCAACTCGCTTCATTTAATAGATATATTTTATTAAAAAAGTATATTGGATTCATCAAAAGATTATTTAATAAAAACATTTCCCTGTATAAAACTTATATGTACACGATGTTCGTGATATATATTAATTGTAGTGTTATGTACACGACAACATTAAATCAGTAAAGGTAATGTTAGTTTATGAAGGTCCTTGTTAAATAGGTAAGTAGATATTTTATTTAGGTATACTTGTGTATCAGAATCTATATAAATATTATAAATTTGAAAGTTTGTGAGTATGGATGTTTGTTACTCTTTCACGCCAGAACGGCTGAACGGATCTGGATGAAATTTGGCACAGAAAAAGATTATAGTCTGAAATAACGCACACGCTACTTTTTATTCCGGAAAAATATACGGTTCCTGAGAGATAGATTTGTTTTCGTTTTCCTAGGGGCGAACCCGAGGGAAGCGAGGGTGAGCTGCTAGTAATAAATAAATAGAAGAAATAAAGTATTGAATTTTTTTGTTATTCATCCATAAATCTGATGTATTTATGTGGTAGGTACGACTAAGTTCTAAATACTGATGGTAACCATTAGTCACGTACCACTCTACGACCACCCCTTATTGTTATCACACATCGTTCATGGCTTTCGTTTTTTTCTGTAGGTATTACACATATCGTAGTATCCTTGACACATATCTATAAGAAAATGTACAAGTGAGTATTGGTCGTATGGGCTTTATGTAGGATAGAAGTAGTGCACACGCCAGTTGTGATGGAATGGGTTGTATCACTAGTACTCAACGTGTTGATGTAACTCCAAAATCTCCTGTACGTATATGTGTTATTTTTTACACAAGAGTTAATTCATTGTCATTGAATTAAAAATATTAATAATATACTTATTTTTATTTTATGTTGATTTTACTAATAAAACAGTCATGGAAAGATGAAGTGGGTAAAGAGACCGTGCTTGCCGCTATCACGAGGCTGGATCAAGATATAGCTAACAGTGAAAAGTTTTGTCCAGCGCAGAGGTTAATGACTGTGTCTGCTGAGTTGGAGAGCATACAACAGGTATTGAAGTAAAACATAAAATACAAAAGTAAATGTACTACTGGTTCGATTTGATTATTATTTTGAAAGGTCTATTCAATTTTAATTTTTAAAGAAGTCGACATTAACGCAACTTTTTAAAGTTTATTTTCTATTTTACAAACAGATACTAAAAAAAACCAGAGCATTATTAAGATATATATATATATATATATATATATATATATTTAAGATATATAAATAGAGAATGTTCCAGGAAGTAAAAGAATTTGAAGAAACTACTAGGCCTCTGAACAGCACTGATTCGTATCCTAAATCTATGCATCAGGTAAAGTCAATTAATTATATTTGTAACAGCCAGATGGTAAAAATATTTATACCTTATACTTATAAGTTATAATTACTATTTTTTAGATGTTTGTCAGCTTAGACCTTTATAGGCGTCCTATATTAGCGACGGAAAATGAAGATTTTGTGGCGAATGTCAATAGGAAGGTACATATGTACATTGTACAGTTTTTTTTAAATAATGAAATATTATAAAGCCTATTCTAGTCGATCTCTTTGCTAACTAGAAAATAGAAATATATTTTTGTACTGCATATATTTTAGGAAATGAGAAAAATCGAGCTCATGTGGCTTCGAACTCGGGAAAAGCAATTACAATGTGAAAAGAGAGTACTTCATGCACAGTTATTACGAATACGTTCTCTATATACGCAATTGCAACAGTTACTGGGTAAAATAAACAAACTTAAATGTTTAATAACTACCAACACGCTTAATATAACAAAGTTTACAGGATATTATAAAAATTATTAATTTTAGATTGCATTTGGAGTGACGGCCGACGTCCAGGGATGCAGTTAGAAGATGCGCTTGAACGTGTACACGCACTGCGTAACGCTCTCGCCTCGGTCAGCTCGAGGCTACGCGCCGCGGCGGAATATGCTCAAAGTGCTTTGAAACTTTTAGACAGTGCACTTCCGACGTGGAAGCTAGCATCGATTGGGAAGTAAATAGTTTTTATTATCTATACTAATGAACTGTCCGCAAAATAGACACAATATTTAAACAATCGAAATGTTCATATATGACTCACGGGGCAGGGAAATGGTTAAAAAGGAAAGATTTTTTTGTTTGTTTGCTTGTACCGAATAAGCTACTGGACCGATTTAGATGAAATTTGGTATGAAGATAATTTGAGACCCTGGGAAGGATATAGAATTTTTATGAATGAATAATGAGTTTTATCCCGGCAATTGTCCCTTAAGGGGGTGAAAATGGGGATGATAGTTCGTACGGGGAATCATCAACCTAGGGACCAACCCGAGCGAAGCGAGGGTGAGTCGCTAGTCATGTATATGAACGTTATAAACTCTTAATTATAATACTTGTAAAAAATATGTTTAGAAATATTAAAAATGTCAATTAAATCTGTTTATTAAAGCCTAATTGTTTTCTTTAAATATAGCACAACGCTACTAGTACTAAGTGAAATCATTACAATAAACATAGATTTAACTGTAAAACTGCTGTCCTTACTTATGAGTTATTTTACTTTAGAAGTGGTTGGGAGCGCACATCTGCATGCGCAGACGCATGCAAGCTATTCGTACACGCGCGGTGTCAGGAGCGAAGCGCGCGGCGAGTGCTAGCCGCTTCTGCTGCACCGCGCGCCGCTCGCGCTCTGAGGCTGGCTCTGGACTATGCCTTTACTGATACTATGCACGATTACAAGTAAGTTGTAACTTCTGTTACTTTACAAATGTTAAATGTATCATTTTGATAGGTTTAACATGAAGGAAAGATTCTTAGGCGTAACTCTTGTGACAGCAAATATTTTTTTGGTTTTAATTTTTTATTCAATTATTCGTTTTTTTGTAATCTTAATATTTTAACTAATATAATATTTTTATCATGTGTCCCATAAAAATTTTTCAGAAGTATTATGGAGAAGAAATATAATCACGTAAACGTGATCTTTAGTGTTAATACTCTATATTATTTTAGGTATCAAAGGGCTACGGAGACATTTTTGAATTTTAAAGAAGCATTAATTCAACTGGTTCAATCTATACATCAGGTAACTTCTGCTAGCATTTCATCATTTAATTTTCATTCCTCCTTTAATTTTCCGAATATTACTCACATTTCAGACAACATACGAGTGCATACACCTTGTAGGTACAAGGTTCTACTTGTATTAAATCATTTAAACAAACAAATTTATCTTCGTTACATTCATCTTACTATTCTATCTTATCTTACTACTACTATATAAATGCGAAAGTTTGGATGAATGGATGTTTGTTACTCAATCACGCTAGAATGGCTTCTTGAAACGGATCTGCATGAAATTTGGCACAGAGATAGATTATAGTCTGGAATAGCACATAAATTACTGCATGAAATTTGGCACAGAGATAGATTATAGTCTGGAATAGCACATAAATTACTTTTTATTTCGAAAAAATGTACGGTTCCCGTGGGATAGGTTTGTTTTTATTTATCACTAGGGACGAACCCGAGCGAAACGAGGTTGAGTCGCTAGTTAACTCATAAACATTTTATCAGGTGCTATTGAATACCTTAGAAAACCTAGCAGTAGCTGAACAAGAATTAACAGAAAGTAGAAGTCAGCTGCGAGCGACGAGGATTAACGTTATAGTGAAGCAAGGCCTAGCTGACTTGAGATACGATTCCGCCGCGCTTGACAGTTTGAGAAATAAAATAAAATGTTAACAAAATATTTATCAATACTGTAATTTTATTTATTCTTTTTAAATACTTAAGGGTACCAAATTTTTTTAAAAATGAAAAAATGTGTTGTTGGCGATTTACATTAGTATTAAAACATTCAATATATCTTGGGCACAAAATTCACGTATTTTAGATATAATTTCGGGTATTTTAGATTTAACTTTTAATGTGTTAACTCGTAAAGTGGGAGATCGCAGTGACCTCCAATCAAGAATAATAAAATAATAATAAGAATTAACATTTTCTGTTTTTTTTTGCCATATTTACTTTTAAACCTTTCTCCTAAAACTGTAACATTATATTAGCAATTTCGAATAGCAAGTTCGTGATTAATTAAAGTGAGTACATATTAGAAGACAATTAACGTATTTTACAATCCACTGTCATACTAAAAACTAAAATTACAATTTTCACCGAACGAGGGAAAGAAATAAAACACATTGATCTAAAAAACACAATCAAATTTTATTAAATATCAAATAGTGTATTGTCTAACACGATTCCTTAACTATCATGTTTCACATCAATATTATATAATGGCGTAATTATAATACGGTTAATACATTTCAAGGATAAAACAGACGAAGTGATCACGACAGAATGGTTGAAAGTATAGCGATTATATGAATTAAAATATTTATAGGACGATAAGAATGTTAAATTTAATAGAATTTTCCTAATTTATATTGTCATGAAGGAACAAGATGTAGATAATGGTACCCGCACATAAAATACGATAGACTTTGAAATTATCAAAAAGTATTCATGAGAATTATTATACCTTATAGTAACAGATTCATATTACAGTACATATCTACTTTGTTATATTTTAAAAAAAATGTTGAGGAAGATAGAAAGAATAAGAAAAAGAAAGAAAGTATAGTAATACTAAAGAAGTAAGCACGAAGAACACACTCACATCATAAATACATGACACAATACATGGGCTTAAATGCAAAATCTACGTAAAGTGTTATACATGGTACATGATTACGACCAAATGGGTAATATTAGCGCTTACAATCTATCAATACATTAGTTTTGTGCGCCGAAGCCCTAAAAGGTTGATGTCAAGCGTTTGTACCAGCCCGGTGGTCACGGGCTGTACGTCTACTGCAGACGACCTACTTGAGTTATGACGATTTATATTTATTTTAACACTGATATGTGGTTTGATGTGTAACGTCTCGTTTGGTCGCTACTACTTAGCTCTGATATAATCGGCAGTTCCTCATTTTATCCTATTAAAGACAAATTAAAAGAAATAATTAAAAGCAGCTTAGTATTTATTGTGCAAACGAATTCTTAAAATAGCATTTTTTTTATCAAAATAGTATTCATTAATAGAAATAAATGAATTAATAATTTTAAATGTCATATGAAAATAAACAAATCTTCTTTTTTGAAATATGCGAATGATTTGTAAATTTAAAACTAAACTATATATTGTAGTACGTGTAAGCATCCTCAACAACATCGCCTCGACCAATCCTTTAAGCTAAGTACGACATTTTATTATAAGCTACTCCTGTAGCCTGTAGAAATATTGTCAATCCGAAAGCCTTATCATTTTTCTTTCAGGCTTTTTCGCATGGAAAGTCGTAAAAATTGTCTAAATTACCATACTCATATACGTCGTAAAAACATGGAAGCACTCATGCGGACAGATCGCTGGCTGTTACACTGATACTAATACACCGAATACGCTGAATACTGCATTGATAAGAACTATTACTGATTACTGATATGACACGGTTACAGTTTAAGTATTTCGTATGAACAACGAAATGATCTTTGGTATATTGATGTCAGACATCGAGGTGGTAACAAAATAACAAATCTATTCTAGGACTCAATAAATAACAAAAAACAATAACTATGAATTGTATGAAAACAGGTAACAAAAACGGAATTTTAATAGAAGGGCCTGATATCTGCAAGATCGCGTAATCAGGAGAAGCAGTTACCGATTCTGATAATATGATCGTTTACACTTTGGTGATCATCTTTAGTTTTCTGCTTCTGAGACACCTGTATAAAAAAAATAATAATATTATTAATAAATTAAAATGGGCCATATAAAATTACTGTACAATTTTAACTTTTGAGTAATTTTTTTTAATAAATACCTAAGTACTCCTCGATACAGCATGAACGCGCCATACAGGCTAAGGAATATAGTTGCTGTCCACACAACGGCCAACACAGAAGTGCTTCCCTCTGTTACAGGAAAGATATTATTTATTAATGAATTTCATTTTAATAAATACTAAAGCTAATTTTAGTATTATTACTAAAATATTTATTACTATCGTTTGTCTACAGCCCGCTCTCGTTATGTATTTATGTAAGTATCATAAGGGATTCTTGAGTTCTATCAATTCACTCCCATAAAGGTGTTGAATGTACAAGAACCTTTCCTTAGTGCTCGAATTTATCACATTATAAATGAAATCTTTGTACAATATATTCAGTTCCAAACCCAGTCATTCAGGCTGTACGTTTTAATAGCTACTTAATAGTGTCAGTCAGTCATTCTTTTCGTTTACATAGATGGATATATGTTTGTAAATATTTGATACAAATTATATTACTATTAAAAAAAAATATTTTTATATTATTATTAGATATCATAAAAAACCAACTCAAATTATCAAGACATAGAAATATAAAAAAAATTACTTATTAATTACAATTAATGTGAGTCGGTTACCAATATATCCATCGTGGTAGACGTTGGGACGCTCGAGCCAGGCGCGGCGCGGCTTGTCGTCGTGCTCCACGGCGAGCAGGTCGGGCACCTCGTCCGCGTCGCCGGTGCAGTTCGCCCACTCTATTGTTATGTATCTGTTACAAAAGAAAATATGTTTTTTAAAGATAAAAAGTTTCTATGGACAAGGACTGTAGAAAGGTACTATTTATTGATTTGCTTTTGCCCGTGGTTCTGTTATAATTACTTTAATAATTACTCCACTTCTAGAAGCTGCAGCGTGGTTTTTAAAGCATCAAGCAGCAAGATTTTAGTACTAATATACATATGTAGAACAAGTTTGTTCGTTTCTTATCTCTGGAACTAAGGATCCGATTTGGAAAATTATTTTGCGTTTATTGAGTCTACCTATGTATCTAATAACAAAAGAACGTTAACGTTCAAACTTAATGTAGGTATATTACCTAGAGGAGGTCCTGCAGGCACGCCGCGGCGGCACGAGCAGCTGGCGTGTGCGCGAGCGCGCGCCCCCGCGGCACGCGCCCCACGCGCCCCACGGGCCCGGCTGTCCTGTCTCCGACTCCTTGCACCCGCATTCCACTTCACACTCTTCGTCTTCCTACATTCGATATATCAGATAATAATTAATCAATACTTAATCTGGCTACTATTTACATATGCGATATATGTGTGCATGTTTGTTACTCCCTCAAGTTAAAATTGTTGGACTTATTTATATATAGTAGTCAGGTGGTATTAATATCTTGCTAGTAGGTAATACAATAAGCCCTTCTTTCTCATTTTCTTATTTTGGAAATTATTTTCCTGGATGAACAGTCATGATCGTTTAATGTAATTGGTAATTTTAGTTTAATTCTGTATCTATTAGAAATAGTTAAATAGATTATCTTAAAAAATTAGTATAGCAAAAAGCTTTATATTTCTTATACACTACATACCTACTTACATTATGTAGGTATGTATGTATGTGAAAAGTGTAAAATTTTAATATTATAATTGTGCTTACAAATTAGTATTCAAAAAGAGTTTCACAATATATAGATATAATAATTAACCACCTAAGCAACTACTTTGCACGAAATAACTGACCTGATGATGCAAAGGCGGAGCAACGATACGTCCGGGCAGCGCGGAGGCGCAGCGCCAGGGCTGCAGGAAGGCGTCGGAGGCGGGCTCGTCCGTCACGCTGGTGAGCTCGCAGCGCGCGTGCGACAGCTTCACGCCCCACCCGCACGCCGTGTCTGCTTCCTCGCCTGACGATGTCTGTACAACAATTAAGCGACAATTTATAAAAAAAAAGCGTGTGTGTACTTATGTACGCACGTAAGAAGTTATATTTCTTTGGCGTAACAGAACAAAAATAGCTAAAAATTTCATCCCGTATGTCACAACTCTGTGTTTGTAAAAGGTATGATAAATAATAAAATAATTAAATAAGGCATATAAGGCATATTACAACTATATACATATTTATAGAATATCATTTAAGTAAAGAATATAATATTATATATCATGGCAACAAACAGTTATCGGCTAACTTCATCATGTCGCTTTTTGGCTGTCGGTGTGCGCGCGCGCGTAAAAATGTTACTCTCATATTTTTTTCCAAGCGTCCCAAAAGAAGTATAACTTGAAAAATGATATCATAGATTAATTATTGAGATTACATTCAACCAACGACTTAGCGCCCCTAGATGGGACTAGATTATAGTCTATCTGTGTATTTAGAGTGTACACATACAAATCCTTCCAACCGTTTGAATCTGAGTGATTAACAAACACACTCTTACGTACAAACTCTTGCAAATATAGTTATCTAGCATATTTCTAACTTCATAAAAAACTAGAGTACGAAACGTAATGCGAAATTACTTCTACAAGACAAGAAAAGATTGCGCATGCATGTTATAATAAGAACATACATATTATTTCTAACTCTATTATAAAAATAGCCCATGAAGGAAGAATGAAGCGTTGAATTGCAATTTTATTGATATAAATTATAAATAAACGTCAAATAGACGAATCATTAATAAATATTAGAATTACTAATATAAAATGCTTTACTTGTACATGGCAGCCTAACAGTGGTCTTGCAACTAGTCTGAGGCAGGGCTCGCGCGGGCACGGCGCTCGCTGCTCGGTGGGCGGACACGCGCGGCCCGGCCACACTGCCGACGTCAGATGCTGCCTGTTTATAATAAAGACACAAAATAAGTCAATTTTATAAACTAGGTTTATTGAATTATTGCTTTAAACACTACGTAAAGCACAGTGCATGTTACATTTATTATAAGACTAAATAAATAAGTTTGTTAGAGTGTGCAGTTGATGATGCCTGAAATGGTTCATAAGTGCAGCGATTACTTAGTATGTAACTACTAAACAATCTGGGCTGTTCTATAAGCTTCACCTTGTTCTTTTAGTTAAAGTACGCACCTAGATATAATAATTTATATCAAAAACTACCCGACAGGACTATTTTAGTTTTCTCTGAATTTCCCAATATTCCGATTAACTCCCATTTTTTTCTTTTTATAAAACTAAAACTTGTACAAAAGAAAACGCTAGATTAAATGTCATTAAACTTTGTCCCGGCCTTCTCAAGTGATATAATTATGTAATATAAGTATTAACTTAGAAATAAACTTATTGAACATTTCCAAAATTAATTAGGGCATTGTTACTATAATAAATTGAATACATCTCTCTCACTAACCGTATGCGTCGCATGTGCCTTGCGGTGGAGGCGTCGCCGCAGGAGCACGCGGACGCGTCCCACGCGCCCCACTCTCCCACCTCGCAGTCCACGCCGCACGGCACGTAGCACCATGACTCGCGCGCTTCTGACGCCGTTATGTTCTAATAAGGAAAAATCCACTTGAAATTGGAAATTAAAACCAACTTTAAAACATTCAAGAATCCATTTTCTCTTTTATTTTTTCAATTATAAGAACTCTTATTTAGGATCTATGGTGCTTTAAAGTTTATAGGCCTTATATGGCTACCACTATTCACCAATAGCAATACACAGCAGACAGAATAGACAAAGTAAGAACAAGAAGCAAGATGTAGACACAATTGTTGTTACTTCGAAGGTGATTTGTTTGATCGATTCCACAGTTTTTTTTTCTATCATGGACTATAGTAGTAGTACATAAATGTTATTGATATAAAGTATTGATAAAATTGAGCATTGAAGTACTAGATGAAGCTAACTTACAGGACAGAAAGTATCGTTGACAAACACTCCATCACTACGGAGACAACGCACGGATCTTTTCTTTGTACCTTCTCCACATGGTGAGCCTCCTATAAATTAGATATATTATTTATTATAACTTGCAACATTATTTTTTTATGATTTATAATTTTAAAACTTTTAACAATAAAATTTTATAATAATAATTTCATCCTGGCCAAATTCGGCCACGGTGGCCAATCTCATTAAGACTAGCCATCTGCATGAGAAATATTTTAGTGCACAAAGACAACGCGCGCAAACTATCAAACTGTAAAACATGTGTGGGACAATTTGACACTCGCGGTTGGTGAGAGTTTAGGCGAAGAACCATCGGCTTTACGTGCTCTCCCAGGTACAGGGGTGGAAAACCGCCAACTTCCCAAATCCGAGCTGTTACTGAGAATTTCTTACTAGAAATACTCAATAATTAATCTATTCCGACCTGGGACTAAAACCCATTACTCCAGATCTGCACCAGTGTAAATGTTAACCACTAGATGAAGTAGGTAAACAAACATACATACCCAAAGGTTGACAGTCATCCCAAGGCGCGACGTGCCAGGAGTACGAGTGCGGCGCGCAGGGCTCGGCCGCCACGAGGTGCGGGCACGCGGCGCCGCCCTCGTCCGCCGCGCGCAGCACCACACGCGTGCGGTCGCGACGACCGCCCCACTTCGTCTACAACAATGATACAATAAACATCGTTTATGAACAAATTAACTTAAATACAGACTAGTCGAGGATTTGTGTACTTCAATTTACGGAATAAATATTAAGGAGTTGCTTCGCTCGGGTGTCTAACACAAACTTTTGTATTTATATATTTATTATTTAATATGATAGTTTTAATTCCCAATACCTCTTATCAACATCTTGTTTCCTAAAGTAAGTTTAACTTAAAGAACAAGTATTTTAAATAAAATTATTTTTTCAGTTTCATTGCGCCTTTTTTTTGACTTTTGGTTCCTTAAAATTTTAATTAGCTTTATTTAAAATATTAAATATTCGTGTAAATCTATGAAACTATTAAAGAACAAGTTATTATCACTTACCTGTTCACAAGGGCTCCACTCAGACCAGGTGCTAACGACGCAGTCCGCGGGGCAGGGCGCGCGGCAAGTGGCCTCGCGCGCCGGCGCCGGCCCGGCCCCGGACGTCTCGCATGTCATGTCATCTAGCTTGTTGCCTTCACCGTCAATGCATCTGCATATTTGTGGAACAATTTTAGCAATTGTTTTATAATAACAAAAAATATGAACAGAATGAATTATTTTGATAGAGCATTTGTTTGGCATCAAAGTGACCTTAAGGTCTTACTTACCTTAGGGTGACCTTAGGGTCTAAGGCCTTCTTAAGTACCTAGATACTGTTTAAACTTACAAGTAGCCAGAAATATTTTTTATTAAGTTTATATTATCGAAATTTAGGTGCATAGCAAAAACAATTCATACAGTAGTCAACGAAGGTTTTGACAGCGCAATATTGCGTTTGAGGTGACAAGTGGGTGAGGCGCACCCAACTGGCTTATATTTTTTTTACATAAAAATTTGGAAAATGGTTTTAGGGTAGATAGGTATAATTCTTTAGATACCACTACAGTGCTTTAAGTTTGAAAATTTCGCTACAAAAATTGATAACCGACAACCCTTGTATTTGACATCATTTAGGTTAAAATCAATTGGCGATTACCTAATGTATGATTTTTTTTACCATAGAAATAGTATTAATGTAAAGTTGTAAACTTACGTGACAGTCCGGTTGATGATGGCCCGGCCGCAGAGCGCGCGCCGCGGCGCACACACGGCCCACTCGCCCAGCGCCCAGCGCGGCTCCGGCACGGCGCAAGTGGCGCGCTGCAGCGTAGCGCCGCACTCGCGTCCGCCCGCAGAGCCCTCTTCTATCACCTCCCTGTTTATAGTAGTCAGAGGAAAAAATGCTTAGCTCACGTTTTTGCAATGGTTTAAAAATTTCTGTGAATTAGCATAACTTGGGGATATGTAATTTTTCCAATAGCCGATACAAAAGTCTAGAACAATCTACAATAGTCTATAATATTTTATTCTTATAGTAGGTATCTATTTGTATTTTTCTAAGAATATTTACAACACAACGACTTGATAGATATGTACTTCATCACTACATAATATACCTACAACATATTATAAATTAATGCCCCACGCCGCGCCGCGCTAAATTGTATTTAGCAGAAAATATTGTACGATTTTCGCCAATAGTAAGAGATATTAGATAGGAACGTTAAAGGCTATAACTTTCTTCTTCTTCTTTTCCCTACCCATTTCCCAATCTCTTGGGGCCGGCGCAGTACATCTTCTGTACTGCTGATAGGATTTGGCAAAAGTTTTACGACCGGCCGCCTGCTTGACGTCAACCCACCTTGGGAATAAGACTTTATAAAATAAAAAACTAATATTTATTAAGTAAAGGTCTTCTGAAAACTTTTGTAAATTAAATTATATGTAAATGCGAAGGTCATCTAAAGTCTATCAATCACACAAACCTCGTTCTAAATCTAAAGGCAGCTCTGGACCCCGGCTCGGCCGCGCAAGGCCCCCACGCGGCCCACGCGCCGGCCGCACAGTCGCGCGCGCACCGCACCGAGCACGTCCCCCGTAGGAGAGACCCGAACTCTTCGTCGTATGTGAACCCGTCTGTTGCCGCCTCGCGGACTCGACGTGGACCTAATAATAATAATCTTTCTTGTACACCAAGATAAAGATACAATAAAAACACGAACGGATAAAAGGTGAACAGCAGGCCTTAATGTAATTAATTATAAAGACGAAATATTTTATTTATTTTTCACAATTATCATGAGTATCATGTTATTGCATTCGAATTGTTACTGAAATAATTATAAATGTTAATAGAATTTAGTTTCTAATACAATACAGTGAGACTTAGATAATGCATTGAAATTGTCGTAACTAATAAGTTTAAAGCTGTAGTAGTATATAAGGAAAATATATAGAAATTTGAATCAACTAATACGGTTACCAGTTAGCGGATGATATTTCTTGCATACGTCCATGGGAACATCGCGACCTCCCACTAAGCATCGCGCAGCTCTTAGCGATCTACCTTCACCACATTCAATGCTGTAACAACATACATGTTAAGCGTGGGACTATAGCAGTTATTGAATCATTATAAATTTCGTATTATATAATATTTAATTACCCTGGAGGCAGAATGCAATCAGAGTCGGCAGGCAATAATTCCAAAGTAACATTTTTGCAAACGCATGATGGAATATCCGGGTCTGAAGCGTCTAGGTATCTAAAATAAATAGAACACAGTGTTTACTCCTAAAGTACATATAATGAAACTTAATCTTTTATACAGTAAATAAATATTGTATTAATTTTACTTTATTCTATATTAGTTTAAACATACTTCAAAGGGTCAGCGCATATGACATCACAGTTGAGAGACAGTATGGCGTCGCAGGAGACCATGCAGGCAGCGACGCTAGGCGGCACGAGCGCGCCGGCGCACGCGCCCGCCTCCACGCGGTGCGAGTCCGACCCGCACCAGATACCTGTGTTGTGGGAAGGAAAATAATAAAAATAATTATAGCGTAGTTTAAAATAATTGATTTTCATTCAAACATTCAATCCTTTTTTGCCATTTTGAATATCCTAATAGCCTTTCATAGCGGACGCCTACTCCTTATGATTATGGCTTCGTTTAGAAAAGGAAACTTGCGAGTCTGAAAAAACTTAACCAGTTTTGAAGAGACATGTGAAGTTAATCAATTCACACGTATTGAAGGGAGACTCAAATCCAACATTGTGTCTGAATAAATATATTACAAATTATTCAATGTTTCTCATAACAAAATATATATAGAAGTACTTTTTAAGTCTAAAAAGTGATTACAGTCTATAAAGTGATTACAAAATTACAATAATTAGATTTAACAATTGCACTACACATTATAAGCTAAACTCCCCCCCCCAACGTGCGTTCATCTTGTCGTGGTGGGGGGACTCAGTAGTGCCCGGCAATCCAGGCGGGCGCGAAGATAAGAAACGCACAGGGAGGTTGCCCACTTCGGTGGGCGGTGGGAGATGGCCCTCTTCGGAGGGCGGTGTACCATGCGGGTTGCTCCTGGTACTTCTCTGATAGCAGAGTGGACCTTGGAGCAACCCCGTGGATGTTGTGGTCTACTTCGGCAGACCTGCCGTCGGGGCTTCGTAGTTGAATGCGTAAGCGATCCTGCGACGCCCCATTAAGACGGGGGAAGGCTTTGTTGGGTTTTATTGGGTAGTACTGGCTTTGCCGGTTAGTCCCACACCTCGTGCGTAAATGCATTTCCCAACGTTAAAAAACAAAATTATAAGCTAAACTTACTCCTTATCCTGTACCCAACCCCACACCTCTGCCCGGGCGGCAGCCGGCACGTGCTCCACTCGCCGGCAACCCAGGCGGCGTCGCGCGCGCGGCACGAGCGCGCCACCGGGCACTCGCGCGACTCCTGAAGCGCGCCGCAGTTTGGCCCGCCGCGGACAGACCGCACGCGCACTTGTTTGCCTGGCTCTTTTATAGAGACAGAGAGATTGAAAAAAATAATTATAAATTTCTTTTTTTTTGTTATTGTCAATGGAACCACTACTAAAATGCTATAGTTATATGTGTGTATTTTGTATTCATTTTTTGTATTATGCATTTGATAGAGCTAGTAAAAATTGCCAAGAGGTAAAGTTGATCTTGTGCCATGAAAAATCACAAGTTTGATTTAAGTTAGAATAAGTTTTAAAACGAAATTAATAAATATGATATATCGATGTAGTTAGATGCCATTTCTCAATTTTTCACCGACTTTTTCTACAATGCGAAAATTGTAATAAGTATATTTAAGTATAACAAATACATTTATGAATATAATTGTTGTACTTAAAGTAGGTTAGTACTTTATTTAAAAAAAAAATTTAAAAGGTTACCCGACATTTAGCCACAATGAAAATAGTAAATATAAGGAAAATAACGAAATATTAATTTTACCACAAGTATTCGGACAGGGAGACCAAGGCATCCATGCCTCTACGCGGCAGCCGCGCTTGCAGCGTACAGTGCAGGCTCGCCGCGATGCCGGCCGCCGGAGAGGCGCGCATCTGTTGACATCAAAGTGTTTTACTCGAAGTATATTTTAAATATATAAACTATTCTTGATTGTTATAATATGCTATATTAAATTAATTGAAGAAAATTTATATATATATATATATTTAACACCAAACGTCTTATCTTTTCAAAATTATACATTAGAATTAGACAAAACAAACATTTTTTAAGTCCTTTCTTTTTTTCTATTTTGAGATGAAAATTTTTAGACCGTAATTTAACAAAAATTTATAGTTACATATAATATTAAACAAGCACATATTTTGAAATTATATGAAAATTAAACTTACAAAGCCTCACGTACGACGTCAGCATTATTTTGTACACACATCACGTCTCTGTTCATTTCTCCTTCTTCAATACACGGCTCTTCATCATCGCTCTCATTAAATGGTTCTCCATCCTAGTAAACATTAAAGATAATAGAATCCTAATACACATAAAAGTATATAGACATTGCATAAAGGATATAAATATCATTCTTAAAATTAGTCAGTATGAACATCATTGGGTGGCAATCCAGATTAAAAAAAGGATTTATCTTTTATTCTTTTATTTATTTATATTAGCTTATATTAAAATGAGTCAGTTTTGTTTTGAAAATATAGAACTTACTAATAGATCGGTATAATTGTTAGACGGCATGTAGTCCTGATGTTTTCTTTCACAGGGTCCCCAGGGCGTGGCGAGCCAGGAGTAGGTGGCGCACGCGTGAGTGTTGCAGGTCTCATTCTGAATTAGTTGGTCTTCTGAAGGACACGGCCAGCCATCTGCGTTAAAAAAGTTAACGGTATAGGTCAATGTTATTTGGAAAGTTTTTGTTATAACTATATCCTTACTGACTATAAAGTGAATAAATGAAAAAAAATTGTAAGTAATTATTTTATATGTATTATATTAATATAGATTATTTTTTATTACATATATCATATTCAATTTAAAATAATTATTCAAGTTAAAGATTACTATTAAATAAGTACTGATCTAATAAGAGTTTAACCTAAATAAAAAATAATTTAATATATGTCAACATATATATTATAAGTCAACTCACTAGGAGCAGCATGTGCTAGAATATGCCGCCTTCTGGTCCGAGTGGGGCGCGCGTGTCCCGGCGCGACGCAAGACGCAGAGCACGGCGACCAGGCCCCCCAGGAGGACACTACGCAGTCCCCGGCACAAGCGATTCTACATCGCTCACTTCTAGCTGGTGCTCCACTACCACACCATGCTCTCTGGGCTTCCTTCTGTTGTGAATATATGAGATTGCTATTTGTTTATGTAATTTTGTTAGAAGCTTTGTGTCATTTATTAGGATAAATAAATTGGTATTATTTTTAAAGCAGAAAAGTTTTAAGAACGGTTTTATTGTAATTAAGGACCGAATAATTTGAAATTTATAGTGGCTGTACTTTGTAAATATGTTTCTTTTTAACTAAAATTAGTATATTGTTGTCTCGAAACATGCAAAATAAGCACAATATCATAAAATTGTAACTTGTCAAATAATAATACGTAATATGTATTTGACGAATTCTCTGTTTCTGTAAGAAAATATGGTCTGTCAAACAAACTCATATCCATGGACAGTAAATGTTAAAAATATCATTACACTTAAACAACTTGCATCAGGGATCGTCAAAAATAAAACTTATTCCTATAGATTCCCTACCACTTTATACAGGTATAATATGCCACTTACCCCATCATGTCCAACACATCTCATCTCTCTAGTGCGTCTGCCGGGTCCGCAAGTAGTGTGTGGCTGGGTCAGCTGGCACGGGCCCCACGACAGCGCCTTCCAGGCAGCACAGCGTGGCGTGGTGCAGGTGCGTTTCTCTTCCAGGGGAGGACACGGTGCTCCACCACCGGATGCCGCGGCTGTTACGCGACGACGTCGGACGCTGTATCCTGGTGGAATGGACAAAAAATGTCTGTAATCAATATCAGACTACCACTATAAATGCAAAAATTTGTATGTTTGTATGTGTACATGTTCACACTGAAATTGCTAAACGGATTTAGATAAAATTTAGTATACAGATAGATTGTGACCTGAAGTAACATTTAAGGAACCAAGCGTTGCGAGTAATTCGCTAGTAATATAAACACATTATAAAAGGGTTAATGGATCTTACAGGGATTTTTTATTTACTTAGACATTCTCTTTTTATTCTTTTACCTGTTGTAGTCAACTGTTGAACTGGGAACAATGGGCATCCATCTGTCGGTTGACAAGCTCCCCACTCGCTCCATTCACCTACTTCACAGTCTCGAGGGCATGGAACCTATCAGAAGGCAATAAATAATTAAACGACATGTTCATTTAAGACATTTTATTATACTCGTAAGTAAACTACAATCAAAAATCAAAAAGAAAGAGGTCTAGGCCATATAAAGCTAGTATAAAATAAAGAATAACTATAATCACCTCACAGGGTTGCACTAATGTAGGCATCTGTGCATGTGCACATTGCGCCGGATGCAATGCCCTTCCGTCTGCACGTACACAAGTAGCCTCCCTCCTTTGCACTCCGCCACCGCAGCTAGACTCATTATCCTTATCAATTTCGTCTGATTCGTCGTCATCTTCATCGTAAATTGCGTCATTGTCGTCTGCGTCGTCTTCATCATCGTCAACTATTAAATCAATAATAACTTTAATAATGTTTAAGCTTTAAGATAACTACGTAACGTTACATAAATCATTTTCCTTTTTATGTAAATCTAGCGACTCACTCTCGCTTCGCTCGGGTTCGTCCCGTACATTTTAACGGCTAGTATGAATATAATATGCTTGTATTATACATATAAACCTTCCTCTTGAATCACTTTACCTATTGCTGAAAACTGCATTAAAATCCGTTGCGTAGTTTGTTTTATGTATAGACTACGAGGAGCTCATAAAAACATTTGGAAACATAATCTGTGAACTTCTGGTCTAGACATATTTTCTGCGTGGATAATTTCATTGCTACGCGGATTAAAAATATACTTTTTTAAATTAAACTATCATTTCGGATTATTAGGCTGATTTATTTTGGTTTTTGGTCCCGATCTTTACAGCAAATATTATATATATAAATATATGTTTTAGACGTCTTGAAAGTTTTGTTATAGTAGAAAGTAGTATAAAAATAAACCAACCTGGCGCTGCAGCTACCGGTTGCTCAAAAGCTACTCGACAAGGGCCCCAGGGGCCGGGAGTCCAATGCGCGCTTGCTTCCAAAACTGCAGGCCGAACTTCTTCTACCACTTCGCATTCCTTTCCACCGCCTTACAATTAAACATTATAGTATAAAATTATTAGTAACATATCGACGGTTAAAAGGTAATAAGGTATAAGCGACAAAAACGAAATTGTTCAGGAGAGCTGTTTAAAGTTTGAAATTGCAGAAAAATGGACATAACTTTTTTATTTATTGTCATATCGTAAAAAAGGAAACAGTTCTATAATCAAGAGAACTAAAGGCAATAATGGTCACTTTCATTTATATGATTCGATGTTGTTTTATGTAGATTTTTGCCGCTTATACCAATTGATCTTATTTTTCTTATGAGGTAATTCGGCGTAAGTTACATGTGCACATAAAAAAACGAAGAGTATAGACGCCTTAGCTACATTTGATATCCTCATACCAAGAGGTAATAGGGCATAAGTCACATGACAGTAGAATAACTTAAATGGGTAAAGAAGGACAAGTGACGATTCACATAATTATGCCAGAACGTAATGAAACATAAGATACAGTGCCTAGCAAAAACATTGTGAGGATGTTAGACATTAGTTACACTGTAAGTGAATTGAAGAACAAGGTAAAGTGGTACTTCCACACATCAAGATTTCTATACCAAGAGGAAAACGAGAACATCCAACTTACGGCATTATCTGGGCAAATGGTAACGTGGATTAAACGTCACGTCTTAAAATAATAGAATCACAACCAACATGATTCTCCTTTAAAATTCGATCCTGCGACGCCCCATTGAGACGTTTCTAGCCGGTGAGTCCCACATAACCGCATGTATGTATTGAAGTGGTATTCGTAAATGCATTTCCCAGCATTAAAAAAGGTTAGTAAGTATATAATCTAATAATATAATAAAATAATTTGAATATATCTGGTAAGTATGTAGATAAGTGAAGGTAGGCTATAAAGGCGAGTTTCTTCGAATACTATTCTTTGTAGATATATTAATAAAATAAAATAAAAAAGCCTTTTATTTCCTGCTTACAATCTTATAGGTTAATTTTAGGTAGTACATATATATATATATTTATAATTGCAGGAACCCCTCTCAGGTGAAGGCCTCTTCCAAAGCTTGCCATTTCTCTCTATCCTGAGCTATAAGGTGCCATTTACTTCCGGCTATTTTCTTTATGTCGTCTTCCCAGCGGGTATAAGGCCTTCCCCTATAGCGTTTACCGGTTGGGCCCTTCCATATCGTAACCGTTTTGGTCCATCGCTGGTCTTTTAATCGTATCACATGCCCAGCCCATTTCCATTTCAGTCTTTGAGCGTGACTTAAAGCATCTATTGTCTTTAAGCTCGCTCTTATCTTGGTGTGTCTTATTTTTTGTAGTCTTTTCCATTCATTATGTTACGCTCGATACCCCTCTGGCAAGTAATTATTCTATTCCGGGTTTTGTTTGTAAATTTCCATGTTTGACATGCATATGTCAAGCATGGGATAAGACATGAGTCCATAACCTTCTTCTTCAATGTTAAGGGCATGTTACTTTTAAATACTTCTTTATAACTCCAGTACTTATTCCAAGTACGTTTAATTCTTCTTTCCACCTCTAGTTTGTTGTTATTTCTGTTAAATCCAACTTGTTTGCCGAGATAAATGTATTCATCTATGTATTCTAAAGGTTCATCGTCTATTGTAATGGTTGATTTTGTGTGATTTGTCATAATTTTTGTTTTACTTAAATTTATTTGTAGGCCTACTTCTCTGCTAGCCATATGTAGAGTCTCGATCTTATATTGTAACTGAGTGGTAGTTTCTGAAAATAATATTAGATCGTCCGCAAATCTTAGGTGGCTTAAGTATTTACCATCTATAAACAAGCCTTGATTTTTCCAATTAAGTTTCCTTATAACTGATTCTATTATCGCTATGAAAATTCTAGGAGATAGAGGGTCTTCTTGTCTTACTCCTCTTTCTACCGTAAAGCTTGGGCTAGAAAGTACTTTCTAACTTCACTCTGCTAGAGCTATTGCTATAAATATTTTTTTAAATGTCTATGTATTTTTTCTCTACATTTTGAGCTTGCAAAGTCACCCATATGTTCTCGTGTAGGACAGTATCGAAGGCTTTTTGGTAATCAATGAATGCGATGGGCAGTGGTCTTTGTTGTTTTGTTGTTGTGGTATTTCTCTATTATCATCTCTACGGTGTGTATATGGTTTATTGTTGAGTATCTTTTTCCGAAACCGGCTTGTTCAATGGGTTGGTTTTGCTCTAGCGATACACTTATTCTTTTGTTTATTATTGTATAAAAGAGTTTATATAAGATTGGCAGTAAGCTAATAGGTCTGTAGTTACCGATATCTTTTGGATTACCTTTCTTGTAGAGCAGGATAATAATAGATTCTGACCATTGCGATGGTGTTTCAGAGGTTTCTATTATCGCATTGAAAAGATTTATTAATGGTGTGATCAGTATGTCGTGTGCTACCTTTATGGCATCGTTAGTAATATTGTCAGAACCAGGACTTTTATCGTGTTTTAATTTTTGTATCGCCTCCATAACTTCTTTGCAATATATTGGCTCTATACGTTTTTCTGGTAATTCTGGCTCTACCGATTTGCCCTGACTTAAATTTGCACTAGTATTTGTGTAGAATATTACCTTGCGATTGTACGTGGTTTCTCCTTGTTTGTTAAGACCTTCAATCCACGTTTTATTTGTTTTTAATGCTCTATACCCTTTTTTCAAGCTTCCTTTTTGTTCTAGATGTGTCATAATGGTTTTCAATCTATGCTTGTTGTAATCTATTTTTATATTTTTACTAGTGAGCTTATAAAGCGCTTTAAGCTTATTTGTAATGGATCTTATGACTCGGTCGGATTTATATTTTGTAGAGTCGCAATATGATTCTTTAATTTCTCTTTGAATATTGATATTTCTTCCTCGCTCTTGAGCGTACTATGCTGGTCGTTTTTGAATTTGGCTCTAGTTTTGATTGGTTTTGTTAGTGATATTACAGCTCTGAGTGCTCTATGGTCCGAAGGGTAGTTTACATTTAGTGTTTCAATATTTTGAAATATTTGTGGTCTGTTAGACATTATGAAATCTATCTCATTTTTGTACTGCCCATTGGGTGAACGCCACGTTCATCTTTTCTTTAGTTTTTTCTTATAAAATGTGTTAATAATTGCTAAATTATTTTCCAAAGCAAAGTCTAATAGTCTTTGTCCTCTCGCGTTTCTGTCTCCGAATCCATATTGTTTCATTACTAGTTTTTCGTCGTTACGACGCTCACCTATTATGGCATTAAAATCCCCCATCAGAATGAAATCTTTATGTGATATTTCCATTGCTTTATAGATGTTTTCGTAAAAGATATCTATTTCCTCCTCTTCTGCGGCTTCTGTAGGGGCATAGACTTATATAATAGTTAGTTTCTTTTCTGATATGTTAACATTTAATATCGCTACTCTTTTTGAGATGCCGATATAACTTTCTACGTTTTGTTTCAGGCGTTTATTTATTATAAAACCCACACCATGTTTGCTCAGTGTTTGCCCTGTATGGCAGAGAATAAATTTATCATATTCTGATATTACGTTACCAAGGCGTCGTACTTCTGATAAGCCAATGATATCGTATTTTATGTAGATATATTACGAGTATGTAAATAAGCAAGCTAGGTTCCAGAGATTGGGAAGGTAGCAGACGAAAGTATTTAGGGGAGGACGTAGGTAGTAGGTACTCGTAAGCTATGATAATGTAGGTTATTAAGCTTATTGTAACTACGCTTATTGATAAAATAGCTAAGGTTTAGAATACCTATGGCTTATTTGATAGGTACCTCTGCCTTAAGTCTACGATATGTCAGGTAAAATTAGTATAGATAGGCTGAACTACTAGATTACTTATTACTGCCTACTTTATTATTTTATATTATGCTCTGACTTAATTCTGGATGTGATGAAACAAAAATACTTAGGTTTTTTCACTATTTATTAAAAAAAACAGTTTTGTCAAAATAGTTTTCACGATGTTAGATACATAGTAACAAAAATAAACTTAATGAAATAACATAAGGTATCATTGTTATAAAAATGTTATAAAAGATACTCCCAAGTCACTGCACGCGGCCGACTGATTTTGGAATAAGCGACTCGCTTAATAGGTACTTGAGTACTACAAAGTCATTAATATTGGCGTAAGCACCAATTAACAAATAATCATTGTAAAGTAATACGGCGTACGCGACAACGTAGTATTAAAATAGTAAATGGTAAATGGATATACCCGACACCTTAATATAAAATTTCATATTAGTAATTACGTATAAGCGACAACTATATCGTAAACTTGTAAATGGTAGTAAGGTATAACCGACAGTTTAATATCAAATAAGATTTAGTAATTGCGTATAAGCGACAACTGTATTTTAAACTTGAAAATGGTAGTAAGGCTTAACCGACGCTTAATGTTTTTGACGAAAAAGGTAAAGAGGCATTACTTCCAACTTTCAAAACCGGTGCTAATTGTAAAGAGTCTTAAGCGCCCGGAATCTCTATGCCAGTAAGAAGTAAAAATACCTTACCGACTATAAACCAAAATTGATACCATTTTTACAGGGGTACAAGTGCCTTTAGGGTAAATAAGGCCTAAAACTCGGTCGGTTCGACCAAAATGACACTTCGAAAACGCAGTTTTTTGCTTGGGCATAAGTGACGAAAAAGCCATCGTAGAGACATGGGAGTAAGCGCATTCGAAAAAGCTAAAAATTTTAAGTAGGATGGCATTCATAACTCATTTGCGACCAAAATGTCGCTTATTACCTATTACCTTTTAACCGTCGATATGTATTCATTGCAAGGACTGTTTTAATTTATTATTAATATTTTCAACCGACTTCAAAAAGGAGGAGGTTCTCAATTCGACTGTATTTTTTTTTATGTTCGTTACCTCAGAACTCCGTCATTTATTAACCGATTTGGACAATTTTTGTGTTGTTTGAAAGTCTTCCAAATTTGTCCCATTTAAATTTCAAAAAAAAATACCACCCCTAAGGGTAGAAAAATAGCTAATGATGAATTTAACCTACTTCTAATTGTCATATTGACTTGAAACTTTGCAAGTATTTCTATTTCCGTTGATAGTACAGTGGTTCGGTATTGTTGACCTGATCTGATGGCAAGGCCAGAGAAGGTCGATAGGTGGAACTCTTCAACGGCTAATAGTAGATACTTTGAGTTTGGGCTTATTTTGTTTGATTTGACAAGCCTAATACGTTAGAATTCTTACTTTGCTACTACTGTCTACACTAAAAAGGGAAAAATAAAAACTTTTTAACAAAAAAATAAAAACCGACTTCAAATAAAAGTACTAAAAAGTAAAAAATAACTATTTGGTAGTTTTCATTTACTATACATATCTAATCACATATTTTCGAAGTCAGTGGGAAATTATTTGTTTACAGCGCGATCACTATTTTTCGTAATCGTTTTCAGCTCAGCTTAAATGATGTAAATAAATAATTAATACAGATTGCAATATTGTAATATACATAAAGATACCATAATAAAAAAAGCTGATAAAAATTTGTATTGCTCATTGTAAAAGCTTAAAAAAACATTTTACTTTTTACCTTTTCTACGTTTTATTTAACGTTTGGTTTAGATACTAAAATATTTTAATTTTCTATTATTAAAATGAATGTATTTTTATTTACCCTGTGGAAGCCTTCTTAGTCGCCGTGTACGCACCAAAGCGCCATCAGATCTCGGTCGCCATGGCAACCATTCCGCTAAGGAGCAATCTTCACGCATCACGCACACGCGGGTAGTCCCTATATTAGCGATGGCGATGCCACAGTATCTATAATGGACAAAGATTTTAGTAATATGTAGAGTACAGATGATTAGCATATAATTTATGTTCGTTGTTATAGAACTTCAAAAATAAAACAAGAATAAAATTACATTTAATTTATAGTAATTTAATTATGAAAGACCATTTTGTATTATGTTACATTGTTTCTAGATCTCTCTTACTATCTGCAATTGAAAATAATAAATGAAGATACTTTGTGGCAAACCTATAAAATAAGTCACTTTATTGCCCAATGACAACGTCTTTCCAGGGATAAAAGTGGTCCATGAAAATGAAACATTGTTGGAAATAGTAGCATTAAAATGGATAGAAGTGGCAATCGATCAATACCCGGCGGCAATGCCCCAGTTTAGACGATGTGTCATAAAAATGCTGGTCGCGAACGTACTCGTCTTGATCTACTTAGCGAGCTTTAAGATGAATATTAAGATGCCATTTTGTTGCTACCAAAGATCGTCTTTGGTGCGTAAATTGTTTCATTTGGTCTATATTTATTCTTGTTTATTTACGGCATATGAACATTGTTTGTAAAAAAATGATTAATTAAACATATAATAAAATTAAGTAACATAATCCACCATCTATTTCCTATATAATAGAAAATATATTTATTTTATAATATATTAATATGAAATAATAGAACGTCGAGTCTACAAGGGTTTTCTTGCCGTTAAACGAGCACTTCCCGGGAAATTACGTCATCATGCACACCTGCATAGTAGTCTTCGGTGAAGGAAAGAACAGGAAGGACTTCTTGATAGAACGTAGATTAGATAGTTGCCTCCTTAGTTTTCAAAATGAAAATGTAATATTAATTAATTTAAATATATTTCGTTTTTATTACGTCCGGCTGGGGGCGTTAGTATTTCAAGTATTAAAATTTTAAAACTTGATTTGACCTTATATCTATTTATTTATATATTTTTAATAAAAAATAAAAAAAACGAACTTTAAGTAGCCTATGTATACCAAAAACACACTAGTAACCCGCTCTAGTCGGTAGGAGAATTTATACCGCACTTTACTACAGAAAGCAGTTTCCTAAGAATCGTTTCAATAAAAACAAACTTTTGTTTGCTTAGTTGGGTTTCATTACGGCCCCGATGTAGATTTATTTTCTCCTCCGGGATCGTCCACTTAAAACTTTAGTTTGTCCATAACTTTATGCGCTGAATATTAAAGTTTGATCATTTTCCAACATATGTACGGATAAAATGGACTCGAAAGAAAAACTTATAATTCGCACATATATGGGAAACTTCTAGTGTAAAATACTTGAAACTTATTACACAACATTTACCAGAGCTCGGTTAGGTATATTTAATAGAATAGTACAAAAGATTAGTAATAAAAAGATTGATAGTTTTGTAATGAAATGTAATTATTTACTTACAAAGGCTCCACAAATGATCCGTCTTTTCTTCGACATTGTACTTGACGTCTCTGTAGGCCAAGTCGTGGCGTGTGTACCAAAGAGTCGGCCTCTAACCGCATGTTAAACCTAAACAAAAAAACAGAATTTGAGAACTTTCTATTTAAATTCTTTTAATTTATATATTTTTAAATTAAATTATCGTTTTTTAAGAAATTAAACTGTCTGTCCATTATCTCAAAATAGCATTGTAATATACAGTTCGTAAATTTAAACGTTATATGTTTGTATATTATAGTATTAGTAATTTCTAATCTCCGAAACGGTTAATCCCATTTTAACGGAGCATATATATACATACATACATGTACATTATACATATCTACGAGTATATTTCTACCTTTCGACAGTTTTAGGGTGATCTCCATCAGTGGCGCAGTCAGTCCAGCGGCCAACGTACACCGTGTAGTCACCTTCATGGATGACAGGTTCTGGAACAAAAATATGTATCTTTTTATTTTTTAGTTGACTAAGTCAAAAGGTACCTCAAAAGCTACTGCCAAATGTTTTTTAAACTTCCTTGGGGAAAATCAACTATTAGGATTAGATAGGATTAGCTTATAGGCTGCTTTTTCATTGTAACTTCAAATACTAAGCCTACTAAGTCTATATAAAAAAGAGGTAAAAATAAATTGTATATAAAAGATAATATAGAGTACACGAGGTGCTATAACAAAATTTATTACAGTAATGGGAGTATGTGGTTATTATCAGCGTCATGGGGCGTCGGTTGTGATATTGAAAATAGACATAAAATATTTCATTAGGTTCAGGTTATTTATTGTTATATAATATAAATGGTTATTTAACATATGTACAATGGACGATTTTGTACAGAAAATTGTATAAATCATTTCGTACTTAAAAATGTAGCCGATTATTTTGTAAAAGATATGGTACCGTATTTGTAAGTTCTTTTGTTAATACATATATATATATATATATATATATATATATATATATATATATATATTACTAATAAATAATAATAATATAAAAGTCGGGTTTGATATAACACTTATAACTCGAGAAATGCTAGACCGATTTTTATGATCTTTATTTTGTTGGATTTGTCTTCACTCCGAATAGCAGAATAACTATTAAAACATCGGAAAAAATCACGAAAAAAATATTCCATACTAAACTTCAAAAAGTATCTAATATATAATCATAATATAAAATCACAATGTGTTTTGAAATTCCGACTCTTCAAGACTTATACATACCTACATATTTTAAATGAAAAAGGTACCTTTACCTCATTATAATGAGATAACAACCTAGAAGTAGATGTTAAAATATACCTAAGTCCAACATTTCACGTTTTTTACTAAGCGATGAACCGACTTTGTTGTATTATCGTAGTTATCATCATAAAAACTTGTTTGTATTCAAAATATTATATTGAATGTTTTAGCTATTTTTTTGCATTATCAACATATAACTTTCAAATATTAGCTTGGTTGAATGAACAAAAAAATTGTAAAATTTGTAATAACATATGAATAATATTACACGAGAAAATTACGAGTAATTGGTGCTAGAAGTTCATGTTTGGAGGCAATCCAAGTAAACATTTTATGCCGCAGGAAGTAATGCATAATTTTCAAAACTACGTATAAGAATAGAATTCTTTAAAAACATCTTTGAGAAAGTTTTAAAAGTTCCAACTTCTTTTTTTTTAACAAATTTCAGTTTTAAATAATATTATAAGGCCTTTTGCGACGATTTTTTATACCTTGTTATGCTCCTAATAATACTCTTAAAATTTACAATTTGTAATATTAATTTTAAGTGATTTTCCTTTGTAGCGTTTTATATATCTTAGTGTGTAAATAAACAGTTTGAAGTACCCTCTTATCGGTTAGTTGCTATACAAGACCGTCTTGCAGCATAACTCGATTCACTTAGTACCTCTAAAGTAATTAGTCGCTCAAACGTGCCTCAAGTTTCACGGAGGTAATTCATTTTGGGAAATATCAAATATGTGCTCATATGCTGACGATCGTCGTATAATATGTTATGTGGTCTATTATATTGACAAAGTTGTTTAATTTGATGTTGCTTGAGTATACTATACAGGATTTTTTGAGAATTGCCAACCACCATGTACTGTCTGCCATAAAAAAATGAATATTTAATAGTTGATATTGTTATTTTATCTGCTAGTTAACCCACTTTTAAATATATGAAATACAGTTTATTCCAATAACAAAAAAAATTAACAAAAGAAGGTTTGTAAAAATGTCTGCGTTCTATACTGTAGTAGAAAGTTTACAAGCGCTATATTATGACATAAAGAAAGCTACGTTCTCAAAACCTTAAAGTTTTTGTGTAAGAATACTTAAGATTAGAGTGATGATACGAGTAGTTAGGTAGATATTTTCCACTATACATACTCGTACATATAAAACACACTTTTCTCATTCCATTAAGTGAAATGGTAGCTTTTAATAATAGAAAACAAATTTTAATCAAAGGAAAGCTGCACAAAGTCTTACAAAGCTTGAGAAAATTAACGAATCGTTTGTAGATTTTCTAAGGATTTCATGTAATTAATGCGACGCCGCCGTTAACTTGTTTTATTGGAAGACATTTTTGTTGGGCTTTAAAGTAGAGAGTTTTCTGAAAAAAAAATATCTAATGCAAACAGATTTTTTCAAATCGTATTAGTAGTTCCTGAGATTAGTGCGTTCAAACAAACTCTGCCTTTTTATAATATAAGTATAGATTGATGATTACCTACATAAAGATGTTGTTGCTCAACGATAGAGGGTCTGCTCACCATTAGGTAGTATGACATACTACCTAATGGTGTAATTATTTCGCTGGTTTAAACTGGCTTCAAGTCTCATTGTCTAATAAAACGACCGCGTTGAGATTCAAAAAGAACTGTATTATTCTAATAGACACGGCACAGATAATCTATCAATTATATGACTACAGATCATACAATACTATACTACAGATAATTTACCTAATATTACAATTTAGAACATATGAAAGCAGAGGTCACTACTTTGTACATAAAAAGATTATTTTAGATTTATTTCAACACCCCCACTATCTCAAATAATCATATAAACATTTTACACATTAACAACACCTAACATTTCCATAAACATATAATGTTTATTCTTACATAGACTTTTTGTTAACAAATCAGCGGGCATGTTTGTTGTAGGCAAATATTGTAAATTTACTATATTATTTGAAACACATTCTCTAGTAAAATGATATTTCACATCAATGTGTTTAGATTTCTTGTGAAATACTGGATTTGTCGACAACTTCTGTGCACTCTGATTGTCATTATATAATGTTAAAGTGTACATTGTATTAGTTATTTCAAATTGCAAAGCCCTTAAGTATATTGCTTCTTTACAAGCTTCAGAAATTCCTATATACTCAGCTTCACAACTTGATAAGGCTACAGTCTTTTGTTTTTTACATTCCCAAGATATAACACCATTAGACAATAAGAAACAAAATCCGGTATAAGACCGCCTGTCTATTGTATTATTTGCCCAATCGGCATCCACAAAACCTTCTATATTGGAAATTCCATTATTACAATACTTAATACCATAAGATTTAGTCTTTTTCAAATATTTCAACACTCTCTTTGCATAACCCCAATGCTCATCTGTATGACAATTATTATATTGACTTAGATAACTAACTGAGTAAGTTATATCTGGTCTGGTTAAGACAGATAAGTACATAAGGCTACCTATAAGTTGTTGATAAGGTACTTTATTATTTACATTTTGACCTATGTTTACATTCAATTTATGTTCCATTGGAGTATCAAAAGATTTGCAATCTGTCAAGTTAAATTTATGCAACAAACTATCAATATAATGTTCTTGACTTAAGGTGACAGATCCTTCTAACTTATTGAATTTAACATCCATCCCTAGACATTGCTTCACTTGTCCTAAGTCTTTTATTTTAAACCGACTTGACAACATCTCCTTGAGATTAATACATTCCTTTTTATCATTAGAAAATATAAAGAAATCATCTACATAAACCGTTACAATAGTTTTACAATTATCATTCATTTTTGTATACATACATGGTTCAAGCTTTGATTTTTTATAACCATATTCAAGTAAACAATTATCTAATTTCTTATTCCAGGCTCTTGAGGCCTGCTTTAGACCATAAATGGCTTTCTTAAGTTTTAACACTTTATTTTTGCTACCTGGGGAATCAAAACAATCTGGTTTCTGCATATATATGGTTTCCTCTAGGTCACCATTAAGGAAAGCAGTTTTTATGTCCAAATGTGTTACATTAAGTCCTAATTGCACTGATAGTGAAAATAATAATCGTAGGGTTGTGTGTCTAACAACAGGTGAGAAGGTTTCTGTATAATCTACACCCCGTTTTTGAGAAAAGCCTTTAGCAACTAGCCTGGCACGAAACCTTATATTATTTTCACTATCATATTTTTTTCGCAATACCCATCTACATTGAACTATAGTACTGTTATCAGGTACGTCAGCAAGTTCCCACGCATTATTGTCCTCAAAACATTGTAACTCATCTCGCACTGCCTCTAACCACTGTTCTCTTTCAGGTCCATTTAACGCATCTTGTAATGAGAGTTCACTGACATCTATTGTAATATCACTTTGGAAACAAATATTAGAAAAACCATACCTGTCTGGTCGCTGTCTGTGTCTCACACACTCCCTTTTTTTAACTACACTCACTACACTTTCACCACTAGAGATCTCTTCTTCATCAGGAACATAAGTTTCATCACCATCATGGTACTCCTCACTTTCAGTGTCATCTGATATGTCCCCCACTGAATCTAAATGTACCTCAGAAGATTCAGTCTGTGATTGTACTTCTTTGATCTGAACTGGACTCTCTATTGGTGTATGTTTTTCAATGATGATCACATCACGGCTGGTTGTGATTACTTTTGTTCTAGGAATATAAATACGATAACCTTTAATATCCTCTGGATAGCCTACTAGTATGCCCTTCTCTGCCTTCTTATCCCATTTCAGTCTTTTTTCTTTTGGGATATGCATCATTACTACACTCCCGAAGACTCTCAAATGGCTTATATCTGGCTTTCTCAATGTCCACAGCTCATATGGAGTTTTCCCATTTAAAGCTGATGCTACAGTCCTATTCAGAAGATATACAGCAGTATTTGCCGCTTCGGCCCAAAAACTATTATCTAGACCAGCGTCAAATAGCAGGCATCTTGCCTTTTCCACCACCGAACGGTTACAGCGTTCTGCCAGTCCATTCTGTTCAGGAGTGTATGGATTGCTCTTTTGATGAATAATTCCTGAATTGCTAAGATACTTCTCAAATTCTTTACTGCAATATTCCTTTCCATTATCTGTACGCAACTTCTTAATTCTTTTATTTAGTTGATTCTCTACAACTGTCTTATAAC